ACGAAGGAGAAGAGTTCACATGACATGTGCTGTCTTGGGTTGCGCAGGCAGGCAGGGTTTGCATCTGCATCGACTGTGCATTGCATCAGATAGGGTTGCAAGGTTGCAAGGTTATAAGGTTGTAGGGTTGTTTTGGTAGAGAAAGTGCGACGGCAACGGCGAGGGCGACAGCCTAGCTTGCCTAGGCCAAGGACGGAGAAGTCAAGTTGAACGTTGATCGACAGCATCACCGAAAAAGTCTGTTGTGCCCCTGAGAGCCTGCAAGCCGACAAGACTTCAGCAGAGTTTCGGCGGCGCCTTCGGGTGGGGTGGATGGTTCTTGGAAACCTGCCGTGGCCGTCGTGGCTGTCGCGATGCTTCGTTTGAGGTTTGGGATCTTGCTATGATGTGCTGTGCTGTGCTTGCCGACTGCCAGGTCTGTCAGGAAGTTGCAGGTCATGTCGGATGACGTATCTGGCGCAACAGTCTTGTACGGCCAGTCTGTCAGTCGACTGCAGGTGTGCTCCTTCCTGCCCGTTCCAACAGCGAGGCGTCCTGCCGTGCTGCCCACCGTCTCTCTGACCGTGGCTGCCCTTCTCTTTGCTAGGTACGGGAGTACTGCAGTACCTTGGTACTCCGTCCTGCGTGCCTGCTCCAGACTCGGGACAAAATGTGCACTTCTTGTGGCTGCTGCTGCTGCTGCTGCTGCTGCTTCTTTTCGACAACAACAAGTCCCAAGTCCAAGTCCCAAGTCGACTTCGAATTCTATGTGGCGCGCATCTCTGACCGTGCACAAATCTCACATGCTGTCCGATGATACACATCTTTCCCAGTACAGCACAGAAGAGCCTAGTGCAGGGCGGGCCAACCTGCAGCTGCTGCAATGTGGTGCACTGCATGCAACAACACCAGGGTCGACCTTCGACGAGAACCTCCAGAACCTCCAGAAGCAGCGGACAGCGGACAGCAGGCCGCAGACCGCAAACAGCAGACACCAGACACCAGACAGCATCATCCCGCATCCTTGGACGCTGCATCCTCCACCCGCAAGGCCCGCATCCATGACCCTGTCCTGGTCTTTTCTGCCTTTTCGCTTCGGACCCCTCCTCCCCTGCTAGATCCTTGGGATCCTGGGGTTGCCATACTGTGGAACTGCCAGAATCGGACTGGACTCTGCTGGACTGGCCTGTATGGCAGCTCTTGTGTCCTATTGGCTCCCGTTGCCCCATGGCGTCTCGTCTCGTCCGGTCTGGCCTGGCCTGTCCCCGTCTTTCAAAGCCCGCGCGCTGCGTCCGATGTCTTGCAGAGCAAATCCATCTTGGACTTGCCACCATCAACAGAGGCACGGTCCCTTCTGCGGGCGTGGAGGCCAGCAGCCTCCGCAGCAAGAGCCACCTGCCGGCAGCACATGCGGGCCTGTCCGCTATTGGATCTGGCATATGGCCGGAATGCCTGTGCGTCCCGCAGCAGAAGCGCCGCAGGGCTTCTTGCAGCTCTGCAGCTGTGCAGCTGTCTGTGGATATCCCTCCCACGCCCGCCCCACAGCACCCATGATACAGCATTGCTCACCCTCAGTCTGCTGTTGTACAAGGTACCGTGCAGTCTGGCTGTCTGGCAGTCGACCTGTCGACTCTCGTCACCCCGTGGTGGAGCCGCTTGACCATCGTCATCAAAAGCCAAGAAAGACGCCGGGACACCGAGCCGGAGAGGCCCACGTTGAGCTGCCCGCCTGCCCGCGAGCGGCACAGTCACTCCTACTGCACCATGGACCGCACAGCCCATGTTGTCTTGAAGATTCTGCCGGAACTCAACATCCAGCGCACTAGACAAATCAGTCGGGCGGGTTTCCCAGGGTTTCCTCGCGCCTCGCCTCTGAGAGTGCGAGAAGGACATGGTGCAATAAGCGATTCAGGATCTGTTGATGTGGTCTCGCAACCCTGGCATTGAGTCGCTTACGTTCTGCATGCCCGTGAAAAATATGACCGGACCAAGAAGCCACACCCCCCTTCCCCCAACGAGACTGCATGCGCAATCCGGCGGTGGTGATTCTAACTATCAGGAGCTTTACTCGCTTCGACAGTTTGCTTAGCACTGGTCTGATGTCGTGGGGTCAGGCTGCGAGCTTAATGCCAGTGGTCCTATCCCATCACTCCTTGCACACTCGCACCGACAAGGGCTCTGCGAACATGAATCTGGTCGATCCGCTGGTGCTGTGCCGCACAAGGGGAGCCAGCTCTCCCCGGACGCTGTCTGCCATTGGACGCTATGGACAAATTATTACACCACCAGGACCACCTCGCCCCCCAACAACATCTGCCACTTGTCCTTCTGCGTTAACATAAAGCTTGAATGCGACAGTGCGTTGCTGTTGAACCGTCGCCGACGATTGGCAAGGCTGATCCAACGCTCCCAGCCACTGCTCCCTAGGGTCATTGAGGCGGCCAAGGGACCGGGGAGGCTGGCGGGCAGCATGCTGGCTTCATCAGAACATTCGCGGCCCCGGCCCCTGCTTTGGCCAGTGCTCGACGAGCAGGGAAGATAGGCGAGTGCGGCATGGCATTGCGACGCTGCATGTACGGGAGGAGAGGCACGCCCCCGTCATGCCCACTCGGCCTGGACTAATCGCCGAGGGACGACGATGGATTCCTGCTGTACCGTGTGCTGTGTGTGTATACTGTCCTCATCAGTGAGCTCTAGAAGGCCTTGTCCGCTGCCAGTACGATTCAAGAAGGAACCTTAATGGTGGCCGCAATTGATTCATGTTCACCTTGTCAATCCGACCGCCACGGTTGCTCGCACCCGGCCACCCGGGGTCGACTGCGTTGAACTGAGCCACGAGGACAAGTGTATTGTCCGCATTCAACGCAGTCTCCCCGCCCATTGAATCTCTCAATGCGCCCCTGGGCGTCCAGATGGACGGGATTCTGCAGTGATCCGCAAACCAATACCAAATAGGTGCAGCCACTGTCCAAAAGGAACCGTGTATTTTTGGCTCCTCATCACTGTCCTCGACTCGGACCGCTCGAATTTTATGATTCGCTGATAAAAACACAACCTGGCCAGGATGGCACGCCGATCTCTTCCGGGTCCAAGAGCAGCACAGTGTGACTGCACGGTGAAGACTGTGTTTGTGCATCTCGAAAGTCGCGGCTGAGGTGGCTCCAGCCAGCCTTCCAGGAAGAAGTGGCTTGACTATGACGATGCCGATTACGGGCAGGAGAGGTGGAGAGCGTCGACACAATGACGACAGCCCCCTCTGGCCTCTCTTGCTCTCCGTCGAGCAGTGGGGGCGTTGAGCTCTCCTGTTGAGGAACTCCCGCTCGAAGATCCGATCGCGATTGACGGCGGTTTTGCTACTGACAGTAGTACGTCTGCGCGGGAAACAGGCCAATTGACGGATTCTGGTTTGGCCGCACCTGGACAGTGCGACTCAGCACCAACGGTGTCAGCAAGAAGAGATAAGGGTAGGCGAACAATCCACAACCAAATGGCGGCAAGGGCTTGGCCGGCCACTTGTCATGCCGGGGGTGTGGTTTCTTTCCGTCCGCGGACAACAATTTGTCAATGCTCGAGGACACGGAGATTCCAAGTTCGCAAAGCTGGAAAGAGCCTAGTAGGCAGGCGTGCGGTAACACGGAGTCGTGCGGGCGACGGCCGGTATACGCGCTACTTCAGCGAGGCGGCTAGATAACTCTAACAGAAAGAGCCGGTACAATTGGCTTTTTCTGGAGCGCGTCTCTTACCACGGAATCGGGAATGGCAGAGATTACTAGGAGCGGACGACCGACACTAGACAAGGAAAGGCTGCCGTTCTTTCGACCAACCGCCATGATGTATCACAGGTCGAGTCGTCTTTACCCAGAGCCTGATCCACGGGGCTCTCATCACCAAGCCTCGCCCGTCTCCCGCAGATGCGCGGCATCAAGGGTAAGCCGCCAAACTCATATGCCGGCAAACGCAAAGAACATGCGGGCTGTTCAACGGTAAGAACGTCAGCAGCAAGAGCGAGCCCGCAACGGTGGGCGATGGGGGGGGGGACGGAGGGAGGGCTGGAGGGCTGGCAGGCTGGAAGGCTGGACACAGTGAGCGGTGGCAACACATTCGCACTTTACCGGGTCCGTGGACGTTGTGTGGTGGCCGAGACCAAAATCCCGGGCACAGGCCCCCCCACACGCTTATACCCACAGGCATCCTTGCCCGCCCACTTCATCCAGCAAGCCCAGCCAGCAGAAAAAAGTCAGGCCAAAAGTCGCTCACCCCTCATCTTCGGTGCAACCCTATAGTGTCACGCCTCCCCCTTCCTCCTGGTCCCCTGGAGGGACTGAAGAGGCTTGAGGTCTGCCGAGTTGCCACACGATTGCCCGCAGGCATACCGCGAGCACTGGCTATATTGAACGGGCTAATTGAGCTTGCTTTCTGGCCTCTAGTGTGCTCGAACAGGCTCGGGCCAGGATAAGGTTGATCCATCACCGGCCTCGTGCTGACCCCTTCTCAGCTGAGGTCGGAGACACTGGATCAATGCAAGCAATAATAAGGTACGGATTGCAGCGCGGAGTGCTGGAATCGCGAACGGATGATGGACCCAACGCAGGACCCACACCCTCGCCCACATACTCGCCCCACAGCAACCCTGCATCTCCATGTATGTACGGAGTAGTATACTGCAGCCTGCCCGCAGTATACGGTACCATGTACCGCGTCCCCGGCAAAGTACTCGATACCTGCAGCTGTCTCTCTCTTCTTTTCCGCACGCCCCCACCCCTCCCTGCCCCCTCCCAGTCCGGGCCGCAGCTCAACCTGGACCAGGGGACCCAACATCGTCGTCGTACCCACTCCCCGCCCACCTCTAATCCCTGCTGGCCCAATGGAGAGAGCCCGAAGGTTGAGCGACTGAGCGAGGCAGCGAGGCAAAAGAGGCTGCTACTGACAGGCCTGATGACACCAGACTCCACCAGGGCCTCTGCCCGCCGGTGAATGCAAACTGTGAACCCTGTCCTTGACATGAGGAAGTGAGTGGGCAGCTTCGGAGCAGGTGCCACTTTGTGCCATCAACACCGTCGATACCCCCCCTTCGCTCCCTCCTGATACCCTGGTCCCCATCCATCCACCCACCCCGTCCACCCACTCACTATCGCAGCGACCACTCCAACGCCCGCCCAGACACCTCCTCGTCTGGCCGACCCGGCCTACCTGCCCGCCACCTGGGGCTGCTCTCGCTACCATAGTACTGTGGCACGGTACATGGGTGTGCAGTACGTACTTGCAATACACAGTACTTGGGCCTGCCTTGGGCCCCTCTCCTCCCGCGTTCGCTGTGCCGGTTTGTCCCCAGCCCAGCCCATCACATCCTATCCTACCCCAGCACGCAACAAGGCTCGACGTGGAGGATTCAACCACCCCGGTGATTCTCTCTCTTTGCTGGGGCTAGACTTGCCAATTCTAATCTAAGACCACCCGTGGTAGCGTTGACCAGAGGTTACCCTGGTCGAGCGAGAGTGAGTAGTGGTCCGGGCCAGGTTTACACTAGTTCTGTTTTCTCTCTGATCTACCTTGACCTTCCCATCACATCCTATCCTCCATCAACCTCAAGATCTCTTCTCACCACCGCCGGACTCTTTCTCGACATCCTCTCTCATCCTCCTCTGCCTTTTTAACACCCCCTTACCCTCTCCTTCGCCCTCGAGCTGGCTGTCCTCCGCAATTGCTTGCGCGAAGACACTATCGAGCAGCCCGGCCCAAGGTGAGATCCGACTACCTCTCGCCCCCACATATGCACAGACAAACAGCTTGCCCACCGTCACCTGCTCGAGCTGCGCTTGCGACTAGGCCCCCCTCATCGCATCGGCCCCAAGGAGCTGGGAGCTAACTATCGTTTGGAAAATTCTTCTAGAGACCAGAATTTTGTTCTAGGCTTTCTACTGCCTGGCCTCTGCGAAGTCCGAGACCTCGACGACGGCTCACTCAACGGTGGTGTTTGCTAATCGGATAGTCGACGTCCAAGCTTGCGACGGGCTCAACGATCCGAGAGACTGCATCTCTATTCCGTGTCGGAATCCTGAGGAGCCAACAAGTCTGAAAGTTCCTCTCTTCGGCGCCAATTTCTTCGACCGCAGGTGCTGCGGTGACGTCTGAGAAGCTGCGATTTTCTATGAGTTGTTCTTGAGCACCTTCGTTCGCGTCACGACCCGTTACGGTACAGCACTGCCATATCTGGCGACTCACGCCTGTCTGCCCTGCATCAACGCCAATTCACGATCTGGACGTCCTCCCAGGTCAATTGCATTTTCTGGCGGCTTTGTGACATTTTGCGCCTTCACTCGCCGGACCTGGTCATCTTCTCGTTCGTTGCCTCCGCCTATTTTGTGGCCTAGCTGGCTCGCCTGACCGTTCTTGGTCACGCAACAGTTTTCATGCTTAACGACAGAAACACCGAAAAGCTGGATCTACCGTCGATTTCCCAGGTACCGACCCGGGGTCAGGCCGACTACCCATACTACAACGCACCGCGCCCAGCGTATATGCCCGAGAGGTTACCTTCCTTGCCTCCAGTCCACACCCAGCAGGCATACTCAACCAGCACGGGATCCCCCGCCGGCAGTTCCCTGGGTTCCTCTACCAGCTCTCACGCAGGGTCTCACTCCTCTTACACGTCAGCTGCCCCGTCACTCGGAGCCAAGACTCCCCCGACTCCGGTGTCTTCAGAGTATCCTGCCATCCCAGGATCTGTCACTGCAGGAGGCAGCTACGAGGCATACCCCGCGATGAACCAGGCACAGCACGACCCGAACAACATGTACTATCCGCCCCAACCACATATGCCTGGAGGCTCTGCACCACCCCCAGTCACCTCATCGATGGCGCATTATCCTAGTGCGCAACCTCCCCTGTTACAGCCTGGCCCGGCTCAGTACTCAGCACCGCCTCATCCATATTCTCAATATGGGTACGCAAATGGGCTCACTTCTCCGCCTGCGGCTCCAGTGTCCAACGGCATGCCACAGAACGTACTGCCACTGCCAGGGCAGCCCGGTATGCCCAACCAATACAGTGGGTTCGATACCACTGGACAGGTGGCACCTCCAGGCATGAAACCCAGAGTGACGGCTACGCTGTGGGAGGATGAGGGCAGCTTGTGCTTTCAGGTTGAGGCCAGAGGCATCTGTGTGGCGCGTCGAGAAGGTGAGTGTGTGTAATCTTCGGCTCAAGTAGCAATTGTGCTAATCGCTTGTCAGACAACCACATGATTAACGGCACCAAGTTGCTCAACGTTGCCGGTATGACCCGTGGCAGACGCGATGGGATTTTGAAGAGTGAGAAGGTCCGCCACGTCGTCAAGATTGGCCCTATGCACCTGAAGGGTGTCTGGTATGCATAAACCCCGCAGCTAGAATTTCGTAAGCCAGGGGGATATGTGTCTAACATTGCGACAGGATCCCTTTTGAGAGGGCACTGGATTTCGCAAACAAGGAGAAGATCACTGAGTTGCTGTACCCCTTATTTGTGCACAACATTGGTGCGCTTCTATACCACCCGACCAACCAGAACCGGACGACGCAAGTCATGCAGGCTGCGGAGCGTCGCAAACAGGAGCAGCAGACACAAATGCGCAACGCCCAGCCACCAGCACCGCTTCCCTCGCTCCAGCAACAAACCCACCACCACTCAATCGGTCTCCCGCAGCCCCCGCTATCGTCTCACGGCCGGCCCTCACTCGATCGTGCCCACACCTTCCCCACCCCTCCCACGAGTGCCTCGAGTGTGATGGGAAGCATGGGAGGAGAAAACTACCAGTGGCCACAACAACAGGGGATGAATGGTTCTCAAGGTACTCATCCCATGTCCATCGATACTAGCCTTAGCAACACTCGCTCAATGCCTGCAACTCCAGCAACCACTCCTCCTGGAAGCAGCATACAGAGCATGTCTTCCTATCCTCCCGCGACCCAGCCGTACGACAACTCGCGGCAGTACAATGCGCCGCCACTACAGTCACCCTACCAGTCTACAAACACCAGCCCACAGGACCGCTCCATGTACGCGCAGGGCAACTACGTAAAGAGTGAGATGGGCCCGCCTTCAAGTCGTCCGTCAATATCAGGCCTCCCTACCGACCAGGACAACAAGCCTACCAACGGCTACTCGAGCCAAGGCGGTGAGCATGTGACGCAACAAGGCCCTGATGACGAGGCCGACCACGAGCACGAGGCAGAGTATACGCATGATCGGAGCACGTACGACAATGGGAACAGCCAGTACAACTACAGTGCCCCTCCTCTTGCTCCTATCCAGTCCGACCACCCCCATCTCTCCCCCGAGATGGCCGGGTCTGCAGGCCACCAAGGAGCCTCGGGCCGGTCAACGCCGCGCAGCGCAGCCGCCCCTCAGTACTACCCGCAGCAAGGCTACAACACTTCACCCCGGAGCTCGACGCAATCCGGCATGTACAATGTCGTGAGTAATGACCGGGGCCCGACAAACGGTGACTATGCATCACATGCCGACATGAACAACTCGATGCAGAACGGTTACGCACCGGCGCCCATGAATGGTGCGACGGGTGGGATGAAGCGTGGCCGGGACGACGAGGAGGAACAGCGGCCCCTGAGCGGCGGGCCTGGCATGGACATGAAGCGGCGGAAAACCTTGGCACTGGACACGGCGCCCGCACAGCCGGTTTACCAGCCCGCGCCCGCTGTTGCCGCTCCCACAAGACGGCGATAAGGACCTCGGCGGTCCGGACTGGCGTGTGCGTTTGTGACATTCTTGACTGCGGCCCGGGTTTAAAACGATAGAGGCGTTGTGGCAGTTCTTTTCGGGCGTTCCAACTCATGAAATGACGGAATGGCTAATGCTAAACACACAACACACAACACAACCAACCAACTCTGGTCTATACCGACGACCGCTATTCGACCTGGGGAATCGCCTCCAGTACGCTCCCTTTTTGTTCCCTGGCCTCGGGCCACCTACTGTATTTTTCACCTTTTGATTTTCGTTGGCGCCAGAAACGACACCACAGCAAGCAAGCACACATACGATTCATCGACATTTTCCGCTCTGCACCAGACGCGATGATGACGCTTACGACAACGCGGAAAGAAAAGCATCATTTCCGAACATCTTTGTGTTACACGCCTACCATGATGGATGTACGGTTGACGATTTTATGGAATCTGCATGAGAGGCCATTTTCACCGCGACAGAGACCAAAGAGCCTTGTCATCTGCATTTTACGGCTCGCACCATGGCGAGGGCGGGGAATACTGCGCCGCCCCTTATTCGGGCTCGAGGTCATCCCGCACAGGTTTGCAACCCAAACCGCCCTCGTTCGGAGCCAACCGCGACCACCACTCCCTTTCTCCTGCTTTACCTTCGCCTTGTGAAGGGAAAGCAGAGCTGCGACCCCGAGCTGAAGTGGCATGTATACCCAGCCAACCACATCAGCGGTACATCTCGGGGCGGCTTCCGACAAGCGCTTGCGATCTCTTAACCCGCCGCAGTCGCACCCACTGGTACTACATCATTAGGTCGGCATGGACGAGACTCGCGAGCTCAACGTTCTGGTCGCGCTTCAGGGCATCTGAAAAGACGTCCTGGGGAGGCACTCATCCACCAGCACTGGCTTGTCTTCAGTTGGCGGCTTCTTCTCTTTCTTCTATCATTTTTGTCTCGAATCGGCCTCCGGTGATGACTTTACGACATTGATTCTCTTCGACGACAACCGAAAAGCAGTGAGTTCTTATTTCTGTGGAGTCCAGAGACCCAGTGTGGGGGGCGGGGATGCGCATGGGCGCCAGCTTGGGAATGGAGCAGGAAACAGTCTCCAAACACCCTCGGGAAGATATTTCCACAGTTTGATGCTGTCTGGATATTGGGTCGGCGCGGAGGGGGACACGTCGAACCTGCACTTGTTCTTCCGGGTTGGGTTTTCTGGGACCAACCACCACCAAATCTCATGTAACGAGCTTATGACGGGGAGTACCTGATCTGCTTTTTTATTCTTATTTTTTCACCCACATCTCGTCTTTATTCTTCAACCTCTTCTCTATGTTTTTGTGTGTTGAACAACCGCGGGAAGAGAGAGAGAGGGTTGGGGGCAGGGAAGGAAAAAGCGCCTGCGGGCCTTCTTTTTTTCAGTCTCTCTTGTTCTCCTTTCCTGGGGGGACCCCAAATGACAAATACAAACAAGACCTAGACGATTTGAAAACTTACCTCTAAAGTCCCTACTTGCGCCTGATGTCTTTGCGTGAACTGTGAAATGCGGGTGCGATTGATGATGTAAAGCAAGTGAAGCTGTGGCCCCAGTCCGACCGACTGCCGACCGGGTACGTTCATGGTGGATGGATGGATGGATCAGAGCGCTGAAAGGTTGAGGTCATGGCTGCTGCATATGTCCAAGCCAACCAACCAACCACTCGTGTCAGAGACCACCAACGAGGATGGATGATGGCTTGACACGTTGCCCAGACGTCGCATTCCAGCCAGCCCCGACCCGACCCGACGTACGACGGCAATTCTCCAGGAGGGGAGGAAGCAGGGCTCACCTCACCTCACTCACCCAAAGTCAGCCAGCCAGCCAGCCAGCCAGCCAGCCAGCCAAGCCAAGGCCAAAGACAGCCTTGGGGAACGGGGCGGAACGTGGTGGGCGGGCCGCTCTGGATGGACTCCAGCTGCCATGTGGTTCTGGGTCCTGGCGTTGGCGTCTCAACCCAACCCAATCCAACCCAATCCAGTCCGAATGAATCAGGACGGAGCCTTTCTTTGTGCCCTTTGTCCCCCCCGCTTGTTGATTCAGTTCTAGAACACGCTCTTTGTGTGTGTGTGTGTGTGTGTGTTTCGTCCGTCCTGCATTCCAAGCTGGCGGCGCCATATCTTTTTTGCTTGCTGCGGGATGTGAATTAGTTTAGTTACGTAGTGGGTTAGTTCAGCCTGTACGTGGGCTATTATTTAGGCAGGCAAGCAGAGATGGGATCAAGGATGATGATCTGTGGCCGTTCCATTTCATTCCGGTTTCCTTTGTCGCCCTTCCCCCGGGTGGTGAGTTAGTGAGTGCATCCGAGTAGGGAGATGCGCCCCCTTTGTCTGAGGATCTTGGGCTTTGAGCCTTGGGGGAGTGGTGGGTGGTTGGTCCCCTCCTCGCACGGGCGCGATCGGATTGGGTTCCTGGGGGAAGGGGGGCGCATATACTTTCTGGATAGTGTTTCGTGATCGGGCTGAGTATTGAGTGTGTATTGGATTTTTTTTTTTTTTTGAGAGAGAGAGAGAGACATCAGAGATTCGCGCCGGCCAGAACAGAGGGGTTAAACCTGCGCCGTACGAGGCTGGCTATCTGGCAAGTAAATACATATGAATGAGAAATGGAGAAGAGAGGTTATCGTATGTGGATGTGGACTGGATCCGATGGTCTGTCTACTAGTCGGTCAGTCTGCTCAGACGTGGCCAATGGCCTTGTCTTGGGTGTGCGGCGGATGTCGGGCAGTCAGTCAGCCTGGTTGGTGTGTGGTGTGTCTCTATTTCGTCTCATGTTCGTGCATGGCATTCGTGCATGCATGCATGTGTTTGTGTATGCATGTGGGCAGCCGTCTGAGCAGTGGGATTATGTACATTGCATCGTGCGTGTTGGTTGCTGCCATTGAGTGAGTTGGATGATGTGCGATGCAGGCAGGAGACAATAACAAGTATGGACCTGGGTAATACGTAGATTATTATGCACGGTAGAAATCATGCCCAAGTCTACCGTGTTTGTTTTGGCCTCCAGTTGATGATGATCGATAGCCAAAGATGAGATGAAGGAAACAGAACACAAACCAGACGGGCGGCATGAATGCACGTGCCACCTCTCATTCCGACCCCCGCTGCGTGGCCGTTGCCGTTGCAGTTGCAGTCTGTGGCGTCCTGGCTGCAATGCATTGCTGCAAGCCTTGTTGTTAGCGTTGCCGTGCCGATGCCGCTGGTGCTCCTTTGTTTTTCTCTGGTATGACTCCTCCTCTTCCTCCTCCCACTCTCAGCCACTGCCGTAGTGGGCTGGCTGGCTGGGCTGGGCTGAGTGGGAGAGGAGAGGGGGTTCAATGGGGCGGGGGAGGGAGCAGGGGCCCCACCTGAATTTAAGGGCGCAACCACCTTGAATGTTGTGTGTGTGTGTGTGTTATGTGCCCAGTCTGTGTGTGCCTGTGCCTGTGCCTGTGCCTGTGCCTTGCAGGTCTGGTCTGTTCGGGCTTGCACTACTGTAACTCCTAGACTGCAGTAAACTGCAGCAGGTACAGAGGTAGACGGGAGCTGTACGGAGCTTAGGTAGAGAGTGCAGTAGGCTGGGCATGTCTGTCTCGTCGCGTCACCGTCAAAGCGCAGCCGTTGGCCGTCGCCTCTCCCACTTCCTGAGATGGTCCAATATTACGTGCACATGCCCTCCTCGTCCGCCTGTGTCCCTCCCTCGCTCCTCTAATCTAATCTAGCGGGCACACCCACACCCACACCCACGCCCATACCCACACCTAATCATTGCGCCGTAGTCCCTCCACTCCTGCTGCGCCCGAGTTGCATCACCGACTGCGACACTCCCCTATTATTGCCCAGCGCTGCTCACCCGGCCAAAAAGAAAAGGATCCGCGAAACACGAGACGAGACGAGCCGGCGAGACACGGTCCAGACGGCCGAGATTCGATCCCACATTTTGACTTGCCGTTCCGACATCTGTCGACCTGTCGACCTGTCGAACCATCCAAATCAGGCACAACCCCAACACAACACAAGCCAAAACAACACAACAAGACAAGACAACATCGCACAAAACCCACATTCCTCCCTGCCCCCCTCCCCCTCTTGTGCAGCCAGCCCCAGCTGTGCAACCCTCCGATGGGATCTCCTCTCTCGCCAATGCACCACGCGGCACCAAATGGTACTGCCACGTACGCCGACGACATGGAAGACCAATTCGAAGACGCCCTCGAGTCCCATACCCACTCCTCCTCCCCCCTCCAGCAGCGCCGCTCCACCGGCAGCGACAGCCTGGATGGCGCCAGCTCACCCTTTGTCGCCGGCGCCGACGACCACGCCAGCCAGTCCTCCAGCCAGTCCTCCAACCAGGAGAACGTCTCGCCCTCAAAGGACAAGCGCCGCTCCAGGATCATGTCCGGCTCCGAGATCTCGCCCCTCAAGATGCTGCAGCGCTCCAGCACCGACGGCCCAATACCAGAGGCCGACGAGAAGCTGGCCCCGCCCGCCCCAAAGAGCCCGCGAAAGTCCGTCTCTCCCATGCGCCGCTTCCCCGTCAAGATCAACAACTCCATCGACTCCACAACAACGAGGTCCCGGCCGCAGTCCATGCATGCTGCTCCCCGGGAGCGCCACATGAGCTACTCCGAAGACCCATCCTCCTCCTCCCCGCCTGCAGCGACAACATCATCGACCACCACATCAACAACAAATGGCACCACACAAGAGAGGGAGATGACCCTCGAGGAGGCGATCGCACAGAACCCGGGCGTAAAACATGCAATCGAGATATTCGAGGACTCTATCAGTAGCATAGATGACGATGACGACGACGACAGCGGCCCCGACGGCGAGGGCCCCACCGTCAAGGGCCCTATGGATGCCCCGACACCGCCCAGCGACACCCACGACGAGACTGCAGGCGACGAGACCATGATGAGCACCTTCAGCAACTTCTCTGCCATTCCCAACATGACCACCTTTGCCCGCCTGGGCGGACGCACGCCAACGCAGATGGCACGCGAAGACCCACGCCGCGAGTCCAACTCCACTAACCTGCTTGACTTTACCGACAACCTGCGTTTCCCTGGCGGAGGCCGTACCTCCCCCACAAAAAATCTGTCCATGGCCGACGCCAAAAAGACACCCCAGCGCCAAAACATCGCGAACCTCCTCGACTTCGACATCCCTCCAATGCCCACCCCACGCAGCCTCCCGAGCATCACCGCCCGTGAGCTTGAGAGCCTAAAGTCCAATTTCATGTCAGAGATCAGCGGCCTGAGGGCCACCCTCAGCGGTAAAGATGCCGAGGTCATCTCGTTGAAGACAGCCCTTGGTTCGGCCGAGAAGCGCGCCGGCGAGACGATGGAGGCGCTCCGCGAGGAGCGCAGCATGCGGGAGCAGTATTCCGAGGAGAAGGACATGTGGGAGAAGCGCGGCCGCGAGATGGAGACGGTGCTGCGCCAGGTCAAGGAGGAGATCATGAAGACGAGCCGGGAGCGCGAGGAGTTCGAGTCCAAGCTCGAGGAGTCCGAGGGCCGCCGCGAGGCCGCCGAGATGATGGCCCAGGAAGCAGAGGCTAGGATGGCCTCCATGCGAGCACGCGAGGCCAGCGCCGAGGCCCGCGCCGAGGCGGCGGCATCACCTGGGGGTCTTAAGAACGCTGGCAACCGCGCGTCACAACGCGAGATAGAGATCGCGGTGGAGAAGGTGGCTAGGGAACTCCACGCCGCGTACAAGAAGAAGCACGAGGACAAGGTCGCCGCGCTGAAGAAGACGTACGAGGGCCGCTGGGACAAGAAGATCAGGGAGCTCGAGGGCCGCATCGGGGACCTGGCCAAGGAGAACGAGGAGCTGAAGCTCGGGCGCGACGCCACCATGACCAAGGTCGAGCTCGAGAGGGCCGCCGTCGAGGAGGAGCGCAAGGCGCAGGCCATCAAGGACTCGGCCCAGATCAAGGAGCTGCAGGCAGAGGTGGAGAAGCTCGAGGCCGTCGTCCGCACCGTGCAGGACGACAACGCCGACCTGCGGCAGCAGCTCGAGAGCGAGCGCGTCGAGAAGGGCGAGCTGGTCACCCTGGCCGAGGAGCTGATGCAGATGCAGGCCCAGCAGCAGAGCGTCGCCGCCCAGCAGCAGCAGCAGATCGAGCAGCAGCTCCAGGAGAAGCAGCACCAGCAGCGCCGCGAGCCGTCCCCCCAGCAGCAGCACCACCCCGCCGTGACGCCCAAGCGCGTCCCGCAGCGGGCCTCGGCGCCCCCGCCGGCTCGGACCAATAGCCAACACACCACCACGGCGGGCGGCTTCTCGCGGCCCTCGACCATGACGCCCAAGAAGGCCGGCGGCGCCAGCCCCAGCGGGATCCCCGGCACGACCAAGTCGGGCTACCGCAACAGCATGATCGGACGGCCTGGTGGGGGTGGCCCACCACCACTGTCCGGGCTGAAACCCCCCGGCGGCGGGACCAAGATCGGCGGCGGCGGCGTTATCGGCGTCGCGCCCGCGCACCACGGGCGGACGCAGAGCAACCATACCGGCATCGCGCGCCCCGGGAGCGGCCTCGCGCGGCCCGGCGGGCTGATGAGCTCCATCCAGCAGATGGGGAGCTACCGGGGGGCCGGCGGGCGTGGGGAGTAGGGGTCCTCGCGGCGGCGGCCTGCGTCTTGTAACCGGTGATTCTTTCTAATGGAATGGATGTGGTGTGTGTGTGATGGGGAAGGGGGGGGGTTGGAGATGAACGAACAGGAAGGGGTTCGCTGCCTGTAGAGGGAGAGAGTGTGTGTGGTGGTGGTGGTGGCTGGCTATTTTGATTGCGTGCGTGCGTGCGTGCTGGCGTGCTGATGGGTTCTCCCCGGGGGGACTGCGTCCTTCTCTATGTTTGGGTGGGCCCGATGGACTATGATTTGATGTCGTTATGAAAAGAACGGGTGAGAGAGAAAAGCAAAGATTCGGATATGAATTTTGTTTGGGTGGTTGTTGTGGTGCGCGTGTGCTATGGTCGCACGGCACGCAGGCTGACTTGTTATTATGTGCCCCGTGAGGAGGTGGGGGGAGGATTGCATGAGTTGCATGGGTTGAGTGAGCGATCGAGGCGAGGCGATGGAAAGCGAGACCTGGCGGCCTCGAGTGAAACCGACAGACAGACAGACAGACAGACTGTGATACTCACTCAAGTCGAAGCGGCTGGACTGTACATAGAGAGACACTTACTTGAGCGGGGCCCAGAACCTCACCCGGCTGCCGGTTGGGTCTCTTGTTGGATGGAGTTGTTACTGTCTCTTTTCTTCCCCTCTATCTTTTTTTCCGAGACTTCTTCAGGATACCTACATACCTTAACTACCTACCTACTTCTACTCGATACAACCAACCCTTCGTACTTGTCATTGGTGCTGGTCTTTTGTAGGAATGCATCTTGTCACAACCGCCTTGATCCGTGGTGGCGTCCGGTAGAGTTTGGCTTATTTTCGGGCTTGCGGGTTCAGTTGCTTGCTGGCTATCTGGCTGATTAGGGTGGCTCAGTTGGCGTCGGCGTCGATCTTTGAGCGAACCACCTCCCTTCTGGGCTTGCTTCTACGTGCTTGCAACGGATAGGCGGTATCAAGTGCTTGCTACTAGGAGGTGCCACAGTTGGTGAAAGAGACTCGGGTTGCATTGGTGTGAAGCAGCTCGACGTTCTGCCCTTGTCCTCTGGTGTGCCCCTCTCTTTGCGCGTGATGATTGTTGTTTCCCAGCGTTGGAGCGGTTTGTTTATGGACCCGTGGCATGTGATTGGCTCTGCAGCGGGGCCAACTCGCGTAGGGGCACTTGGTAATCCTATATGAGGTTGGTTATCTTGTGGTAGATGACCCTATAGGGTGATTCCCTGAGTCGGATATCTCATCGGAGGTTATTCTATTGGAGGTAGGGTAGAAAGTATTACCTATATGGTCAACTATATAGATGCTGTGGCTGAGTAGTGGAGGGTCGAGTGAAGCTTATGATGGCGGTGATTGTTATCTCTTACTTGCTTCTCACTTTGTTCTGCTTATGGTAAGCATGATACGATGTCACTTACAATAATACTTGAGTAGCTTCCGTCTGCTGCTTTCAACGTCTGGGGTCCGTATAAAAGTAGGGCGTCCGGTAGTTACGACAGATCGCTATCATCCTCAGAGGGTCACATGGGAGTAACGGTGAGTACCAAAATTGTTGTAAATTCAGAAATCATCGAAGCTTCTACTGCATTCTCAACCGCTTGTATAAGGGCTGAGCCCTCTCCCTTGAGCAAGAATCAGCCGCGATGCGGTCGCTTCATGCTCGCAGTGACTCCCTTCTCCCGATTGGTCCTCTATCCTGCGGTCGATGAGAATCACAACTGCAAGCATCGCTCAGCGAAATTTGCAGCGCTCCACCTTCAGTCCTGTGTTTTTGAGGCATATTCTGAATGATTCTGGGGGAAGCCCGCCACAAAGAAGCCTGTCCCACTCGTCAAAGGAACGGGGGAACCAGTTTGACAACAGTGTGATAGTCCGCTTCGAAGGGGAGCCAAGAAAGGAGCGAAGCAGCCAAAGAGACCGGGCCCGGTCTTGCAAATCGACTACAACGAGCCCATGGCACTCCGCCACACAACACAATCGGCCGAGAACAAAGACCCATTCCGGTACTCCGACACCATTGACCATGGGCAGTGAATCTTGGTCGCATGCTAGGTAAGAAAGTCGGAGGATATCTTGACCATGAACTTGTAGCTCGGGTGGCGGTATTTCATTGGATAGGGGCAGGTTACTGAGTCCGACTAGGCGGCTCTCGGCACTCGAGAGCACCCTCCTAAAGGCGGTGAGGTGGTTTCGCACGAGAATGCTGCGCATGGAGGCAAGACCACCACGGTGATGGTAACTGACAGCCTTCATTCGCTCATCCCATGCATCTCGGATTTCGATCTGCCGGTCGGATGCTACGCGAAAGATGATCACCATGAAAAGCACATCCTCGGTCCGGTTGGGTGGAAGAAGATCTGCATCCAGCGTTGGGAAGAAGTAGGGGTACCCATCTGCCTTTGATGCTGGTATGAGGTAAATTGAAACGACATTTGGAGTCTGAGCATGACTGACGTTAGCGAAGCGTTCCCTCTGGAGGAAGTGGTTGAAGACTCGATCGAATTCGGGCTTGTCCGTTTCAGCCGTGGGCATCAGCCTGAGTATAATTACATCTAAAGAGTTGATGCCATCGCAGTGTATGAGGAATGTCATTTTGTCGCTTATGGGGTCTTTCACAGCATGACTTGTAACCCAATACTCATCGGGCACCAATGATTTCCAATGTCCCGTCACGGTGTCCGGCGTCTTGGTTACACTGACAAGCTGAGCCACGGTCGATAGGGTTGCGTCCATATGTATACGCGCACCGGTCCACAATTTGCGTTTCACAGGCTGCGCGTCAGTCTGTTTGGTGCCATTGGAGATGTCCTTGGACTGGGCAGCGCTAAGTAAGGTAGGTAGGACGATGCGTACTGGGCCGGGTCTCGCAGGGTGGCACGGTTGACGGCATGCTTGGGAGGAGGGAGTGAACGTCGCTTCTGGGCATGCACATCCTCGGAGGCCAGAGTATCAGTTCCGGCCTTTCGCTTATTGCCGCTTGCTCCTTCAGCCGGTCCCGCATGTTCCGGGGGTCCGTGAGATACGGGCTGGGAAGAGAACGCCCGGTCAAATATCTCCGACAATTGCTCAGCTGCAATGCGGACGGCATTTTGAGGGGTGTTCAGCCTCTTGGCATCGGCAATCATGGAGTCGAAATCTGCCTTGAAAGAAGTGAACGAATTATAAGCCCCCTCGGCAAGCTTCTCTTTCATGGTGCCGAGGTTCATTGGCCCGACCTTGGCATCACGACTTGCGAGGGTAAGCGGGTCCATAGCATTCAGAAAATATTGGTTGGAGCCCCAGTTCTGCGTCGTGTCCATGACCTCGTCCAAAATGCTGTTACAGCGCAGCCTAACGATCAGCTTGTTTCTCGTAGCGCTGCTACTGGCTTGATGGTCAGAGTGCTGAGGACGGGCGACGGAGTCATCCGTTCGTAATCTAGACGCTCTGTGCTCCGCACTGCCCTGTTCACCAGGGACAGGGGTGGAGGACTTCGATTGGGTCACGGTTGGCTGCTGTGCAGAGGAAGGGGCCAAAGAACTCATGTCGTCGTTGATACGGTTGAACAGAGACTTGAAAGTTCTCAACTCCACCTCAGCACCCGAGTATCGCTCTGTAGCGACTTTAAGATCAGCCTCAAGACGCATATTTCGTTGCTCAGCAGTCTTCAAGCGTTGTTGGATGTCTGCGGATTCGCTCCTGCTCAGCTCGAGCTCACCTTCAACAAGGGCCTTGCTCTCGTTGATAGCCTCAATTGTAGTAGAAAGCCTGTTGCATTTTCGCCGAAGGCCACTGTTATCCCGTTCCGTGGCATTCAAGTTCCCAACAAGGTCCACAACACGACGCAACGACTCTGCTAGCTGGCTCTTTGACTGGCAAAGATCAATCTTGGTCAATCCATGATTGCGCTTCTCAAAAGCGAGCATGGTCGTCACTTCGTTGTTCTTGGTCTCGTCAAGCTTTTTAGTCAAATCGGCCACACGCTGTTGCTCTTCTTGTAGTCTACGTTCGATCTCATCTCTGTTCTGGTATGACTTATTCAAGGCATCTTCGACGTTGTCGATGAGAGCCTGTTGGCTTTCTTTGAAGGATCTTTTCAAAGAGTCGATTTTCGTTTCATGCTCTCGAACAACAGTGAGAAGCTTGTCACGTTCGGTATTGAGAATTCGTTCCAGCTGCGGTGTTTGAGCCTTCGCTCGTGCAGGTGGTGACTGAGGTGATGCGTCCATCTGTGATCTGGTGTGTCATAAAGTAGCGAGTACCCTTTGCAAGCAGGAGGACAACTTCGGGCTGCTGTGCTTAGAGGCTCCCCAGATGAGGCAAAGAAGGGGAACCTTTGTCGCGGTTCTGAAGGCAAACGCAGATGCTAACTGTAAAAGTTGGCACGGGGGAAAAAAGTATGAGTGTGGTACAGAGCACTTGAGCAAACGAAATCGGAGGCTTTCGCAATAGCTCAGTGTTGAGTAAGTACTCAAAAGGCTTCGGGTGGTGACATAGATTCCAATGGCAGCTGCTTGATTGCTTCAGAAGGTGTCGAGAATGGAGACTTCGGTGATGAGTAGGCACAGGTCAAGCTGAGTGGCGCCTGAGATGCGAGAGTGTCATGAACTGTGATACTGGTAGAGGTTGGCAAAGTTTGGCAGTTGCAAACGCAAGATACCGCAAAGCCGAGGGAACCTTGGCGTTGAGAAGGCAAGAGATGTGAAAACCAATTCAAAACTTCAGAGCTTCGGCCGCCCCTCAATAGCGCGATGCGCCTCGCCTTTCTCCTCAAAGTACTGCCGGATAGCGCCCTTGGCCGCGTCAACAACACCAGCGTCCTCAACGGTACTGGGCACGTTGACGTTCTTGTCAAACTCGCCGTGGACGGCGTTCTCGAGCAGCTCACGCAGAACCCTCCGTAGGGTCTTGCCTGACCTCGTCTTGGGGATGATGGGTTTTGCAGCCGAAGTGGTCCTGATCATGCCACCAAGTGAGGCGATGGGGCCTACTTGGGTGCGGACGAGCTTTTGTATCTCAGAAAGCAGCTGGTTGTCGTCGAGAGTGCTGGATGATGAGCTGAGGACGAAGGCAAACGGTAGCTGGCCTTTCATGGAGTCGGGGATACCAACTACGCATGCCTCGGTCACTTGGGGATGGGAAGTGATCGCTTGCTCCAGCGTGCCTGAAGGTAGTTGTGAGCCAAGATGAAGCAGGGAGTTGTTGGTGAGGGAGAGAAGAGATTGAGAGAGGAACGGCCGGCAGAGAAGATGTCGGAGAGAGAAGCTCTTGGGGGAAGGCGAGGAGGCAATAAGTGGGAGAGGAGGCTGAGAAAGGGAAGACTGGGGGTAAGAGATGGGAGACAAGAGACCGAAAGCCAAGAGATGAGAAGGTAAGAGGTAGGGAGATAGGAGTCTGGGACACAAGAGACTGTAGGGCAAGACACTGGATGGCAGTGGTAGAAGGGAAGGTAGTGAGAGGAATGATGAGAGGGAAACAGGGCCAATAGATGAAGAGGCAGGCTCAGATAGGAACTTACCAGTGCTTAAGCGATGGGCAGCCACGTTGATGATGTCGTCTGGAGAAAGGTTTGCTTAGATGGAAGTCACCACAGCATAAGGGAGTCTGGACAATTAACTCACCAGACCTGGCCATAATATGGATGTAACCATCTTGGTCCACAATACCAGCATCACCAGTGTCCAGCCACTTCCCGTTGAACCTCTTTAAATATCCGCCATAAAACCGCTCCTCATCCTCCCACAGTGTCCTGAACGCAGTCGGGGCCAGGGGAGTCTTGAGAACAATATTGCCCATCTTGCCCTTCCCCAGCTCATTACCTTCATCGTCCACCACTCGCACGTCAAACCCGGGCATCGGCTTTCCAGCACTACCAGGCTTGATAGCCAGTGGCTCTTTTGCCTCAAGCTTGTTGACAACATGAGGAGTCATTGAAATCCCTGTCATGGGCGAGCCAGACTCAGAAGACCACCAGTTATCGATGACCTTCGCACCACCCAACTTATCGTCGCCATACTTGCCCAGCAGCTTCTGATACATGGTGATGATGGCTGGTTCGGATCGCTCTCCTGCGAGGAACATCGCCCTGAGGGATCTCAACCCTCCTCTCTCACCGATTTTGGTGATATGTTTGTTCTCCGGGTCATCCTTGCGTATGGCGCGAAGCGCGGTGGGCGCCGTAAACATGGCATTGACTTTGTACTCCTCGAGCATTCGCCAGAATGAACTAGGGTCAGGGGTGCCAACTGGCTTGCCCTCGTATAGGACCGTGGCGGCCCCGACGAGTAGAGGACCGTAAAGTGTATAGCTGTGAGATACGACCCAGCCAATATCGCTGAAGCACGCCATCTGTTCAGGCATTATCAGTCAGCCCACAAGTATTGCGGCATTCAGTCAAGATACTTACAACATCACCTGGCCCCTGAATACCGAACATCTGCCTCATGGACAGGCTCAAGCCGACCGCATGGCCCGCGGCATCTCTCACCACACCCTTCGGCAGCCCAGTCGTGCCGCTGGTGTAAATCACATACACCCCATCGCTCCCCTTCACAGGGACGCACTCGTCAACCCTCTGCCCCCTCATCTTCGCGCTCCTCACAAGCCGGTTCCAGTTCCTTTCCCCCTTCTCCCGGACAAGCGGGTGCCAAGCCAGCTGCTCGCGCTGCCAGACGATCGTCCTGGGCGTCTTCCACGCCGCCAGCCTCTCCGCCTCGACGATGTAGTCCCGGTACGGGATCGGCGGCTTGTTCCCGTCGATGCCGCAGGACGCGGTCAGGATGGCCCTCGGCCGCGACGCGTCGATGCGCTGCGCCAGCGCGGCGGGTGCGAAGCCGCCAAACACGACGGCGTGGATGGCGCCGAGCCGCGAGACGGCCAGCAGCCCGGCCAGCGCGGCGGGGATCATGGGCATGTAGACGAGGACGGTGTCGCCCCTCCGCACGCCCTCGGCCCGCAGGACGGCGGCCAGCGCGGCCACGTCGGCCAGCAGCTCCGCGTAGCTGATGCGCTGCTTGGTGCCCCCCCGGCCCGCCACGGGGCTGTCGTACAGGATGGCGGGCTCGTCGCCGTGGCCGGCGGCGACGTGGCGGTCGACGCAGTTGTAGCAGGTCGAGATCTCGCCGTCGGGGAACCACTCCCAGTGGTCGTGGGCCTTGTGCGACTTGGGCAGGGCCTTGGTGTACCTGCGCAGGACCGTGGAGGGCTTCTTGTGCCAGTGCAGGTGCGAGGCCTGCTCGGCCCAGAAGGACTCTGGGTCCGAGAGGGATGAGGCGTGGAGTTGGTCTTGTGGGTGAGACATTGTGGGTTGGGGGGTATGAGAGGGTTATGGGCTGGTGGATTGGGTGAGAATGAGGGTGAGATTGAGGATGAGAAGAGTGTGTTGGTGGGTATTAAATAGGTTTAGCTGTCCGGGTTTGTGAGGCCTACGATCGCGTCTAAGTGAGGCACCAGACACACCTGTGATTTACACAAAGACCTGAGTTGATCTATATAAATCTATCTCCCGGACGGTGAGATAGAGCAGGTCTGAGGCTCAATTATGCTTCGGGGGGCAATCTGCAAGATATACTGCCGATATATGTCCGCATGCACCGAGGTTGCCGTTCTGCAAGGGCGAATGGAGGGCTGGATGCCACTTCCCCGCATGGTCATCCTCATCCCCGGGCTGCATTACCCCAGACGAGCGACCGGGAACGGTGACTTCATCGGCTCTTTTTAAGTTTCAGGGTCCAGCTCCACCCGAGGAACCACAGGCTGTGCACTGCATCAGCCAAGTACTACCTACCGTTGAAGTCTTGCCAGATCTATGTTGTGACCACGAGTAATACTAGTACTGGATTGGCATGTCTTGGTAACACAGGCACATATAACCCTGATCCTTTTTAAAAAACCATAGTGGAGGCTACGACATCCTCTAATACATCTTAATTACCTCTTACCTTTCAATTCTATCAGTGATCCCACAAGACGCTAGACAATGTCATGGCTCAGGTGATTTATAATTCACCTGTAGCCACATAGATAGACAATTAAGCAAAGCTTATCTGCAGAAAGTTTCAATGTTACTAGAAATGTGTCATTCTGCCATTAGACAGGATTGTCTGACTACTCAACAGCCACAGCTCTATATCTAGAGAGATATCCCTCATCTCAAATCGCCAATCTTCTCATCCATATACTTCCTCCACTTGGGGCCATTTCTCAACAAAAGCCATATAAACAGATTACACGTAACCCACGACAGCAATGCCACCATGGTACATAACCAACCCACACCGATAGCGCCGATGAGCGGCTCCGTGACAATCACACCCACACAGCTAAAGATATTCCGGATAAAGTTGTTGAGCGCGATGCCGCTCGAGCTCCGCCCAGGCATGAACTCGGTGAGCATGGTGGCCGACGCCCCAAAGACAAGCATGGTCGCGAACCCGAAGAAGAAGTTGGCGGCCATGGGCGCGACCCAGAACACTCCCTTATCCGCACACCACCCGAACCACAGCATCGCGGCCGGGTACATGCTGGCGGCGAGCCACGCGTTCTCGCGCAGGCGGTCCTCGGGCAGGAAGACCAGCCTCCCGCGGGCGTCGTACCGCCCCGCCTTCTTCGCCTCGCGCACCATGATGCTGTCGACCCAGCGCCCGCCGAAGAGCGACGAGATGAAGTAGCCCAGCGAGGAAGGGGTGTACATGAGCCCCACGACGATGGTGGAGAAGCCGTAGGGCGCGCGCGAGAAGGTCCCCTGGATCGTGATGTTGAGCACGAAGAGCGCGCCGAAGGTTATCGCCGCCAGGCCCACCGTCAGCGCCACGGGCGGGAAGCGCAGGTAGACGATGCACGTGAGCGGGTCGACGAGGGCCCTGCGGAGGAGGGCGGCGGCGCGCCGCGTCTTTTGGGCGGCGGAACGGCGGGTCGGCGTGCGGTCGAGGTTGCTGCTGCTGTCCGGGTTGGTTGCTGCTGCTGCTGCTGCTGGCCTCCTGCGCGCCAGCGTCTCGGGCAGGAGGAAGACGATGCTGAGGAGGTTCAGGCCGCCGAAGCAGGTCAGGAACCACATTGTGCTCTGCCAGCCGAAGGCCTGGGCGAGGGCGCCCCCGATGATGGGCGCGAGGAGGGGGCCGGCGAGGGGGCCGAGGTAGAATATGCCTGAGGTTTTGGAAAAAGATATCAGAAAGTGTTCCAGCGTTGTCACACGCAGTGCTGATCTTGTTGCTCACTCACCCATGGCCCGGCCCCGCTCAAAGGGCTCCCACAGGTCGGCGATGGTGCCCGCGCCGACGGCCTGGACCGAGGCCGCGGCGCCGCCGGCGAGGACCCGGGAGACGATCAGCATGGCGGTTGTGCTGCTGATGGCGGTGAGGACGCTGAAGACGACCGTCAGGCTGAAGGAGACGACGTAGATTGTCCTCCGGCCCAGTGTCTCGGAGAACGATGACCTAGAAGACTGGTGAGACGGCCGGTCACACGAGGGTCCGTGGATGAATTGCGGGGACCCACCACCACAGTGGGAAGATTGACATGGCGAGCATGTAAAACGCCACGCTCAGGTTGATGATGGTTTCCGTCGTGTGGAAGTACTCGGCCATCTCCGCCAGGGCGGCTGTTAATACGCAGTCAGCAACCATGGAAGTGGAGCAGAGCCGGCGGGTTCTCCGGCCCCCGTCTGACGGAGGCCGGTGTGACAACATTGAAGACGTACGGTAGAGGATGCTGGACCCGAGCGGGGCCGTGCAGGCGGCCGCGGCCACGATAAAGGTGACCATCCACTTGGTCTTGCGCGTGTAGTCATACGGGCGCTCCACCTCGGGGATCAGGGCGAGCTGGGCAAAGAGGCCCCTCCTCTCCTTCCGGGGGACGACCACGAGGGGCCGCGACCTCGCCGACGACGCCCAGGAGTGGGGCCGGCTCAGCCCGCCCAGGCCGTCCTCGGGCGGGATGCCCGTGTTGAGGCCCTCGGGCCCCTCGGGCGCTGGGTCCCGGTGCTGGTCGTCTTCCTCGTCGTCGTCATTATCACGCTCCTCGTAGATGGATACCTCGCGGGATTTGGTCTCCACCTCGACGTGGCTGTCTGCGTCGTGTTGCGAGTCTGTGTCGCTGTCGTCGTCATGTCCTAGTGATGGTGCATTGTCGGTTGTATTTGTTTTCTTCTCCGTGTCAGTAGTGCTGGCAATTACGGCACCGCCCTCATTCTTTTCTGGGCCTGTAGCCATGGCCAAGCCCGGAAGCTCAAGCTAATAACTAGTAATGAGTTGGAGGCCGCGACCGGCGCCGGGGGGTGGACCTGAATCCGAATAGCCCAGGATGAATCCTCGAAACTGAGCGCGGGATACAATATTTCAATAAGTGCACACTAAAACTAAGTTATTGGGATAATGTAATATATACTATTGGTAAAATAGCACTCAAAATCGGGTCCTGATGTTGTATGTTGAGTAGTCTAGCCTGGACAAGAGAGTGCAAGCAGCAAGATTTGTGGTCACAAGTGGCGATGAGGAGTCCACGACGGGACAATAGCAGCAGTAGGTAGTAGCTGCAGGATCTGAAAGGCCCTAGCATCGATGATATGTGGATTCGGTAGATAGCCGGAAATAAGAGGCGAGGCACCCTCTAGGGCCAGAAACTCGGGCGTTTCCCAAGTAGGTAGGCTACTAGAGAAAAAGGGGCGATCCGGCTCTGTTTTATACCTATCCACTTTTTTCCCCCGTCGATGTCGTCCACGCAAGACTGTCCAGTGAAGATGTATTGTCTGCCGGGGGTGACCGAGTCGGATGCTGCATATTTGGGTAAGCAGGCCCGCCTCGAGGTGACGGAATCGCGCCTGACTGGCCAAGGGGGGTTTGTGCCACTCCGGCTGGGCGGTCCAGGCCTTCATCATCAACTCGAGACGGTTGGGTGCTGGGTAGCCCAGGCCGACCTCCAATAAATGCCAGATATGACTTGAGTGAAACTACTAGGACGCCGCTGGAGGAGGCAAGACCAGGTAGAGATCACTAGCTGTGTGCGGGACTTGCATGGCGACATAGGCTGGAAGTCGATCGGCAATGACGGCATCCTAGTGTAGAATGGGTGTGCCCAAGGGTTGTCGTGTACGGAGTACGGAGTATGTAGTGTATTTTGACCAACTTGACCGCCGCTGTCTTGATCCGCAGGGCGGACTCTTTCCTTTCCTAGTAGTGTGCCGAGGTCACCAGGGCTGTCTGCTGGCCGACAAGGGCAGTTGTGGACTACCCATTTTGCTCGCTGACCCCTGCGAGCAACGCCCGAAGACATGAAGATTGAGTGCTGCGCTGTTGCTGTGGCATTTGCTGGGCCAATTTGTTGATCTCCAGCTTCGCAGTGCCGTCACGTCTGCAGTTGTAGTTGCGGCTTTTGTTGTATACTATTTATTAGCCACAGCCCTAGCTGAACTATTTTGTCGTATTTGTGGCAGCGTTGGATAACGTGTGTCCCTCAATGGTCGGCGTGTAGGGATCATCCAGGGTTGCTTGGGCGGCTGACAGATTCAGTTTCGGCGCTCGCCATAAACTTGGATGCCGAACAACGCACGGACCAGACGGCAACGGCCGGCCCGGGCAGCGGCCACTCCTGCCGGAACTGGAACTGGCAGTTTCCTGAAGGTGCACCCTCGAGAAGTGATGATGAATTATGTGAGAGCTTGCAGGATAAAGAAAACATAATGTTTCATTCGATTGACCAGATCAATACCATAAACAAATCAAATAACCAACATTGCAGCTTTGGACTGCATTTGGCAGTGCATGATGGCCGTCCAGAACTCGATCGGGAAGCGACTCCGATCGTGGAGTCACACATGAAAATGACTTCACCCGAATGACTTGACTAAACTTGACTCTCGCAATCGCAGCCACAGCCACCACCCCACAACCACGAGGCAGACCATCGTTATTTTCAGCCTTGCCATATCTTGATACCCTGCCTGTGTGCTTGCCACACATATCACCAGCAGGGACTATGTCTCTCACAAACTCGAGTGCCCTCGAGGCCGCCCAGGCTGCAAAGTCAGCCTCGCACCTCCTCGCCACGCTGCCCGTCGGCGCCCGCAACGATGCCCTGACCGCCATCCACGACTCGCTGGTGGCCTCCAAGGACGCCATCCTGGCCGCCAACGCCAGGGACATGGACGCCGCCCGCCAGGCCGCCGCCGACGGGCAGCTGTCGCCGAGCCTGGTGTCGCGGCTGGACCTGGCCAAGGCGGGAAAGTGGGAGGACATGCTCAAGGGCATCCTGGACGTGCGCGGGCTCGGCGACCCGCTCGGCGTCGTCGACCTGCGCACCCGCCTCGACGACGGCCTCGTGCTCGAGCGCCTGACCTGCCCCATCGGCGTGCTGCTCATCATCTTCGAGGCCCGCCCCGAGGTCATCGCCAACATCGCCAGCCTGGCCATCAAGTCCGGCAACGCCGCCATCCTCAAGGGCGGCAAGGAGAGCACCCACAGCTTCGTCGCCATCTCCACCGCCATCTCCGCCGCCCTGGCCCCCGCGCACGTCGCCGTGCCCGACGCCGCCGTCCAGCTCGTCACCACCCGCGACGTCATCCCCCAGCTGCTCGCGCTTGATGCCTACGTCGACCTGGTCATCCCCCGCGGCGGCAACGACCTCGTGCGCTACGTCAAGGACAACACCAAGATCCCCGTCCTGGGCCACGCCGACGGGCTCTGCGCCGCCTACCTGGACCGGTCCGCCGACCCCGCCATGGCCGCCGCCGTCGCCGTCGACTCCAAGACGAGCTACCCGGCCGCGTGCAACAGCCTCGAGACCCTCCTGGTCGACGAGGGCGCCCTGGACGGCGCCGTCTTCCCCGCCGTCGCAGAGGCCCTCCTCGCCAAGGGCGTCACCCTGCGCTGCGACGCCCGGACCAAGGCCGCCGCGGAGAAACTACTACCAGCCACGGCGGGGGGCAAGGTCGAGGACGCGCGGGACGTCGACTTCGACACGGAGCACCTGGCACTCGTGCTGGCCGTCAAGGCCGTGTCCGGGGTGGAGGAGGCCGTCGCGCACATCAACACGCACGGGTCGCACCACACGGACGCCATCCTGACCTCGGACGCGGCGCAGGCCGAGCGCTTCATGACGGCCGTCGACTCGGCGGGCGTGTACTGGAACGCGTCGACGCGCATGGCCGACGGCATGCGCTATGGCTTCGGCACCGAGGTCGGCATCAGCACCAACAAGATCCACGCCCGCGGCCCCGTCGGGCTCGAGGGCCTGACCATCTACAAGTACAAGGTCCGGGGTACCGGCCACGTGTCGGCTGTGTACGGCGAGGGCGAGGGCAAGAAGCGCTTCCTGCATGAGAAGATGGCTTTGTAAGCGGGGGCTGGTTGTTATACACATGGGATATAGGTTGAGACATGGCGTTCAGGGTCGGAGAAAAGTGCCTGCGAGTCTGAAAAGGAATAGGGCTGCCGGGAGGGGCAGCAGGGGACTCAATTATCACGAAATACACTTTTGATATTTCCAATTCCACGTACTATATACCCACACCTCTCGATATCCAACTTGCCCGCTCAAGGCACAGTGCAGATGATCTTGCCCCTCGTGACATTCCTCTCCATCAGCCGGTGCGCCTCCTGGATCTCGTCCATCCCGTAGACCTTGTCGACAAAGACCTTGAGCTCGCCGCCGGCGATGGCCGGCACGTCCTGCTCGAGCCTGTCCCGCAGCCGGCCCTGGTACTCCTCGTCGCGCGCCCGCAGCGTGCTGCCCTCCCAGCGGATGCGCTTGTACAGTATCTGCGCCACGTTGAGGTCCCTGAGCTGCGCGCCGCCCATGAAGGCCAGCTGCACGACCCGCGCCTCCCGCGCCGCGCAGTCCAGGTTCTTCTGCACGTAGTCGCCCGCGATGTAGTCCACGATCAGGTCCACGCCCGCCCCGCCCGTGGCCTCCAGCACGCCCTTGGACCAGTCGTCCTCCTTGTAGTTGAACGCCCTGGTGGCCCCCAGCTCCTTCTCGACGAACTCGCACTTCTCCGCGCTGCCGGCCGTGGCGAAGACGTTCTTCGCGCCCGCCCGGATGCTCAGCTGGATCCCCGCGATGCTGACGCCGCTCGCGCCCGCGTGCCACAGCACCGACTTGCCCCTCAGGTCCTCGAACCCGCCCACAAAGTGCAGCGCCTGCGTCGCCGTGATGAACGTCTCGGGGATCCCCGCCGCAGCCTCCCACGACAGGGCCGCGGGCTTGCGCAGCAGCATCTTGGTGCTGGCCGCGATGTACTCGGCGTAGGCGCCGCCGTACGCGAGGCCGAAAACCTCGTCGCCTACCTTCAGGCCGCGGCAGTGGTGCGCCTCCTCGGAGCCCAGGGCCTCGATGGTGCCTGAGAACTCGACGCCCATGATGGGGCCCGCCTGTGGCGGGAGGGGGTAGTTCCCTTGCCGCTGGATCAGGTCCATGCGGTTCAGCCCGAAGGCCTTGATCCGCACCAGGGCCTGGTGCGCTGCCGGCGTGGGCTTGGGGACCTGGTCGTTGATGTAGAGGGCTTCGATGGGGCCCTTGCCGCCCTTGATGTCTGGGGTGGGTGTGAGCTGGGGGTCTTCGCGAGGGGGGTTCTGGAGGATGGGATGTGGGCGGGTGAGGGCCTGACTTACCGACTGCTTTCATGTACTCGGGCATCTTGGCTGTCCTTCGATAAGTTGAATGAGGTATCAATTGGGTGTTCTCTTGGCTTCTGTTTTAGGTTGGCTGTTGATACCTTTGGTGCCTTCGTCGAGTGTCGTTCAACGAGGATGAGGAATGACGTCGAGATGGGTGCTGGTGAGGGGATCTGAATTGGAAAAGTTACCGTTGAATTTGTAGTCTATATTGATCCTGGGGGCCTGAAGGACAGGACATTGAGATGACGTTATCACGACTTCCGCTCTGAGCTTACTAATTGCCTTGCTGCGGGTTTTGCTACTGTGTAGAACTGCCATCAGTCGGGGTAGAAATGCCTCCGGAACGGCCCGGGTTGACCCAGAGGGTGGGGTCGGTCGACAAACGGAGAACGGGGCACGACCAGAAAAGCCTCGGCACCCCGGTCGCGTCGGATCAACACCACCGGCGACGGACATTGAGCGAAAACACCTGTCGCTCGCCATCCCACATTTTTCTTCTTCCTTCTAGTACCTTCTGATCGATCTTGCTATTTCGGGTACATATCAGCATTTCTCATTGCGTGATTGGACCGCACACGCCCTCAGATATGGCGATTAAGAACAAAACCACCTCCCGTCGGGAGGTCGAGGAGAAAGCACGGTTCTAAAGTTGAGAGTTGACATCAATTTTTGGTTTCCAGTACAATCCGCATCATAGACACCTGAATTTCTACATATCCAGTTCATATCGTTCTCCCATTCAGCTGTCACGCAAGATTTCGTGCATCACACGCAGAATAGATCTTCTCCAATCATATTCGTCAGGCTTGGCGTCTTTGATCTCCCAATCTTCATTGTTTACTGCTTCCTGGTCTCTCTGGAAGAAGGTTTGTCGATTTTCAATCAGTTTCTGCTGTAGTTGATTCAGAGACTTGACGTTCTGCCGGGAGAACACAGGTGCTTTCTTTTCGAGACATTCCCTCCATTGTGCGAAGTCAATGTCCCAGATGGCGCCCTCTGACACGAGGATTTCGGCTGAACGGAGGCAAGTATCCAGGCGTTTCATGTAGTCAATCTCGGCCTCATCCCCGTGTGCGCCTTTTAATACTGTCTGTAGAGGAAAATCAAGTGCAAGTCTGTTGTAAATTGACCAGCCGTTGCTGGGTGTCGGGAAGTAGATATTGGCATTAGCGCCGCGCTGTAGAAGCATGCCAATAATGTCCGGTGCGCGGGGGTGGACCGAGGCTGCAGCTGCACCGAGTGCAGTGGTGTATTCGTGGTCAAAAATTGCATTCGGATTTGCGCCGCGCTCGAGATATTCTTGAGCTGCGTCATTCAGGCCGGCGTGCGCAGCAGCAGCAAGCGCGATGTTGAGGCGCTTGCCCGTCAAGTTGTCGAGATTAGCACCTGCTTGTTCGAGCGCTTTGATAATTGAATCAGCCGGATATGGAGTATTGTAATTCCAGTTCAGAATTGTCCAGAAAGCAGCACCAATAGCGTCACCGTAGCACCCTCCCACCTGCAGGTTCACATCGGCGTTATGCTCAATTAGCAGCTGAGTGTCTTTCTCACTACCCGAAATGACAGCTTCGATCAAGGCAGAGGTGGTGTCGCCGTACAGAGTGTACGTCTCGTTGAGGTCGGGTGCCGGATCATGCTCAAGCAGTTTCTTTAATACCAACTCGTGTCTGTCGAACGTGCATACTTCTCCTACGTGCCTGGCTCTGACGCGCGTCTGGGGCTTGTCAATAAGTAGACAAACAAACGAATCGAGTTGGTCCCTCCTTGCAGCAGATAAGTGGCTTAGGGAGGCTTCAACGGCATCATCATAGACGGCAGATCTGCCGGTTCTCAAATCCTTAAATCGCATGTTCACATCTGCACCCTGTTCCAATAACTGGACAACTAAGTCTTTCCATCCGTAATGTAAAGCCGCCGTCAATATAGTCCCATCTTTTAGAGGCGTATCTACCTTCACGTCTGCTTCAAGCATCACTCTGATCGTGTCTTCTGATTGGAAATCGTAGATGCTGACTTCAGACAGACCTCTGTTTGTCTCGGTCCAGGCTTGGTCAGAAGTAGCACTTCGAATATGATCCAGCAGCAGTCGAAGGACCTTCAAAGACTTGGATTTGATTGCGAAAAGCAAAACATGCCCGTGGTGTCTCGTGAACGCTGAGCAAATTTCAGCGCCACTCTTAAGCACGACTTCCGCTGCTTCCTTTGAGTCGTCTATCGCTGCGGCGATAATGGGTGGCACCTCGTCATCTTTCGTAGTGCTAAGAAGATGAGTGTTTCGTTCAGCTCCGTTCTTCAAAAGACGCTCAAGGATCTTTGTCTCGTTGTGGGCACACGCTAGTGCAGTAAGCGACCACGACAGCGGCTGGGCATAATAAGAAAACCTGAAAGGCCAGTGCCATGGTTGCCACCAAATTGCGCGATACAGAGTCTCCAGATCGACACTGGAAGAGCTCAAGCACTGTTCAAGAAGAAAGGAAAACCCGAAGTAAGATGCCAAGCTGATGCGGCTCATGTTCATGTTGCCACGCGAGGGGGAGGGCAGCTTTCGTGTCGAGAAAATAGACCACGGTACGTATTGACGCCAATTGATGTCACCTGTATGCTCTACCCATTTTTCATAGGCTAGGCTCGTTGCTCTTGATTCTCCCAAGAACTTCTGTAGTGCTCGAGAAAGACAATCGGAGCCGTTGGCCTCGTGAGACTTCAGTGCGCGTAAATGTATCGGCCAGGCATGACTCGCATACTCTGCTAGAGGCTCCGTGAGTTGATCGTGAATTGATTCTTCCGCATCCAACGGTGCTCCACAAGGACACTGAAGGCCCTCAAGACTCCGAAAATTGTCGCGTGTGCCACATTTTTCGTCAGATCGACTTTCACCGAAGGTATCAAGCATTATCGTTAGGCAAATTGCCCCAGCCTGATAGTTCGCGCGGCCGTGGTTGCACCAGTCGCTTTTTTCCAGGAATTCTGCGACTGCTTGATGCGCCAGCCGCCACATGGAAGCACCGTCCTTCAGATCATTGGAAATCTCTTCATCGGTAAGCTCTTCATCGGAAAGCTCTTCATCGGAAAGCTCTTCATCGGAAAGCTCTTCATCGGAAAGCTCTTCATCGGAAAACATACCGCCCTTGTCGCGACTGCAATCCAGGCTCAAGAAATCGTGACACAGATTCGACAACCATTCTTCATCCAAGTCCCAGCGTGTGGGAACCAGACTATGGGATTCGAAGTCTTGAGAGATCGCAAATAACAACTCATCCGTAGTCAGGGGCCTCGCAGCGCACAGTACCCAACGAAGGGCTCGGTCAAGAAGTTTCTTCCGATCAGTCCCTCGCGCCGTCGCTTGTCGATATAGCTCTTCGTAAGTCTCCTCCAGAGATTTTGGAAGCTCGGCAAGGCATTCCCGTAGATCAGGCTCGGTGTCACAACGCAACAACTGCTGGATTTGGAGCGAGGCGAAAAGAAACATATCTCCGCTTTTCTCGAGAAGAGTGTCCGCAATATTGTTCTGGAGCTCCGTGGTCATTTTAGACCACCTATGATGATCTGTGATTTTTGTTCGCACGAAAAGCGCTATGTCGTCCGCATGTTGATTTTTCTCCATCTGGATCGCCGGATACTTGTCGAGATGTTGCTTGTGGAGTACCTCAGGTCTTGTTGACACAAAGATCTTGACTGGCTTGCACATTGATTTTGGAGACGCAAGATTGACTAACAGTTGGATCAAGGCCTTCTGTTCGACCTCTCCGCACTCGTCGAGTGCATCCAGTACAATTGTTGTTCTTGGGTATGTGTTGATCAGCGCCGCAAGACATTCTTCCCACTGGGAAAAAGTTGAGATTATCCCCTCCGGTCCATTAGCGGCCTCCCACAGTTGGTACACGGCTTTGTGGACGGTGTTGATTTCACCGGGTGACGTTCTCGCCCATGGCCCCGCGGCTAATTGCCGTATGATATTCCGCAAGATCCAGCACGGATCATCTGATGCATTGTCTTGTTTGTTGCAATAGAAGTAAGCGAATCCTTCAGAGTGTTGGTTTGTTGACAGGCCCTCTTGAACCCAATCGATCACGCGCGATGTACAATAAGTTTTGCCTGTCCCGACTTCGGCGTTGTGTGAGCGAAAAATTACAACTAAGGTGAGCGAAGTATCACTTACTACTACCACAGAGTACAAGGAGCTCAGAGCCTTCAGACTCGTACCATTGGAGGAACTTTCTGTCTTGGATGATCCAGTTGCAGGTGCCCTCCAACCGATTCGTCCCCTTATTGTGGAACTTTCCGTGCCTCTCAAGGGCCGGAACAGGGGACACCCACTTCAGTATCTTGTGTGTTGTCTGCACGTCCTGTATCCGTCTGAGGGCTGCCACATCATGGCCGAGCTTGCCAGTGTACGCTTGAAGCTTGCCGTTTCTCACGGCAACGCAAAAGCGGGCCCAGTATGTCTGATATGCGTCTGAAATGCTCCGGTTCACGATGTTGTTAAAACATTCCCGAGTTAGCTCGCCTTCTTGATTGAGCCTTTTGCTGGTGGACTCATAGCATTGTTGAAAAGGCTCGATGAAATCTCCGTCGGTTGGAAAAAGCTGCACCAGTAGCTTGAAGAACAGCTTGTGTAGATCACTAGCCGCCGGGGACTTGAGCTTCAGCTTGACATCAGTGCTATCAAAGATTGGCAAGTATTGCATGGGGGCCACGTCTGCCACTTGGCTTAGCATAACAGGAACCATGCTATGCTTTTTGGATGAATGGAATTCTCTGAATTCCAGGAATGCAAGCTCTGTTAAAATGTGATGAAACCCGGGTTTGCCACATTCGGCCTCAACGCGATCTCTGATTTTCGACTGGTCGGCGCCATCGACGCAGATTTGGACGACATCTTTGATAAAAGCCAGGGCTGACGGCATTCCGTAGTACCGCTCGAGGACCTCGGAGCCACACACGATGACCTTATCAACGCTAGTTGCTGTCGGTGTTACAGTGTCGTTATCCTTAGCTGGTAGTAGACAAATTTGGTTCTGAAGAATGTTGTGGACGGCGCCAGTGCCTTCGATTCTAGGGCGATGTAGAGGCATCGGCGACTGATCTGAGAGGATCTGAGCATTGATCTTTTTCAACCACGATATCATCGTTCGAACACAAGCATCATGGGCGTCGCCTTGCTCCTCGTTATCGTGTGCGTAGACGATAAATATGTTTGGTGCGTGATCAGAATTGCTGAAGAGGCTGCTGGTAGCCAGCTGATGAAGGATCTTGTCGAAGAGTAGGTCAAGGGCTTTGAGCAATTGTCAGAGGGAGCACGGAGAAAGAGAGTGATTAGAATAGATCTAGAGAGCCCATCGATCGTGAATCTCATGTTTGAAGAAGGCATGCTTACCCTGAGGTATAGATAAGGTGTCTGCTAGATCTCCCGACTCGTTGAGGAACTCCGAGAAATCCCTCTTGCGTTTGGGCGCCGCCATTGTGGAAAGTCGAAACGCTGTGTCAGAGCTCCGCGGTGATGGATTATCGAATCTTTAGATATCTCTATTACAAGAGTTGAATATTTGTGCTCAACTTGAAGCTTGGGTGATAATCTTGTGCAAAAGTGCTGTGTGGAGAATGGAATGTGCCAGCAAAACACGTACGTCTCTGGGCATTCCCTGAGATTTGGCTATTTGCTCAAGTGGGAAAACACCAGTGAGAACCTAATAAGCAGGCTTTCAGCTCTGTAGCGGGGCGGCATGCAAGGCATTTATCTGTCCTGAAGGATGACGGCTTGGCGTCAAGGCTTTGCCCAGGTGCCCGACAGGTCAGCTTCCAGTTCACTGGTCCAAAGGGGAATCTCGCCTGCAAATCAACCTGCGAGATGAACTGTACAGAGGCACGGGCCTACAAAGACAACCAATCGGTTCGTTCAGGTCGATGTTCCGTGACGCGCTGTTTCCTGCCTGCCAGTGCATCAATATTGGCATCCACTGCTCTGGCAAGGCATACTGCAAATTTCGTAGGCCCATGATCAATGCGATTGTGACAGCCAGATCATCGAGGAACTGTTTTACATGTATATTGACGGTTGGATTTCTTCACGCACATGAGCGAGAGAGAGAGAGAGAAAGAGAGAGAGAGGGAGAGAGAGGGAGAGAGAGTAAAAAGCTGTGTTGTTAGTTGTTTGGGCTAGCAGGGGTGCCTCGGCGAAGGACCTAAATGTAGGCCCCTTCGGCTGACAACTACATAAAGCCACTGAACAAAGCATTGCCAACATATACAATGCTACATTATTTAATGAATCATTTCCTTGGGTTCCTAGGTACGTAGGTAGTATATTGCTGTTGATAAGAATGCAACATTTGAAGTAGGGGCTATATCCTATGGCCAGCCACGTGACTTCCCATGGTTACCCTAGGGTAGCCCCAACATGACCTCGGGAACGCTGAGTTCGCCGCTACGTCCCAACAGTACCAACCTGTCCAATGGCTCTGGATTCAGGGCCTCTCGCACCCCGACCAAAGCGACACAACAGCTGTATGCGGCGCAGCGGGAAAGCTTTGCGCCTCGGTTTCACGCTAGGCTGCTTCATCGGGCCTGCGTGAGAAGATCGAGCGCGTAAGTGTTGGCACGGCGTCCTTGGGGCTTTGTGGCTCACTGCAGTTGCCCATTGTGCCGTCCCTGTCTCCGTACGCTGCTGATCTCGAACTATCATGCTTTGCTCAACGAATGTTCCGCGAATATTTTTTCGTCATCCCCTCAGAGCCACCACGATTCCAAAGACTAATTCTGTCACGTCGCGGCCCATCTTCCAACGCCCTCGGGAATGTTCAAGGCGCCTACACGCCTCAGCAGCGCGAAGAGAGATGCAGTGGAGCTACTTGGCCAAACACCCAGATGAAGCGAAGCCCCCTTTGCCCTATCACAGCGGCGCAACTATCCCGGCTCTGAGATGGGATCCCCCACCCAATGATCCTATTTTCCACAACGGTGGTCTAGCTAAAGGCCAGCTTCAAGAGGAGCTGCAGAATGAGCACCCTTTAGCAACCTGCCTCAGGTACACCGAGGCAACGGACGCACCGACCGAAGGCGAACGTGTCGAACTCCAGGTTGTTGATGCGATCAGGGTCATGGACGGGCGACACTCGCAGATCGCGAAGGTGAAGGTACTTGACAACCGATCTGTCCATGAGAACTCCCAGTCTCCGCTCAAGCTGCTGCGCGGCCAAACCATGACTGCGAAGTTCTACGATCCACTGTACCAAGACATCGAGGACGAGATGCCCGACATCTTCGGCAATACTTACAACGCTTGCTACCGCGAGACATGCGTATATCGGCAACTGAAGCCGCTGTGGGGCACCGTCATTCCGCGCTTTCACGGGTCGTTTAGAGCCAAGGTGCCTGTGCCAGGGCGGCCAGGGCGTTCGCGCTGGGTCTATGCCATTCTCTACGAATACGTGCCCGGTACTGAATTGTCTTACATCGACGTCAACGAGTGGAGCCAGGCTGAGCGCATGGCTATTATGAAGGCGATCATCGACGCGGACAGCAAGATGTGGCAGGCCGGCATATACCAGAGGGACCTCCTGCCGCGCAACGTGATCCTCCAAGGAAGGCCGGGGCGCCCGGTCTCTGTCAAGGTGATTGATTTTGACTACGCATTCTTCGAATCCGACTTCAACCCGGATGAGGATGAGCTTGAGCCCGAGCCGCCGTCCGTCATCGTGGATCGGTGGACAGACGAGCTCCGTTGCCCTGTGGAATGTTTCCGCGATCTGGTCGATTGGCCATGGGATGAATGGATTCGGGCCGTATACCTGCGTTAGAATATCTTGTGCCAAACACATGTAGTGTTTATGATATTTTCTCTCCTCCTTTGAACATACTTCGGCCTCGTCTCGACCGACCAGACAACGGAAAACAATCGCTCCGCATGTGCTGATCGCGCAATGCTTGCACAAATCGGTGCCGGTTGACGGCACATGTTGGTCGCCCCCAACTCATCCTTCGCGACCAGTGGGCCGCCCTGCTTTAGAGTTCACTGTTGGTCGCGGCACGGTTGAAACGTGCGGTCTCGGCAGACAAGGCCGCGTATGATAGACACCCTGATTCGACGGCCGCATTCTACCCGCCCGCGCTATGTTGACTGCAGCACTGCAGTCTTGGGCAGGGCTGAATGCATCTCGAGAGCCGTAAATAGCACGATGTTTTGGCCCCGTGTTGGCCAGGCCGCAGGCTCAGCGAGGGGACCCGTGGACGTAATAATAGCCCTGGCTAATGATCAGCTGCACGAGTAGGAGTCGTGGACGGGGATACAAATACCGTCATGGACCCTGTGAAGCCGTGGAAATCATTGATGTCTTTTCGATCATCTGCGGCTCTCAACACTCTAACAATCAAGTTGTTGCTTTTGGTTAACTGCCTTCTCTCTTTCTGCCCTCAGTCATACCTAGGTACTTTTATTCGCCATGGCTCCACCGCCAGGAGGCTCCTCCCGAGGCTTTTCGACAAGCAGTGTTCGGAAATGGCAGTATACCTTTGCACAAGCACTGAACATCGCCGGGCCCCGCTTCCCGAAGACTTCTAGGAGGACGCAGGTAGCTGTTATTCCGGGAAGCCCCACGATGCTGCAGGTGCTGCCTGTGGCGCTGAGGCTTCGAGAGCCTCCGCGATTTCAACTTCCAGATATCCGCGGCATGGATAATGGGGTGTTGGACAGCTACGTGGCTCACGTGAATGAGTCAAATCACCAATCGACTTTGCTTAGGGAAGCAGATGTCATGTAAGGATCCAGTTCCCGCCCCCGGGCCGCCGAAGCAATGTACACTGCAGACTACCATTCCCCGAATACTAGAGCAAGCCTCCGCCACTGACAGGTACATATAGACAGGAGGCGGGGAAATTCTTCGTTGACGTCGCGGCCAGCCTCGCCCCTTACTATCTTGCCCGCTACGGCCTGAACGGCAGATTCGACTGCGTGCGGGAGAACGCCTTCTCGGGGTCAGCCCCGGACCTCGTCTTCAGATACAACGGCCGCGACATCCTCGCGCTGGACTACAAGGGCCCAAACTGCATAAACGAGAATGAGCTGCTCTCCTGCTGCGCCACGTCCGTGGGGGAGGCGCTGGAGGCCATCCGGGGCAAGAAGGCCTCGAAGAGACAGCAGTCTGACCCCAGCCTCGTGTCGGGCGTCAACCAGTGGACAGAGGGCCTCCTCAAGCAGGGGCTGAAGTACGCCAGCAACCGCCGGGTCTCGACGGTGCTGTTTTACGACTACGATTATCTCTTGGCCATGCGGCCGCCCAGAGGGCTTGACCGGGGTAACAATCTGATGCTGATGGACGTCACGATCTGCCCCGAGTACACAAAGTCCACCGAGGACGGGCTGGTTGCTCACTCGGACAACCATGCCATTGTACTTTTGCGGTATCTCATTATGGCTGCACAGGAGTGCGAGGAGAAGTCGGCAGGTTCATCAAGCAGGTCCAAAAAGAAGTAGAGCGGTGAGCGGAAACATGTTACTGCCTGTCTTTACTCCCCACGTCTTTGTCTTTTCCTCCTTTTGATAATGTTGCTGTTATGTAACTTTGTATGATTGTATTGTGTCCTGTGAGATTTATTTGTTACTTAGCTAGATCGAAAATACATTGCAAGTCCCAGTTCTTGATCCGCTATTACCATCACACAGTAAGACCTTGGAAAAGCTCATACTATGTCGTATGGTAGTCCTTGTGGCTTGCCTACCCCTCGGAAACAATATCATCAAAAGTGATTCCTGGATCTACTTTCTCCAGGAGGTGGTCCTTCAGGGCCATCTTACAGGACGGTATGCTATATGAGAGCGCGTGATAGGCGTTCATGCTATAGGACGTCAGAAGGTAGATGTCGTGGCCGCGGCGCGGACATCCGGGCAGAGATGATAGCTGGGTACCTATCTATTCGGCCCGAGACCGGGAGGTCCAAGGAGGAGGATACCTAGGTAAGCAGGCACTCAAAACCCACAAGTAGAACGCAATGGCCAGTAGGGTGGTCGTGTTGCCTGTCCGGTACTGGCTGCTGAATGAGCTCTAAACCTGTAACGTTAAGTTCAGGAATGACACGCTGGTGGACATCCGGTATACAATTGGGCCAGGTCACTTCCGCGGTTACGATTTCCAGCTCCTGGCTTGATAATCTATGAAAGCGATCGGTGGTGTGCCAGTGGTTTCGCGTGATATCAGACAATGGCACTGTCACTGGGGTACCTAGGTAATAAGCGACATGTGGGTGATAACCCGCAACCTCCCTAGCAAAAGTGGAACTGGCGACGGCCCTGACTTGTCTAAACCTAAGCAGCACGAGAAAACCACGGGCTTGATCATAAAGAACTCTCATATATGTTAGGGCGTTATCTGGTCTCGGAGAGATTGATATTCTAGTGTACTGGACCATTCATTCATTGTGTGCTGGTGAACGAAAATGATGCCCGTCTTGGAAAACGCACAATGGTGTCTTGGCCCCGCCGGGCGGGTTGGGGGAAATTGCGCACCCGCCTCGGTGCTTTGATGAATACGATGAGGAATCTTGATGGATGGCATGTGCTTACTGCCCCACCGAGCAATAGTTGGATCCTCCACGGCACCAGAGTTCTGATGTTGAATGTCGACTGGTTGGTCCAAGGGGACTTCAACGTTGTTCATTCACATCGATGTGGGAGGGCAAAACGGAATTTGACCATGTATCTCGGTAAGCTGTTCTGCGTGTCTGACTGTACTCAAGTCCAATATTGCTAAGAAAGTGATACGCCAATTCTTGACTGACAGATTTTTATTCCCTTTTGCAACGATCGCTGGATTTGAGCGGCTGCAAAGGCTGGGCATATCTTGGCCGATCCGCCGGGCCGTGGGCGAGGGTGGTGAGGGGCGATGGATGGATTATTGTCTGTGCTGTTGGGGCACGGCCTCTTCGGAGATGTGAGTGAGACCTGTCTCGCCCGGCAGTGGTGTCGGATGGCGGGAACTCTAAACACGCTTGCCATGCGCAGTCTTGCATTCCAGGACCAAGGGGCGGACCTCTGTTGGAACCCAAGACTGACCTGACTCCTCACGAGAACTGATGTTGACCAAGCTGGTCGCATCCCTCTTCGGGGGCCGTCCCTTTCTGTTCATTTCCGCTAATAGCAACTCAGCTTTACCGCCAGCTGCAGTGATCGTCCGCCCTGCCTCGCTTGGCCTCGCCTCGCCTCGCCTTGCAGCTTGCAGGTCGGGTCGGTTCTGGGTCGTGGGGTTCTAGAACCACTGATCCGACTTGGGGGGGGGGGCGAAATAACCTCCGGGCCAGACTTGCCAGAGACACATGCACGCACACATTGTCATCGGATCAGCAGATCGTGACACAGGTGGCTTGACGTCCTGCTCGTCCCCGCAGCTCGCTTGGGAAAGTGTTGACCTGACGTCTGGAGGGTGCAATTTCCCAAGCCTCTGGGCCACGCAGTCGTGCATCGATTCGGAAGGCCTTAGTCTTGGTGCTAGTCACTAGTAGGCTGGTAGGGTGTTCTAGCGCTGCCAACGCCTGCCCACGCCTGCCATCTGGTGCCTGGTTCCTGGATGATTCTCGTTCCTGCATTTGGGCCTCTGCGCCTTCCACCCTTCCGCCCCTCCATGACGTCCGATTCGACCGACTCGCGCCTTCCTCCTGTCAGCCTGCAGCTGCCCAGCTGCCCAGCTGGCAGCCAGCCAGACCCCAGGGGAAGAGCAGCTAGCGGCAGCGGCAAACGGGTGCATCCAAGCGGCATGATCCCCCCTCATTTCCATCTCATCTCATCTTGGTTGCTCTTGCATGACAGGGAAAGGGCCAGCAGTTCGTCCAGTCTTCTCCTCCCCAAGGTTCCATCGGGACCCCAGCTTTCGGGTAAACGGTCGCACTGTCAGTCCGCCGACCCCTACCCTGCCATGTTTCTGTCATCACCAGTGGCGCCTGCAGTCTGCAGTCTGCAGTCTGCAGTCTGGAAGTCGGCATGGTGATGAGTTCGGAGTTGTCTTGTCTCTAATACTCCGTATCTAATGCCTTACCTCGCCTCGTTCAAGTTGCGAGAATACACAAGTGACGCACACGTACCCACTCGTGCTGTCCACTCGCGCCTTGCCCAGCAGTCAGACAGACCAGACCGCCTTGGCGTCTCTCTGTCTGGGCGCTTTGACTGCTGACTGGCGAAGGTTCTGATCTGACCCTGGCAGCCCTGCCTTGTCCAAGATCATGGCATGTTCTTGTGTCGCCCTCTCCTCCTCTCCGTTTGCCAGCTCGTCTAGCTGTTCTACGGCTGACTGTCGACAGGCACGAGGGATATTGTTACCTATGTATGATCTCTGTATTGTATCTGTCACATGCCCACAGCATTTATGTTTGGTCCAGCTGTCCAGGGGCTGTCTGTCAATGGCGATCCAAGATCTGGAGAAGCTCTAGAGGGCCCCAGGCCAACTCCACCCTGCCCTGATCATGGCTCCAGCTGGACCCATCCACCAGGCACGGCCCTGAGCCCACTCTCTGGCACTTCAAGATCATGGCCCAGGCTTGCCGTCTGCCAAGCTTTCGCTACGGGTCACTTCATTTCATTTCCACTCACCTTCTCCTCTTTGTCAGATCCAATCGACAAAGTTCCGTGCCGTCCTATCCAGGCACAATCCCTCGTTGATACTAGTATTTGAGAGGCGAGGCACAAACACGAAGTATTGGGCTGACGGCTGACGCTGACTGGCTATGAAGGATCCGAGGTCCCTTTCCTCCGTTCTGCTGCTATTGATGGGCACTACCTGGGTACCTGGGTACTTGTGCACCCCCTCCCGTTAACGGCTCACGGTGGGGCCATCCCATCCTGGCAGTCCTGGCCAGAATCCCATCCTCTGATTCGGCGCCCGTTAAATAACGTGCCGGCCAGAAGCAGCCAAAACTGGATCCTGCACAGACGCTCGCCCAGTAGCGCCCCCACCCCCCTACTGGCTACCCCTGCTTTCTGTCGTCCGCCATCTCGCCTGCACCGTCCATGGCAGCCATGGCTCAAGCCCACCTAATCTCCCGAGAACCACCCCATCGTCGCCTTTTGTATAAAGCACTATGGCCTCGTGCACTGTCGCCTCCTGGTCCCTCCCTCCCTCCTCCTTTCTCCTCCACCCTCACACTCACTATCAATCGCTACAACCCTGACTTTCGAGTCAATTTCATTCGTTAACCAGCTCTCAACAACACCGCAAAGGACCAACAATCCACATCTCCCAACCCGGACAACTCAAAAAAAAGTCACTCTTCCGAGTCTCTTAATTTTAATACCCGACCCCGACCGTCAACATGAAGTTCTCCGCTGCCGCCGTTCTCGCCGTCGCCGCTGGTGCCTCCGCCTGGGAGAATGTCACCTACACCACCGAGATTGTGACTGCCATCACCACCTTCTGCCCCGAGGCCACCACCTTCGCCCACGCCGGTTCCACCTACACCGTCTCCTCGGTACGTTTGCAACGGAAATCGGGCATGGCCTGACTCAGGGTCTGTCGGAGTTTGAGGAGCGAGTGATGGGATCAGGAGAATCAATGACAAATATCGGGAGATATTTGCGAACAACCTGCTTCGCTCTCACTTCGAAACTCTACTACGCAACCCGAGCAGCTCATGGCCGTGGAAAAAAACCAACAACCCGGAATATATCACATGACTAACAGATCCCCCAGGCCACCACCCTGACCATCACCGACTGCCCTGGTGGGTGCACCATCACCAAGCCGGTGACCACCATCTCCTCGGTCGCCTGCAGCACCTGGTAAGTATTTCTATAACCTGATTTTTTTTTATAAAAAAAAACCAGGACCTCAAAAAGAGAGAACCGCCATACTGATATCGTAACCTACAGCGCTGCCCCCAGCCCCCCGGTCTACCCCAACGGAACCGCCCCGGCCGTGCCCACCACCGCCGTCGGCACCGGCTCCCTGCCCACCACCACCGGCTCCAGCCCCGAGACCACCGCCCCCGTCACCGCCGGTGCCGGCAAGGCCGTCGCCATGTCCGGCGCCGGCCTGGCTGGTGTTCTGGGCCTGGCTGCTTTCTTCCTGTAGATTTTACTCATCTGAAGGAAGCGGGCTGGTTAGACGACGCGAGGAGACGACCTAGTTAGAGCGGGTCCGCCAAAGGGGATTGGCTTGATACCAGGGATCTTTTGTTGACTTTTCTCTTCTTCTGCATCGCCTTTTTGGAGTTTAGATGGGCATCGCGTTGCAGGGGGGGATGAGGGATATTTTTGAACATGTTTGTTCTGGATATGGGGAGGAGGGCCTTGCAATGTTGTTTGATCTATTCCTTTTGGTCTTTTTACTATTACAGACAGCACCCGAAACCTGCTAGTGTTAAGATCTAATTGGAAAAGAAAGCAAAGATACCATTCTTCAATCTCGATGTCTGACGGAAAATCCTCCGCATTGGATCGATCACCAAACAGTGGTAGCAAGCTCTTATGTTTCGGCTATTTTTTATGTGGAACATCTGACAATTCTGATTTGGTTCCTCGTGCTATACGTTCCTTTTCACGGCTTTAGAACAACGAGCTCTTTTTCTCATCAAATTCTGCTGCTGGACGTTTTTATGGCCTCTTTTGTTGGCGGCATCGGACTTGTCTGTCCACACATACAACACATATTTTTTCTAGGCAGGTGGGTACATATCAAACAATGCTGGGAGGCCAGTTTTGGTCCGGCGCAGAGACAGATGTCCGCTATTCCCTCTGTCCCTCTCATAGGCTTCAGTCTACAACCGTGAACAGACACACACACTTTCTCCCTTATTCGTCTTGAGCATGCTTGCTCTTGTCTTGTATAAGAGACATTGGTGTCTCGGAAGCGGTCGATCTGTCTCAGCACGGAGCGGTGACTTGGGTGGGTTGTTAAATGATGGGGCGGTTTGTTCATCTTTGACATGATAATTATGCTGCTTTTGACGGCACTTGAGTTAGGTTTGAGAGTGTGCGGCATGCAAAGAGAGAGAGAGAATGGTGGGGTGGACGGCCCGGGGAGGGACGGCTTGCGCCCGTCCTGTGTTGGTTGCTTTTGCTCTCGTCTCTTCCTGCCTTGTGATGAGGGCTGCTGTTAATGCCGCAGGTCAGTTTGGCGGTGACGAGAACCATACCCACGGAGTGACAGACGGGACTCGACTGCTGGGTGACAATTCACGTGCACCAAGTACCGCCCGCGGGCGTGCAGAAGATGGTCGGCACAGCTGGTCGGCTCGTTAATCTCATGCATTTCTAGCTGGTATCAACAGCTGTGTACCCGAGGGCGATTCTCATATAATAGTACAGATCTTTTCGTTGCCTTCACCCTCGAACCAAGTCCTCATCAAATCACATGCAGCTCCATAGCCTGAGTGTACCACCCCAACTCTGTAGTATTCACCTGGGGTCTCCGTAGGGTAGAGTATCAAAGCTTCACAGATCCGCTTCCCACTTGAATCGTGAAGTTGTTCAGGAGGATTCCGAGTGTGGAGCAGCAGCATTATAAGATTCTCTAGACCTTCATCATCGTGCCCTGCACGCCAGTCCAGGTCCGCCGTGATATTTTCAAATTCTCCACCGAGTTTGAGCCGCCACTTTGACGCATTGTCGCCCCTCCTGCCACCTTCTCGAAGTGAATGTGGAATAGGCGCCACCTTGCCACGAATTCGAAGGAAGCCACCGTAAACCTTGCCAAACCGGTTTTTCGAGTCAGTCTTAACGTCGGTATCGAGAACGGTGCACTCTGGCACAGTCTGCCAGCCGGAGAAGCCAGGATCAACCCCATTCTCGTCGCACGCTGCCCAAGACCATGACGGGGCAATATATTCCCTTTCTCTGATGCGTTGGAGATGATGTTGGAGACCGAAAGTAGTATGCGGTACGCTTTCCCAGCTCAACCCTATTAAAATATCTCCTTTCCAAAGCCCAGCGAGATATTGATCTCCAAGAGTTTCCCCCACGAGCCGTGCCAGTCCTGACATTGCAGGGAGACGATCCGTCTCGCAGGTCAGCTCTCGGTGGGCATAATCGTGAACCAGAATGTACCAATGGTCATATAAAGTGCTTGCTGGGTGCTCGCCTCGCTTGATGCCAGCAATGCGATCGAATAGCGAACTAGTTGAGTCCTCCAAGCGTCTGAACTTGTCATCACCTTCCGACCATTGGTACGTGCCGCACTGGAAATGCATTTTTGAGCCCCCAAAAAGCAATAGCCTAGTAGACAGCTTCTCTTCTTGGAAGGTCCACGCCCGATTGTTCCATCTAGACACAAAACGATCAAGTATACTTGACTCTGGGATGGTCCAATCCGCGGAGATAGGCTGAAGTCTCACCGAGAGATTGCCATTGATGCTTGGTCGGATGGCTGACTGAAAAGGGACCGAGAACGCAGGACGCCTTTGGAGAAAGGATTTCTGGCAGCTGGTCGAGACAAGAGCACAGAATGTGACGTACGCATTCTTAAACACACGATCCATCTGGCCCGATTCGTATGACCAATCGGCTGGATCATCTTGAATGATACAGAGAGCATCAATCCAAATGTAGCGAAGACCTACAGCCCTTGTGAGCTCAACCGCATCTCTGATCGCGGGGGTCATTGTGTCCAAGGCTATGCCTTGAAGTCTGTCCCCCAGTGTGGCTGTCTCGGTCTTCAGTTGTGCCTTGGCGTCCTCTTTGTTACCCCAGCAATAACTCAACGCAGCATACTTCGTTTCCGCGGTAATGAGGATATCTGACGACAGAGCGAGGCGAGGCAAATCGGACACGCCAGTGCCGATGTCAATGAGTCGCGTGGGGAGGGATGATGCTTCCCATGGGTGGCAATTTGCTGTGCATTCTCCTAGCACTCGACAAATTTCGCTTGTATTTTCAGAAGTCAAATAGCCACCATGGCGAGCAGGCACAGCTCCGAGCCATTTCTGACAACCTGCAACGACAGAGCCAGATTTACTAATGAGTTCAACAAGGAGAAAAGGGTACAGACTTACCTAGAGATGCTTCGACCGGAAAAAATTCCCTGTAGCTTCCCAGTTTCCCAGTTTCGTGTTTCATTGCATCGGAAACTAACTCTACCACAATGCCGTCGATTCCCCCCTCAACAAGAGAAATATACGCGTTCAAGGAAACATCACCATCGGATATTAAGAGGAACGACGACAAGATACGTAAATCGTAGGCAGATTTCAGTTTAATGAGGAGAACCTCACAAAAGGCGCAACCCGCTCGGCTGGAATCAGACAGGCGTGGCAGATCAGGGAGGCTATCGTCGAGATGCCACCTTAGTCGTATCAAGTTGTAAAACTTATTTCCATCTTCGTCATTTCGCGATTCGACCTTGGCGTCCTCAAAGGAAAGTCGGGCGCGACCCTCCTCGTCTACCACTTCCCGGCACCCGGCAGCAAGATCATCAAATTGCAGGAGGCTACAGAGGTTACAAGAAGCGGTTGTTACTGGCGAAGCTTCCATTTTGAAGACCCTTGTGGTGAGAATGATGATGAAAAGAATGGGAAGAATTGGGCAACGTGTGAAAGTGGCTGTTCTGAATCCGGGTGCGATGACAAGGCCGTGGGGATGGGAACAATGCAGAACCGAGGATGGCAACGGCAAGATTATCAAGTTATGAATATGCATGGTAGATAAAGGCCCAGTGCGGGGTTCATGCCGCTGTTCGTCAGACTGAAAGCCCGGAGGTCATGCTGGCCATATCCTGCTGCCTGCAGGTGGTGTCGCACACCTTCTCAAGCCAAGCCACCGCCGTAATCTCATCGTGCCCAATGGAGAAGCTAGCCACAAGTATAATAATACCAATCATCTTCACAGCAAGATACTGGCATGATTGCCTTGTAGGAGTTCAAGATATCCTTCATTCGGTTTGATACAACTTGTGTGCTCGGTGAATTAGTGTGACCAGGAAAGATACCAGGAAACGCCTGGGCACATTTTCGGGCTTTTCAGTGGTTCCCAGGTGGTCCTTTTCCCATACCTTCGGATTTGAAGCCCCAACGCGGGCTGTTCTCATCAAGGACCACCATCAATTGTTACACAAAGGACTTCAGGAGTCGGAGTACTTGGAAATTAGACCATCGTCTCACGAGATGCTCCTAATCACAGTTTATAAAAACCTTAGAATCTAAACCCGCCCCTGGACCCCACCTCAACGTGATTCATGACCGGCCAAAGGTCCGCAGGCTTGGCCACAGGGCTCCGAGGCCATGCCAGCGCTTCTCGACGGGTTTCCTCCACGTCATGAGAATGCAGTTGGATTTTGAAGCCGCCTTATCATGGAACCGCGTGCGTGCCAAAGTCGATGTCCTTTTGGTCACCTCCGTGAAGAGAGGCGTGGTCTTGTGTCGTCTGGCCGTCAATAATTACCTCGTGCTTCTGATCGATAGGGAAAGGCCATATTCTCCAGCACAGCCAGTAGGTGGATCCCGAAACTAGGATGCTCACAAGCCAGCTGAGGCTGTATAGGTATACTGCGCCTTTAGGAATTCCCCTGACACCGCAGGCCGCGGCAAGCCCAGGCATGTTTGGCACGATTCCAAATATGAACGCGATTAGGGCGCGCGGGTTGAAGCCCATGATGTAGTAATGGGTGCCTTTGGGGTCGTATAGTGAGGAGATCCTCAAACTCCTGGCCCGACATATCCAGTAGTCGCAGACGATGATGCCCGCAACAGAGCCCAGGAAGAGTGAGTAACCACCAAGGAAGGAGGAGAAGGATGCCGCGCTAGCATCAACAGTCAGCCACGGATGTATTGAGTAGGAAACTCACATCGCCGCAACAACCATACCTATACTGAATATACCACGGCACGGCGCAGACGCCCAGAAGGGCACAGACGTAGTGGCCACGCCGATTGTTGATGTACCGCGGAAACCACAAGCTCAGGTCATTCCCAAAGCTCACGGAATTTGCGCTGATATTGGTCCCGATCACAGCAAAGGCCCAGCATAATGCCGCAAAGAATTGTGCGGCGCGGTTATCCCACAGCCTTGCGACCTCGAGCGGGTTCCATGTTACCCGGCCGTAGATGACCTCGGACGCTGATGAGACAGTGGCGCCGAGGACACCACAGAGGGTGACGAGGACGATGAGGCCTACGGCTTGGGCCCAGAGCACGTGTCGGGAGGATTTCGCGTAGCGTGTAAAGTCAGGCATGTTGAGGGCGAGGGTAGCCTTGGGTCCGATGGCGGAGGTGACGCACTGGAAGAAGACTACCACGACCGGGGTGCCGTCTTTGATATGAGTGGGCTTGGAGAAGGTTGGACCGAAGCCCTGGGCTGTTCAGATGTTTACCTCTTGTCAGCGTGGCTAGTCGGCCTTCCGTAGTCGACGGGGCTTTTACCTACCTGCAACGAGCGCCCAGATGAATAGTGCCAGGCCAAAAACAGGCATAATGATCGTCTTGGCCATGAACATGTAGCGCAGGCTGCTCACATGCAACCACAGCAACGGCAGCTGGATCACTATAAAGAGGAAGAAACACAACAGCTCCGAGCTCGTGACGTGAGCGGACGCGGGCAGGCGGTTGGGGAAGTTGTTGAACTGCGGCCAGATGGCCGAGATCATAACTGCAAGGCACTGTCCTCCCTGGAAGGACTGCGTGCCGAACCAGATGCACGCGACCACGCCGCGAAGGAAGACGGCGAGGTAAGAGCCTCGCATGCCGAAGGAGGCCCGGGTCAGTACGGGAAAGTTGATTCCCAGCACACAGCCGACATAGCCGTCGAGCATGGCTGGCACGCAGACGAGGCAGTGCCCGATGAAGACGGCCAGGATGGCCAGGCCTGGGTTGAGGCCTTTTGAGACCGATGTGGATGACACTGTGTGTTTAAAGTGTCATTATTAGCCGATGTTGATGGTTGATTTTGTCCATTGCACCATTGCCTGTCGATCACTTGAACCCTGGAATGACTGTGTCAAGTTACTCACCCTGATACATCGAGATGGAAAATGCCTCTGCAATCCAGAACCCCAGAAGGCTGGGCCACCCCCATGTCCGCTGCGGCGAGTCCAGTGGCACTGGATCCAGATCTTTGTTCGATACTCTGCTCCCATCTCTGCTGAATTCGTTTCCCTCAGAGCGGAGCTCCAGCCGTCGGCGGAGGTGGAAACCCATGTTCTGCTGCTTCGAGTTATTTGGGACTTCCTCGGAGGCTGATATTATAGCTCCTTTGTGGAAGGTTGTACGAAGAGCTCCGCGGTATGATGGAAGACCTGACAGATGTGCATACTGCAGATCCCAGATAGGGTTGTATTTCGTATTGGATAGCATCCTATGGGATGCTAGACTTACTGCCGTGCTTATCAGTCTTGGGGGGTTGCTATCTAGCCTGTTTGCCGCTTACACGGCATCGTGTGCATAAGACTGGCTTCATGCAGAAGCTAGTGTGCACTCTATCCTGACACTTCTGAAGCCTAGTGTAAGCAGGATGGGTGTCTTTATACTTCTTGAACTGATGGTCATACGTTCTGATCGAGTTCTGATCGAGTCCTTCGTCTTGCCTCCGCTTGGGCCCGGGTTCAAGAACGTTGTCAGTTTTGACTGGAATTTCCACGCCCAGTTGAGGAAAACGTTGGCCAAATCTTCGAGATAGATAAAACGATAAGTGCCTAATTGCCGACTCCACATCTGAGCGGTCGCGCCTGTTTGTCTTGTTATGGTTTTACCAGTGCCGGTTCGACCTCGAGGTTCGAGCCCAGCACTGGGCATTTCTCAGAAATGATTTTGTGCTTGACAGGAATCAAGGTGCAGTCAAAAGTCGCTGGAAGCGCTTGCTCAAGTCACTCCATCAGAAGAAAACACCGCAACAGAAGTCAAAAAGAGAGAGCTCGCCTCACACTCTCTCCTCACGCCCTGCCACCCCTACAAGGTGCTACAGCGCGTCCCTCCTTTCGGTACTTCCTTTACGGAGCTTCGGGATATTTATTTACAGTGGCTGGCCCCCACCTGCCTGTGTGTTTATTGACTTTACGGTGGGCACTGTGTCTGGAGTCATAGGCGCTTGTTTGGGTTGGACTTACTACCTGCCTGTGTTTTTATTGGCGTTTGTTTGGGCGGCCAACTGTTTGGTATTTTTTAGAAATGAAGTTTGATGCTTTACCATCGAGCCAGCTCGCCTTGTCGTTGTTAATAGCTCAGCTTTTCTGTACTATCAGTGTTGGGATGAACAGCGAATTGACTTTCCAGTAGGAAAGGCAGCACGAACCGACAGCTACGCGTAGGGGCACCCCGACATCGATACAGGACGACAACCCATTTCACACGATTTTGAGTGGCTCTCACGGGAGGAACTTCTTTCCTCATGCATCGTACCTGCCAGTGTAGAATGTCTTTGCCTGTATTTTGAAGCTACTTGACAGCACTCCGAGGCTCCCGATGGATTTGATGCATCTCATTTCTACCTGTTGTGTGATCTCAACGCATCGGTTTGTTATCCGAGATCATTTCCAAAGCGCTTCCCGAGCCTGCGATAAAGGCACACTGACTTGCATGTGTAGAGTTTGGAGTTGTTCTCATTGAAGTAGGTCAAGGAGGATGCTGTCATCGATGCGACGAAAACATCACAAAACCATCAAACAACTCTCGGTGGCTGGCTTCATTGACTGTCCGAGTCATACCTGCTCCCATTACCATGTCTCAGTCCGCTTACCCTACCGCCACGATCTCTTTTGGTGATCGGCCTTGGTGAGGAAGTCATGAAGGTTCCATGTACAGTGTGATCTCACATGTCCCATTCAATCAGACGGGAGGGTCACCCGGTCTCAGGCATTGCGCAACACACCAGTCCAGTTACGCGTACTGGTTGCTCGGGGTCGACACGCTGGGTGGCTATCTCATCTGGCAGGATAGGCAGCGGACACGGAACTTTATTTTCGCCTTCCTTTGCTTGCAAGAAGTCCATAAGAGCCCTCTTTTGCATGCCTATCAAGAGATAGAATTTGATACGTGAGCTGCTGACGATCATGATGCAGATAGATAGCACACGACTCCTTGAGCGCCTGTGCCGTGCGGTTAAAAGAAACCACGCCGCCGATAATTCGGCACTCACCCTGATAACCTGCCATTCCTGCCATGCCTTCAGGGTAGATCTCCACGTTGATGTACTAAGAGTGCCGGAAAAGAGTATAAGGTGTCGCAATGGGGTTGAAAGCCCACCACACGTCCCAAAGGTCAACCGGGTCACTCGCGCCGAGTTCAGTTGGGTGCAAATAGGATAATCGCCATAAATATCCCTGACCACATCTATGAGAGGCAACCCATCAACTGTCTATGCAAAGGTAGTTTCGACGATCTCGGCTTTGGGGACATTTGATTCAGTCAGCCTAAAGGCTTGTTGGTGCGGACCGTCTAGTACCTCGACCATAGCTGTTGTGTTCATATGATTTCTCTCCACTCTGTCTTTACTGTGAGGCCGCTATTGCATGATTGCAACGGAAATGTCTGAAAGCACGGAATGAAATAAAACAGATTATACCTAGGTACTTATGTATTCCTGATCTTGATAGGTTTGGGATTGAACAACTAAGTAGGAAAGCAGTGAACTTGTGACATTGAAGGGTGTCGAAGTTCCCGGCCTAAAGTTGGCCTGGAGCCCTTTGGATGGCTGTAAATCCAAAGACTAATCGGAGCAAGTTTTCCAACACATATAGCTTTAGCTACATTATATTTTTTATTTAACTATTTATCTATTTATTATCTTCTTAACTTTTAAACTAACTATTAGCTTATACTTTAAGTATAAAGTTAATAATTACTTAATATATACTTTTAAACTTATTTATATATAAAGTTACTAACTTCCTTTATAAAGTTCTCTCTTTTATTATATTCCTTATATATTATATAAAAGTAAATAAATCCTTAATAATAAAGTAGTATATTTAAAGAAAGAAGATTTAATTTTTAAATATTTAGATTTTTACTTTTTTATATAATATTTATTTAATATATAGTAAATAAACTTTATTTAACTTTTAAAAATTTTGATCTTTTATAAAAGTATATAAAAGGCTTTCTTAAATAGATTTATTATTATAATATTATTATTTTATTAATAATTATATATTTAAAATAAAACTATATTAACTTATTTAATAAAGATAGATTTAAATAGTTATATAATAAATATATTAATAAGAAAGAGTTAGCTTATTAAGTCTTATATTATAAAATTCTTCTTTTATAAAAGTTATTTTAAAACTATTTTAATTTTATTATATAACTACTTTATTAACTTTTAATATAGTATTATTAAAAGTAATACTTTCTAACTTTATTTATATAATATAAAGCTTAACTATATACCTATATATTATATTCTCTTTTTATTATTATTAATATTATATTTCTTTAAATATTAAATCTTAAATATTTACTATTATATAAAGATACTATATATATATTATATATATAGGGATTAAAAACGAAACTACTTCTAATATATATTATTCACTAGTATTTTCCTTACTTTATTATAAATAATGCAATACTATATGCAAGATATAGCTCTATTTGTAGCCTGATTCCGGTCTCCGTATCTGCCCTCCCAAGTTGCTAAGCTCTTCAGCAAGATAGTGTTATTATGTTCTCTAGTCTAATTCCTAGGTAAGCACTCGCAAATATAGTGAAGCCTCTATAACAGTAAGGCTTAGTGTAATTAATGTTATAAGAGAGGAGATATATAGTTATCTAAGGTATTACTCAAACTAGCTTTAGCTATACTATATTTTTCTTTTATACTATATAACTATCTTTTAATTTAACTACTTATTTCTTCTTTAATAGTTTAAAGCTTATATATAAAGTCTTTAATAACTTTATATATATCCTTATAATTTTCTTATAAAAAAACTTTAAATCTATTTTTTTTATTTTTATTATATTTTTCTATATTATTAAGAAATTAATAATTACTAATAATAAAAATATAAACTTAAAAGAGAATAAACTTATTATACCTTTCTTTTATCTTTTATAAATTACTTTTAAAACTTTTTTAAAAGTTTTAATACTTTATTATAAAAGTTTTAAAATAATATATTATAAATTATTTCTTTATTTTAAATTCTTTTAAAATTAATAATTATATATTTAAATAAAGGTTATAATATTAACTTTATAACTTTATTTAATAAAAGCTTTATTATAAAGTATATATATATATATATTTAAAAATAATTTTTAATTAAACTTTTTTAATATAATTTATTTATATAATAACTATGTTTAAATTTAATTTTATTATATAACTTCTTTATAATATTTTAATTAATATTATTATTAAAAAAATACCTTTTAATAAATAATCTATATTATAAAAATAAAATTATAAATACTTATTATATTATAACTATTATTATTAATATTATATTCTTTTTAAACATTAAATTTTAAGTACTTATTATTATATAAAGGCGCTATATATATCCTTAAATATATATAGAATAGAAGCGAAACTATATTACTTAAACTTAGTCAGCTAGCTTGATGCCGACGCGATCAACGCAGAAAGCTAGGAACAATCATCCATATCAGGGTCCTCACTCAGGAAATCCTGAATATTTTAGGACTCTATCAGAAGGAAGTCAGTACATTCAGCTTCACGGAAATCATAAAACCTGGGTCTTGATAGGTCTCATCACGGGAGGCAAAGAGCACCCTATATAAATGCTTTTCATGTCTTTGCACTAGTTTTAGCTCTGCACCCTTCATGTAAGTCCGAAGCTATGAAGTACTGAACAAACGAAGGGGCGTTGTGTTTCTGTCTTCCGAGCTCCGTCGCATGCAGCTGTAGTGGCTAACAGGTAGGCAGCAGTTTTTGACCATTCTTGTCAGCTCTGCTGAGATCTTGGTAAACCACGGGTCTCTGCATTAGTGCGGCATGGAAAACGCACCTTGTGCACTGCACCAGCCCCCAACGTCAGCAACCCACTGGCACCCAATTTGCCACGAGCCCCACTCTCTCAGACTGCTTTGCGATCCCCTCATCCATCATCTCTGCTCACGCCACACGTGGCGCTCCGTGTCCGAAAAGACGGGCTACCATGCCGGCACCCCAGTTCAAGTACATCAACAAGCTACAAGGCCGACGAGTCCTGATCTTTGGTGGCACCTCTGGCATCGGGTATGCCGTCGCCGAAGCGTGCATCGAGCATGGCTGTACCGTCATCATCTCCAGTTCCAACGCGCCCAAGCTTGGCGATACTGTCCTCCGCTTGAGGACTTCGTACCCGCATATCGAATCGTCGCAGATCATAATCCACGCCTGTGATCTCGCAGACAAAGAAGGGCTCGAGACGAACATTCAGAGGCTCTTGTCCGTTGTCACTCGCGAGACGAGAAGCAAGATCGACCATGTTGTTTTCACAGCTGGGGACGGCCGTACCTTAAGATCATTATCAGAAGTCACCGTGGAACAGTTTGAGAAGAACCAGGTGGTTCGCAATATTGCTCCGATCATAATTGCGAAGTATCTCCCACAATACATGACAAGCACTGCGGATAGCAGTTTCTCTCTCACTGGAGGGTTCATCTTCTCCAAGCCACCGCCTGGGTTCAGCCTTCACGCAGCGACTGGAATCGAAGGTTTTGCCAGAGGCCTTGCCGTCGACTTGGCACCTATCAGAGTCAATCTCGTTGCGCCAGGGGTCATCAAGACGGAGGCCTTGATGAGCGTACCACAGCAAGCTCTCCAAGTTCTTGCCCGGGCAACAACGATCAAGAGGCTGGGGCGACCCGAAGACATTGCCGAGGCATATCTTTACTTGATGAAGGATGGATACGTGACCGGCAGCATTATAGAATCAAACGGGGGTAGACTATTGGTCTAGAGTATCATGGGGCCGATACCGGGACTGAAGATTTGCATTTCGGGATGAAGAAGTGCCGAAATCTTGGCCATATGCTATTCAAGTTGCGAGAAGCCGTATCAAAGTCATTGAAGGTGTGATTATGAACGCTGACAGGAGACGAGAACTGCATTTTGTATTTTTGCTGGGTTGCGGACAATTAGAAGACCCATTGGGATTAGTTAGCGCTGCGTACCCTAGGGTACCCAAAGGCTCTTGGGGAAGGTTCACAAGTGGCAGATTCAATGGCGTGAGATCTAGGGTCAGCTATCTTTTGGGGGGGTCGATCATACCCCGGAGCCCTACTCACATTGAAGTATTGATATTCAGACCACCTATCCAGATGGGGGGTCGAGATTTGTTTGATGCACAGGTGCTAGAGGATGTTCCCATATTGGTGACATCGCACTGATCCAGCTTGGAGATGATCACGCCCACATACTCTTCCGAACCGAGTCAAGCTTTCGTCGCCGGCAAAAAAACATACGGAGCAGTTTACGCGTTTTTCAACGTCCTGGCTTGGCGTAATTGAATAATTCACACGTGCATACATGCACGACCTCCCCCGGATACTCGGAGTAAGGTTCAGCAATCTCGAACCACAAACACCGTCACAGAATATCGACAGAATTCCAGCGGAACCGCATTTGGGCTAAATACCTCAAAGGCGTTGGAATGCCCATCACGCGGTAAATACAGAACTAACACGCTAAAATCCTTCTCATTTCCAGTAGCCATAGGTGTTGGCTAAATCCTTGTCTAGCCAAGGAGGAGGGGAGGGGGAGGCGAGCGAACCCCAACTAATAGCCTCCAGCTATCACGGGACCTCGGTTTCCACACTTCATTTCTAGCACCCTAGGTCAGGTACCATACAATGGTTTCGATCTCCCACACGATGGACCCGTTTCTCTCTATTCCATTAGAGGTGCGCCAGGGCATACTCGAAGAGCTGCCTACACTGCGAGACTTGCAGTCGGCAGCCCTGTCTAGCCGAGCCCTCCTTGACGCGAACATTGCATCCAGGCGTTTTGTCCGCTCCCGGGTGTTTCTCAACCAATTCTACGAACTAGAGGCGGAATACGACCCCAGACGGAGACCACAGAGCGGCAACCCTTTTGCAGTCGCTAGCCGCTGGATCAGCCAACTGTCTAAGAAGGATGCATACGACGGCCTTATACTCCGAGATATACTATGGCCGTATTTATTAGCCGACCAAGAGAGCTCTACCCGCTCATTATCCCGAGTGACGAGCATCAAGAATACAGAAGTATTCTGCTCGTGGGCTGCACATCTAGCCTCCTCATGTCGGCAATTCCACGATGAGCCCAAGGCCAGGCGCGTCGACGGGGAGACCCTGCGTCTCGTTCCTCCTAACAGCGTTTGCCTCGGCGAGGCATGGCTCACATGGCTGCAGACAACCGTTGCCGCATCCATGAGTCAAGGAGATTACGGCTACGCGGGGTACATCTGCAAGAAGATGTGGTCCCGATTCGATCTGATTCCAGACCATCGGCACAAGCCGGGATTGGACGGCCTCGCGCTGGTCAGGATCACCTCGGCAGTCTGCAGCTGTGCCGACGGAATTAGTATGGCAGACTCGATGTCTGCGTATGCCATCAACAGAGCGCATTCCTCGGCTTGGGAATACCTTCGGGTGCAGACTTCAGGCGGCAGCACAGTCCACCAGCCCGGCATGTTCTGTTACCGGTGCCTTGACGGTGCAAAGTTGCTTATAGAAGGAGCCCAGCACTCCCGCGGCGCTGTGGAACCAGGTCTGCCTCACCTCCAGAGATTATGGAAGAGCGTCCAGCCGAGGGGCATGGCGTTCAACGCATGGTCGCATCTCTTCGTGAACAGTCACGCGGACCGACTCGCTGGAATTTTCAAGGTGTGGACCAAGCTTCAAGAAGATAGGCGAGAAACCTTCCTGCAGGATATCGATCTCGACTGGGCGAGGGATATTATCTGTCTTCTTCGAAAGAGCGGTGCGACAGAGCGGAGCCTGTCCTTCCAGACTGAGGTGTTCGATTTGATGTCGCCGCGCGATCATCAGTACTGCGCCTTCGGTCGGAACCTTGCAGATGCGCACCTCAAGTTTGGTCGGTTACAAGATGCAATTAGCGTGAGGGAGAAGGTGCTGGATGAGCTTCCTAATGTCTCTACTGTCCGCCCTTCGTGGATTCTGGCGCTCGCTCGTTTGTATAGGAAGACTGGTCGTGATGAAGATGCTGGGCATCTTTCTTCCCTATTAAAAGTGGAGTAAGCATCGTGATCCTTCGAAGGGTTATATAACTACACGTTTGTCCTTGGGACACAATCAGGCCAGGCCTGGGTACATGGTAATACTGGTTAAGCTGCATACGGCTTTCTGTTAATTCTCTGCTGCCCCTGGATTGCCATCAGCTACTTTGGTGTGCTGAACCAGGTTGTGACTGTGTGACACTCCACCGAGACCGAGTACCTATGTACTTGGGTATCAATCTAGTCTTCGGGGAGATATCACATTTTTCGGTCGTGTTACATCTAATCGGACGAACTTTTGAGAGACCCCGGAAACCTCACGCGTGATTGTTGTCATGTACTCGCAAGGCCTCGGCGGATCAAGACTTGCTCAAGTGAACTGTTCTCCGTACGATTAAGATCTACTTCGGTATGGCTATTACTTCCCCAAACATAGTAAGTACAGATGGTCCAGCCTTATGTCCAATACGAATCACTTTAAATCATTGTTAACCTCTCACTTCGCGTATGACTTGATCGGCGGTTCGGTGAATGACTTGTTTGGATCGAAGATGAGGGCCACCGCGGCGACTAAAATGCTGTTCTCCGTGACAACGAAGTCACCTTCATCGAGACCCTGGGCGAGGAAGCTGTTGCAGGGAGCAGTTCCTACCCTGTTGAAGTCACCGGGGCCTTCATTTGTCAGGGCGTCAATGGCAAGAGCATAGCCGATGGGGTTATACAGTGTGCCTTCATGGGTGTAAATTGAATCGGCCTCCATGCCTTTGCACAGCACCTGGACCTCGTTGTTCGAGACACCAACGCCACGAGCATCTTGGATGAAAGCCGAGGCGAGCTGGCCCTGCTGCGGCTCGACAATCTCGTCAAGGAAGCCAGAATAGATGCTCGTGGTGGGCACGTAGGCCGAGTCGCCACCATCAGCGCGCAGCGTGGTGATGAAATCGCTGTTGAACTTCTGTTGTAGGACTGACGGGGAGTTGATGATTCCAAGCGGGGAAATCAAATTTGCCTCAACGGTGCCGTGGTAGTCTGCTGAGATGCCGATGTGATCGGCGGTCACGTCGATGGTCGACGGCCAATACTTGTAAGCCCATTCTGGTTTCTGTTAGCCAAAAGCAGCGCCTGGTATAATGGATCCTCAATTGCACAAATGGAAATGCACGGAAGGCTGCCTCTATAGAACGTCGAATACATACGGGCGTTAAGGTTTCCCTGTGACCACGCGATAACGCCAACCTTCTTTCCGGTCATAGCACCAATGTAGTTGATAGCATAGGCGGCGTATTCGGAGTTCGTCTGAGCGTCGTTACGAAGGTAGCCAGGGATGTTTACCCACATGGGATTGAAGCGGCTGTCGGCTTGTAGTAGCTTGATGTAATTACCCTGGAAAGTAATGAAGCCCGTATTTCCGGTGCCAGGCAGCAGAACAATGGGTTGTTGGCCGGCCTTGTCCTTAGCGGCAAAATCCTTAGGCATGAAGATGGCAGCTCGCAACGCAGCCTCATCAACGGAGTATGGGGCATCCGACGGCCCCTTCTGAGGGAAAATAGTGGTCGGCGGCGCTGGGTTATTGTTGTCGTGGCTGTTCTCCCCGGTGAGGACTCCGAGGACTTGCTTGGTGATCGCTGCAACAGAGTCGGTGACCAGGCCGCCTGAGACCAGGCTGGCAGAAACGTCAAATATGTTGCCTGGTTTCTTCCCATCCCCATAGATGGCCATCAACTTGGCTTTGGCATCGTCGACGGAGCTGGGAGGCTGACCTAATTGCGCCCCAGCCAGTGAACCGGGGAGTTCGGCCTGCCTGGCACGCAGGATGGCATCGGGAAGGGGGGCAGGGGCTGCAAGGAGCGAGACAGCGAACAAGAGTAAGGGTGTAAAGATATCGAAGCAATGCATCTTGTAAAATTGTTAGAATGAGCTGAACCCCTCTCATAGATCAAGCTTTAGCTCTCCTTGACGCAAGAGAGTCGTCACCTGCGGGTATCTTTATACTCTTCTGGGCCAGCGGCTCACGGATGACGTTTTCTACGCAGTTTTTCAAGGTGATCAGACGATCTTGCGAGTATTCTCCAGGTCTTTCCTTCTTTATGGCTTGGTCCAGAGGTTTATACCATGTCCCGGGTCTACTGATCCCCCCTTGAACCCTACAAACACATGCAGTAGCACCAATAAGCTATATCGGAGACATTTAGGGATGGGCGGCGCTTTGATCAGCCACTTCGTTGTGATTTAAGCTCCGTGGACAACAGAGGAAGGATCAGCAAAGATTGGTTGCAGGTGAATTTGTGGGATAAACTCATAGCCGCCCTGGCAGTAGACTAGATGCGGAGCAACTTGATTGGGTGCATAATCTGATGTCCTTTACGCCAAGCCCATGCCACCCCGTCAATGAACAAAAGCGGAAGTCCATCAGTCGTTTAGTCCCCGTTGAATACCACCATTGCTGTCGTCCCCGCCCGTAAGGCAGACTAGTCAGGCAGATCGTGGTGCGGGCCCGGTAGCGACAGGCTCTCACAACAAGCAGAATGTCTAGACAGCGGAGAGGGTGCTAAGCACCAGGTTCGCAGTGGCTGCCGACATTATGCACAAAATCCCATGCTATAGTGTCGTATTCGGCTTACTGTTGGAGAGGGGATGACTACTCCATACATCTGCATGTGAATATCGAAACCCTCGCTTGAGGTGGCTGGGCAAGTTACCGGGATGGATCATCACATGGCAAGCATGGGTCGTCTTGTGGCCGCAACAGGCCGAGCTGGGGATTAGAGAGGCTGGGCAGCGTTGACCCCGAGGGCAATTATTTAGTACAGGAATGATCTGTGTTGTTCCGTCGTGTCTAGTCGATGCCGGCCATCTAATACCAACAGGCCATCCATGGCTAGCATTCGGTAAGCAATAGTCGGGCTGTTGACTCCTGTTCTCACCCCACGATAGTTACTCGTCCCAAATTTACCAGCCACCTCCTTTCTCTAGCAATAAACATAGGCTGCCCGCCAAAGCCAATTGTTTTTGGTTGTCAACAGTCGCGTGAAGATTCAGGATATGTCACATGGCTTGATGAAACTATATGTGTACACAGTCATTAGGCTGCGCAGCACGGATACGCACGTAGCGGATCGTGTTGGAGTGTTCTCGACCACTTCGTGGATCCACTCCCAAGGAACGGATTCCTGTTTCATCAACTTTCTAGAGAATAACCTCTCGTGGGACAGTGTCCTACGGTATGGCTGCCGAATTGACTTGTAGGGATGATGTCATATGAGACCATGTTCTAAGCCGCAAAAACAAAACTACAACCTTTCATTGGTCTTCAAAGGTGTTGCAGTGTTACAGTGACAACATGTATCATATCCTTGTCTCGAGGGGCCAAAGTGAAAAGAGTCAGCCTTACACACCTGGGCAGCCTACCGGGCCCCCACCGTAATGTCACTTATGCAGATTGCTCTGCGGCAACAATCTTGGAACACTCGACCCCTATTTCGACGATGGTCGCAAGGAACTTTAGCCTGTCAAGGGACCTGAAACTGAGTTGATGGCGGAACTTGGTATTTTGAGATTTCAAGAAGCAAGTCCGCGCGAGCGAGATCTTTCTGCGACGCAGCAAGATCTGAATCAGAACCAGCACGTTGCCCACAAATCAAATCGAAGATAGCTGAGAAGGAGCTCGACTTCAACTTCGCTGAATGGTGGGAAAATACCCCCATTGGGCCCTTTCAGCGCCTGTAAAGCCAAGGAAGGTTGGCTCGCAAACCTTTCATTTGGTCATAGATTTGAGAGCTATCAAAGCCGCGGCAACGTGCACATGTGATCTACTCCGCAAATCACAAATATGTCTCGTCACCACATGTGGCCAGGTCCGAGGCCTGTGGCACAGGTCCGTGAGAAGGAATGCCTCAAACAAGGCCTCGATTCTCCCCTGCGCCGCTTCCGAAGCAAACTGTTTCAAGACCAGTAAACAGACCTGAAGTCGGCCACGGAATCGGCTCTACAATGCTCACTACCCCTGCTAGAAAAGACATGAAAGGCTGTGACTCGTGGCGTGCGAGGTCTTCGCGATGATCGATACGGCTTGAACGGTAACTAATCCCCAAGATTCGCCAACATGATCCAGGATCAAGCACTATTCATCGCTGTCGTCTGCGAGTGACTATCGCGGCTGATGCTGAAAGTGGTTTTGCGCAAAGTTTGCGGGTGTTCGCAGTAGAGATGCCAAGCTTTGGACGATAGGATCCATGGATGCCTGCGTGTGCTGGCCCTGCAGGACGACGCAATAGATATCTACTAGCTGCCCATTCCAACCCCCCCCCCCCCGGCGCGCAAATACAGTTACAAAGACTGGTCTGGTGAGATAGTGGCGCTATGACAGTGGTTGACCGCATACATCCAGGCAGAGAAACACGAATCAGACACTTGGCTCGCAGCTCTGCGTCGAATAAGTAGTTGAACAAAGTAGTAGTGAATGACCCTTGTATTGCTGAGCTCGTCGTTGCCAACGCGGTGTTCGGACAACAGTGAATTCCGGGATCTTGGCAATGTGCGATTGGACGCCATGCCTGCAGTCATTGGCGGCTCTATATGAGACCAGATGAGTTCAAGGAACGTACTACTGAGTAATGATATCATACTGTCAGCTGGCGTTACATCGCAGCAGCAACCCCTGTGAAGCGTTGCTATGCGGCTCTGCTGCGTCACCATGGACTTTTTCCCACTTGGGTATATTTGTTCAGGGTCTCGTCGCAAGTAGGGAAGACCTTGTTTGCTTCATCTCAGATCAATCGGCAGAAAATTACTTCATTGAAGGTAAAGAGGTGTTTTCGTCTCAATTCGATTCAAACAGTGACACTGACAGGCTGACCCCTCTACGTCACAGTACTTATTCCAAATCCAGCCAGTAACGAGTCTGCCTATCACCATCAACAATTCTTTTCTCCGCCGGCCCCGATGCCGTCCTTGAGTAATATCAATAAGAGGGACGACACCGCCTCAAAACCAGACACTGGAAAATATGGCTTGGAACCTTTCATGGGAGGTGGCGGCTACGCACTAGTAGTCTGCTGCCCCGTTTACACTGTCGTCGGCGCTGTGACGGGAATCAAGCATCAGTTGAAGAAAAGAAGGGAAAAGAAAACGAGCACGCAGGAGAATGAGGCGCAGGAGGTCTCCGGCGAGGACGCCGGTGAGAAGTCACGCACGGCGGAGAATGATTCTGATAGGGCGAAAGACACCAATAAGGGCCTCAAGGACGAGGAGAAGGTCGCGGATGGCCCATCGTCGCCCGCGATCAAGAGAAGCGTGAGCCCTCCGAGAGTCACTCACGGATTCAAAGGGGACCCAAAAAACCCTAGAATTTGCAACCCTGAATGCCCTGGTTTTCAAAAGGGCGACTGTGCCGTCCATCAGCGCACTGAACAAGATCGGCCTGCTAGCCCGGGGTTGCTGGCGGTGTAGTTAACCTTCTGTTGGGAGTGCTCAATGTTAGGCGAACTGTTAAATAAATGTGGAGAATCTAAGTACATAGGTATCAACCTGGAGCTTGTTGTATTGGACTGTGTTCTAGCTATCACACAAATTCTCATCACAATACCAAAAAAGAAGGGCGAAAAAGCGAATGTTATTTCACACCATAATTTCTGGTTCGTTAGTCTGTCGACAGTTGCTCTGTAGACCTTCCACATAGAGATGTCTTTAGGGAGTGTACCTCAAGTGCTACTAGAGGTGTGAAGGGACCATATGCTTTCGGGATGTGCACAGATTAAGAACGAAACCACTCACAGGAGACTTGTCATATATGAACATTTTTTCAAGTTAGCTGTTCCGCAGGAGGGCGTTATCAAATACCAAGCTTGAAGATCGATGCTGAAGTCGCGCAAGGGATACCCGACCGGAACTTGTTCTCAATTTTTACCTCTGATTTCAGTTTGACGGTACTTGAAGTTAAGAAATGAAGAGAGACTGAGAGACCTCGATCATTGAAGCCACGAATTCATCCAAGCCTGTACCTTTACTCATGTAGTCTGTCTTATTGGCCCTTGTGTTTGCTTTCTAACTTCGCACAGTGGTTCGACAGAGTCGGAGAAGTGGTCTCACCTTAACACTGCAGTAGTATCGTCAGGTTTTTCAAGTGTCATACCACAATACTACCACCAGGAATAACTGCATGATGATTGAGTATGATATATCATGCCCGTCTCAACACAGGAAATCGAATACCTCAGTAAATGAACGGCGCCCCATGGTGTGATTAGAATATGTTGCTATGAATACTCACTTGTTTCCACATAGGTAATAATGGTGGTAATGTGTCAATAATTATGGCCATTCAGAGCCATGTGAAAATTCCAAACTCAGTAATATTGTCTAAAGAAAAAGGGTTGCGTGCCGGTCGACAGACTCGTGCGAACAGTCCGGGGACTAGTGTACCTAGATATCTCACCCCAAAGCCACCTTGGTTTGCCTGGGGCGCAAATGTGAGATCTATGGATGGTAGAGATAAGTGTCTCAATCATTGCGCCCTGAATGCCGACCCAAGTTGGGCCAACAAGGCTGAATGTCGGGCTTAATGAATGTTTTCCCGGGGAAAGCACGAAACCCTGGCTTGGCGGCATCCTGGGGGTACTTCCAGATAGACTATGTAGATTTCAAGACCGTGTAAGGAGGTATAGTGGGGCTGAGTTGCCGTGGTGCGAGTTTCAAATGCTGTGACACGATTACTTCGGACTGGACGACGTTGACCTCAAGAGAAAGACGCGTGGGGTAATCGATTTTCGTAAGGCTCTTCTGTTAAAAGAACAGGCCGAATCAGCACATTACACTGAAAGTGGAGCCCATCCTCAATATTAAGTCCAGTTTCGCCGCACAGAACAGCGCTCAGGCGCACACCATGCTTACCTAGGTACCTAGGTAGCTAGTTCCCTGTAAATACCCTGCGTAAAGGATCCCAGGCCACCATGCGAACCAGCCTTGAGCTATTGGCCAACCAGTGTGTCAACTGATGAAGCAGAGCGTCTCTCCGCCACCTTATCAATTCAGTAACGTGATAATGATGGCTGTCGCCTGCCGCAGCAGCATCAAGCCCTTGCCTCGCACACTTTAGCGCAAGAGCTGCTGCCAATGCACTGGCCTGTACTGCCAGGACGAAGACTGCAAAAAAGGCTTGGGGAGTCATTGGTGCACGGCTGGTCCAGCATTCTTCAGAGGCTAGGCAGACATAGCTCCTGATAGACACAATGAGTCCAATGAGAGCCATAAAGCCAAAGCTCATTGCTTCTTGGAAGCATTCATAACATATTTCAATGCCGAAAATTTCAAGCATTTTGTTGTAAGGAGTTCCTTTTATGGCTGATTTGATCGTAAGTTATCAGGAGCTGGCTGGTTGCGGAAAAGTCCCAGTGTCTGTCTGTTGGCTTATTGGATGTTGAATGAGAATCAGTGTTCTCCAACTGATCTGAATGCCCCGAAACTCGTGATCATTCGGAAGAATTAGGGGTTTCAACTCGGAGTGAGACTGCTTAGTGGTTCGGTGGGGAGTGAGTGGAAGAAGTTTAACACGGTCTGTTGGGTTGTACTTTAAAAACCAGCAGATAATTCCGAGGATAGAAAGTAAATAGAGTGCTGAGAACATGGCACAAGAAAAGTGCTCCGCTCCGTTTGAATATATCAGCTGCACAAAATGGTCCAATTTTTATGTAGGTACTACCAAGCAAGAGAATAGACCGACTAGTTTTAACACTTTAGAATACTTACTTAACTCCCTAGGTAGTTTACTAGCAGTACCGGTTCGGTGCTCAGCCCTACTAGGGCAAGAAGGTTTGTTGCGAAAGTGGAGAGGAACTGTTACTTCTTTGAACTACCCTACCTACCTGGTTTCGCTTTTATTCCGCATACGTCCGAGGACATACATGCCTACCCACCTACTTAGGTAGGTAGGTAAGGTTTACAAGAGTTGAATCCATATTGTATGATTCCCACACGGGTGTGCTGGTCAAGAGACCTGAACTATCAGCGAATCAGCAAAATAGCCTTGCGCATGTGCGACCTGGTAGATACCTAGGTACGCATCATAGCCCGCATCTCTACTGGCGACTCTATGCCACCAGACATGATTAAGAAATAGCTCTATCTCAAGGGCTTGCAGATAATAGGTGGACCTGAAAGAGTGATAAGCCACACAACTCAAAAGAAAAGAATAGCCCGAATAAGTGAAGGCTTTCGTATCGTGGAAGAAGTCAGGCTGGACATAAAAATTGCTAGCTCCGAAAGGATCACTTACTTCCGTCGTGGGAATCCGGGATGTTCGGAGCACATGGTCGAAAGTTAGCTATCTCCGCTTATGGCCGAGTGATCGTTAGTCTCGTTTCGATATAAAACAGGCCGGGGCCGTCTTACGCCATGGATTCAAGGGAAGTGTGACCTGCAACCACATCACCCTGCTGGAGAAAGATACTGTCACATCATCATGAAGCTTGTTATCGGAGGATCTACTGGCCTTGTTGGCACAGAACTTGTCCGCCAAGCGCTGGAAAACCCAGCCATCACGGCCATCATAGGTCTCAGCCGGCGCGAGACGCCAGTACCACCCTCGGCAGCTAATGGAGCTAAGTTCAAGTCCGTCGTCTGCGACAACTTCGAGGAGTACCCCGAGAGCGTAAAGAAAGAGCTCGAAGACGTCGATGCATTCATATGGTACAGCATTTCTAATCCCAGCCCTGCTACTCTTTTTCGCTAAGTAAACACTAGGACTATATCCATTACTCCTTCGAAGTTGAAAGATTTCACATGGGAGGAGGCGGTCAAAATCTCCAAATATTATGCCTTTACCGCCCTTCAGACCGTCGAGAGCCTCCCGCGCAAACAGACTCAGCCCCTGCGCTTCATCTACATGAGCGGACACTTTGCCACACGCAAGCGCACTGAACAGGTCAAGGTGCTGGGCGAGTGGGGTATGATGGAGTACGGCTACCTGCGCGTAAGTTGTTCGACGTGCCTAGGAATATGCGTCCCTGTGGTACACTCCTTTCGATCGCTAAAGTAATCTTTTCAGGGCGAGGCCGAGACTGAAATCCTAAGGCTCACTCAGGAGTCTAATGGTCGGGTCCAGTCCTGCGTCACCAAGTCCGGCTTTATCAATTCACCGGGTAGAGTGAGGCCCAATGTCGCCGGTCTCCCCCTTGTCGAGTTGCGTGATATTACGGCTGCCATGCTGGATCAGATTATAAATGGTTTTGAGAAGGACACTCTGTCCAACGATGATTTGGTGCGGATTGGCAAGAAGGCTTTGGGTCAGCAGCAGGACATGTAACTCCGGTTATATCTCGCAGAAGAGTCACATTCTAAAGAAATACAGCAACACTAGAAAGAAGTTGGAATGGAGACTTAAACTGATATTCTCATTTGAAACACTAAGATGGTGTCGACGAAAACGCTTTGTTCTACTCACTTACCAACACCAACATCCATCCATGATGTTTACGGTTCCCCCCCACCCCACTTACGCTGCAATCGCTGAAACGGAATCAGCCCTCAAAGGTTATACGATCCATTCTATGGCTCCTGGTTATCGTTCTCATGATATCACTTACTGGTTTATACTAATTATAAATGGCGTGAACTGCATCTGATTTCCAAATACTTTGAGAAGGATGATCACTGGAGGAAAGTATTGGATGATCATCAGAAACAGGCGTTGTGGTTGAAGTTATGCGACTTGAATCCTGGTCTTCTGATAAGTACCCTCGGCCATGTCATTCTCTTTGCCCATGCCATGGTGTTCTCGTCTTGAACATACCACGTGGGATTTATCTTTTGTTCACCGGCCGGGGCGCCAGACGGAACACTTCGAACAGCCCTATAAACAGCATTGTGAGTTCCATCGAATTGGTTTCATGTCTGGTCCCATAATATAAAACGTATGTGGTTTCGCTTCTATTCCGTATACGTCCGAGGACATATATGGCGCCTTCATACGGTGTCAGAATTTGTATGACTCCAGACCCACGTGAGTTGACTGACGGTACCACCAAACAAGCATTCCAGACGCTGACGTAGCGTGCAGTACTACCTACCTAGGTAGGTAGTAGTGTCCATCAGATTGGGGTACTCGCCCTGTAGGGTCGGTCCTGCCCCTCCTCTGGATACCCCATTTCCCCTGCCAAGCCGAAGTTTAGCAGGCCGGTTCTCCATTTCGCACACTGAAGCAAGTTCACTGCCCAAACCACCGCATCCAGTTCAACGTGCCGGCTTAGCGTACCTAGGTACCTTCTCAAGATATGAATGTCACTGGCACTGAGCGTACCCGCCTGGGAAATGGGAGACAGCCCTACTCTCCGGCTTCTCAGATCGGCTCCAGGGATAAAGGCGTTGCATGGTACGACAAGACCTTCTCGGGGGTCCCCAAGGATGCCCGCGAGCTGCTCGAAAAATACTCACACATTCCTCCCGATGAAGTTGAGCCTCATGTGCTGGCGATAGTAAGTGAAGCAAACGTTGGCAGCCTTTTTTGCAATGAGTCCAGCCGCTCCTCCCAGTACCTACTTACCAATAATGCTCTGAATCAGAGGGACAAGGCATGGGAGATCTATCCCTACCCCTGCATTGGACAATTCAAGTTCCTCGCCCTCAGAATCTACGAGCAGCCATCGTACACCGCCGTGGTGCGCCGCCTCAAGCAGGGCGCAAAGTACCTCGATATCGGATGCTGCCTAGGGCAGGACATCCGCAAGCTCGTGATGGACGGCGCGCCGGCCGAGAACCTCTACGGCGCCGAGCTGCACGCACCGTTCATCGACATCAGCTACGAGCTCTTCCGCGACCATCGGATAGGCGCGACCTTCATGGAGGCAGACGCCTTGGACATCTCCGCGGACAGCCCCCTCGCCCAGCTCAAGGGCGAGGTGGACTTTGTCCATCTCGGCATGGTGCTGCACGTGTTCGGGCGGGATCATCAGCGCGCACTCCTCGAGAATTGCATCTCGCTGCTGAAGCCCGAGTCGGGCAGCATGATCCTTGGTACTGCGGTTGGGCACGTAGAGGGATTGCAGGCGCCCGCTGGCCACTTTCTGCAGAGCGACAAGACTTTCAAGGCGATGGTAGCAGACATCTCTGAGCGAACGGGGGTCAAATTTGACTGTAGGGTGTCTTTGGATGACGGGCTTGCAATCCTAGAGAACAAGGACAAATCCGGCGTTGACAGGGCTCAACGACTGATGTTCGAGGTTGAGAGGCTGTAAGAGCGTTACCGGGGACCCTGCAGTCTACCCGGAGTGCTATCTCTCCGACCACATGGCTTCAATCACACCACTCGCACCAGCTTGTGGTTTCATTTCTAATCGCCATACATATACAACATATGCAGCGCCTTCGCACAATGGTAAATACTTAAGACCTAGCCTTTTTTTTGACAAAAATACAGTGCTAATAATAGTGCAGAGAGAATACAGTACGTGGGCACGTAGCCTCAACCTCGTACCACACAGATAAGGCTAGGAGGCATCACTCCCGACGGCACAACCATCTAGGTGAATGGGAAGCCGGTACAGTAGTTATACGGGGATCCTGGAATAATCTCTCAAGATGGCCCCTATAAGAAGAATCCCATAAAGTGAGACCGAGCAAAAAACTTTTGACTGTTCGCACCAACTTATACCGCCGGCGGTCTCCCTACCCTGATACAAGACCGTCGATGTATGTATTCTTTCCCCCAATTGCGCCATAGTGGAGACCGAATTTGCAGCTGTAGCCCGCCTTGGGAACCCTTCTTTCAGTGGCCTCCGGTGGAGACTTCTGGGGTAAACTCCACCTCGGCTGTCGCCCTTCCGGCTATCGCATGCTACTCGCAGGGGTTCCCAGTGACCGCCCGACCTGGATCGTAGCACTGGAGCAAATATCGGAGGCCGATTCGTACATTCCGTCATGGCGACACCCCGTCACAAGTGGGGATGCAACTGTGAACAGGCCCGATAGAGGAGGAAGATCGACGGCTTCGAGAATAAATACAGGCCGGTGCCCCGTGATTTCATCCATGGATTACTGCATCGGTCACTGGCGCGAGATAATCCAAAGATGGCTGCCGCCCTGAGCCTCCGGAGCCTCGTGCTCACGACATTGAGCGGGCTTGTCGCCGTGTCGGCTCAGAAGATCCCTTCTGGTCCACTCCCTTATCCTGTGGGTAAGCCGTACCAGGAGCCGGCCAAGAGCAATGGGCTGGCAGTCGAGAAGCCCAACATCATCATTTTCATGCCCGACCAGTTGCGGCTCGACTCTGTGGGAGCATTCGGAAGCGATGTGAGCACACGACCTTTGCGCATATACAGTAAACAATGCTCGGTGTCTACATTTGACTAATACCCATTGTCTATTCACAGATCGTCAAGACGCCCAACATCGACGCGTTCGCCGAAGAGGGAGTCCGCTTCACCAATGCCTTCTCACAGGCCTCGGTGTGCTCCCAGTCCCGGTGCTCCATGTTCACGGGGCAGTACCCCCACGTGAGCGGGCACCGCACGCTGAACAACCTGCTCAAGCCCAACGAGCCCAACGTGTTCCGGTCCCTGAAGGAGGGCGGCTACCACGTCGCGTACCTCGCGCCGCGGGGGGACCTCTTCGCGGACAACGCCACGGAGCTCAGCGTCAGCGAGTACGGCTACCTCGAGGTCGACGAGCTGGCGTCGCGGTTCGCGCCCGAGGCGCGGAGCCTGGACGAGTACGCCGAGGACAACCTCGACGTCTCCGACCCCCTGTTCCAGCTGCTGATCAGGAGGGGCTCGTTCAACACCACCGACCTGAACAACATCTGGAACCGCCTCTACTACCAGGGCCTGCGCAACGAGACGGAGGCGTACAACTCGTACGATGCGGCTCTGCTCCGCGGTGCGCTGAAGTGGCTCGAGAACCCGCCAAAGGATAAGCCTTGGGTGCTGTTCCTGCCGCTGCTTTTCCCTCACTGCCCTTTTACGGTGGAGGAGCCGTGGTTCTCGATGTACAACAGATCTGAAATGCCTCTGCCCATCGAGAGAGACGAGCTGGTGCGCAACTCTCTTCCAAACATGGGATCAATTGATATACCCAGTAGTCAGAGTTAAGGCTGACTTCACACTTGAACAATAGACGGGCCACACGCCGCAGTACGTAGACGCCATCATCGGCGCAGCCGGCCTGGACCGGGCCACAGACGACGAGTGGCGCGAGGTCAAGGCGACCTACTACGGCATGGTCTCCAAGATGGACTCGGACTTCGGCAAGGTGGTCAACAAGACCAAGGAGCTCGGGCTGTGGGACTCGACCGTGACGCTCTTCTTCACCGACCACGGCGAGTGGCTCGGCGACTACGGCCTGATCGAGAAGTGGCCGTCGGCGCTGTCCGAGTCGCTGACGCACGACCCGCTCATCATCGGCGGCGCGGGCCTGCCCCGGGGCAAGGAGTTCGACGGCATGGTGGAGATGGTGGACCTCGTGCCCACGCTGCTGCAGCTGGCCACGACCAACGAGACGTACATGCACTACGGGCAGTCCCTGGTCGACGTGATGCACGCGCTCGGCGACGGCGCCACCTCGGCCGCTCCGTTGCCGTGGAACAGGACCTACTCCTTCACCGAGGGCGGCTTCCTGACGCGCGAGGAGCCGCTCGTCGAGGTGTCCGGCTTCCCCTACGAGATCAAGTCGCAGCTGCAGCACAACCAGACCACGCTCGTCGGGATGGCCACGTCGATGCGCAGCAAGGAGTGGACGTACGTCTACCGCATCTACGAGGCCGACGAGCTGTACTCGCGGGCCGACGACCCGGGCGAGCGGAACAACCTGGCGGAGCTGCCCGAGTACCAGGACGTCAGGGCCGAGCTCAAGGGGGAGATGATGAGGTGGATCATCTCGACGAGCGATGTCATCCCGTGGTACATGGACAACCGTGTCCCTGAGGTTGCGCTTCCAAGCCCTAATGAGCAGTATGCTATGAGGCTTGGTGAGACTGGGCAGTAGGATCTGGTAATGCGTAGTAGCGTGGTGTAGGAATTTCGAATCTGTACGGTGCATGTGGCAACCTTTAATTAGTAATTTCTATTTCGACCTGCCCACCACGCGTACCGTGCTTAATCAGACATGGCCTACGAGGGGCTCTTGTTGGAAATCTCCTCAGCGGGCTTTACTTGATACACATATCCAGAAAGGGTTAGGTGAGGTCGATGCACGGCTTGTGACAGTATTAATATTGTATTTCTTGCTATGATAATGCATCTCGTAGCTTCTCCCTGATTGTATCATCTATCTCTTCAGCAACATTGCGGAGCTCATCCCGCACAAATTCTTCTAGTTGTGTCTGTGCGACACCCATCTCATCCTCTATTCGGATCAATGTGGTGGTGTCAAAATCATACCTCACCTCAGTGAGCTGTTCATCAAGATTTTGCGCCAGCTCACTCAAGCCCGTGTCCAGCTTTTTCTCGAGGTCTGAAACGCGCTCTTCTATGCATCCCACTCGTTGATGCAATTCTTCTTCACCCTGGTCGCTCTGCTCACTTGAGCGTTGCTGCGATTGTCTACCCGAAGGACTCTCCATCGAAGACATGCGTTGCTCGACACGATCTAGACGGGAGCCCAACGTGCCAAGTTGTTTTTCTATGTCATCCAACCGTCGTCCTATTTCGCTGAAACCCTGCCTACAGATTTCTTCGATCTTAAGCCCAGCCTGACTGGTAGCATGGGAGCCAGAGTCGAGACGACGCCGCTTGCTACTTGGTGGATAGGATGGTGGAGAGTGGCCAAGATCATCGTAAGAGGGTGGGAATTCAGCAGGCGCCTCGCTGGGTGCAGCGTCCTTTCCCCGTGGATGTTGATGAGGAGCCACTGACAAGGGTGTTTTCTCAGCGCTTGCAGAAGACTCTCCCGAAGACCGCGTCGGAGCCGCCTCAGACTGTCTGCTTTCCAGGACTTGGCCTCCCTTGCCGCCATACAATTTTGCTAGGTTTGCGACACCAGACATAGTCTTCAGAGCCCCGCTGGACGAGGCTTTCTCACAAAGCGCAAGCAGTCGCTGCTCGGCCAGTGCGTTTGATGGCAGATCCACGCGTAAGCGGGTCACTCGAGCAAGTGCCTGTAGAGCCTCCAGTGTCGTGCGCGCCGTCTCGCCCTTGGGGACGTAGTCATCTTTTGGGACGACGAGCGCGGGAGGCTCGACTAGGACAAACTGCAGCGAGTATGTGCTTGCGCCAAGAATTTTGGACGCAGACACAGACTTGTCATCTTGCCCGACCAAGTCCAGAGATTGGATGCGCTCGGGGTGAATGAAGAGAAAGATGTTGGACCTGGTGCGTTTGCCCTTGAGAGCAAGGTTCGCTGTGATTTTGAAGAAGGCAGTGTGGGATTTTGCGTCGAACTGGATGTCTAGGGTGACATGATCGTGGGTGAGGGGCGAATGGCTCAACGACTGCGCTTGGTCTTGATCATCAGTCCAACATATTACCGTCGGTGCCTTTGACACGTCGATATCATCGTGGTGGGTCGAGTCGATGGAGGCTGTCGTTGCATCGTCATCGACCGGCGTCGTCATTGAACCTGCAAAGTGTCAGTACTGCACTCAGAGATGCACGAAAGAGTAGAAAAGTCGTCGTATCCCCTGTCCATTCAGAATGGACAGGATCCCACCCACCCAGGCTTGAGAAAGAGCAGCCTTGACTCTGAAGCGCCGGGACGATACAGCGAACGGATGGGGAGATCGACGAGTACGGTCTGGAGTCCCCGCCGCCACAGCGCAACGAGACGAGCGAGCACAGGTACTTCCATGAGAAGAACCATCGCCGGAACCTGCAGAGCAAGAATCATGCAGCCGACAGATGGTCTCCTCCCGAGGCCCCGGTTCTTCCACTGGCCGTAGACAGTGGGTAGAAGTCGGCATTTTAATGGCTCGGTGGCTCATAACGCGTGCATCGCTCGTCGGGTTAGGCGGACGGCGCGGTGATCCTCGAGAAGAAGACACCTTTGAACTGACCGTGGGTTGTTGCGTATTTGAATGTGTGTGTCTGCGCGCGTGCCTGCGATGGTCTTGTCGAGCGCGTTGTGGTTTGGACGATGATGGTTGTCGACGAGGTGGAGGTTGGTTGATGGACGTTGCGAGAATTGAGGTCAGAGGCGGGTGGAGTGGGCATGCTACCTCTTATTGGCTAAATCCTGCGAGTGGGGCTGGCAGTCGCGACAGAAGGTGAAATTCAGAGGCTGGTGACTTGGCAGCTCGCGGGTGGCAAGGCGACAGGGGTGGCCGGGTGACAGCTGGTCCGTGCGCCCTCCCCCTGGCGGACACGGTGAGCACGGTGAAAGATACCTAGGTACGTACGTACGGATGGGCCTTTGTCAGCTTTCAAACCTCTCACTCAAGTCACTGTGTTGAAACAAAGTGGGACGATTGATTGCGCAGGCCTTGTTGTATCGCTGACGAAACTGTCAAGTGACAGCGGCTTTGAGTTGCAGAGCAAGCACAGACTGGCATGACACCACGAGTGGTGCGGTCAAGTGACATTTATCCCTATAGCTCACACGATAGTTAAATATAGTATTTAAATATCACACCACCTTTTTTAATATTTAAATATTATACTACTTTTTTTAATATTTTAATAAAGTATTTAAATAAAACCCTAAAATTATTTAAATATATCCTTAAACCCTAACTTTTAACTCTAACTTTAATTACTAACTTTAATATTAACTACTAACTTTAATATTAACCTTAAAAAATTCCCCTTTAAAACCCCTCTAACCTTATTATATTTAAATATTAAAAAAGGTAATATAATATTTAAATATAAAAAGGTTAGTTAACTATTTAATATATACTTAAAGATTTAAATACTATATTTAAATATTATGCGAGCTATAGGGATAAATGTTACTTAACCACATCCCACTGACACCACATCAGCGCCACGCATATACACCAACTGGCTCGGGCCTTTTACAATGCCGTAGATGAAGTGCTGTTTCCTTTATGAGCTCGATACCACGTTTTAAATTGAACAGTGGCCGGTTCCAACCAGCATGTTCCAGCATAAGTCTGGGCCAGTTATGAATAGGTCGAGCACCAAAAAGGGCCACACACCTCTAGATTTGACTTGTTTGTGTGTCACACTTTCAACAATGAACCCTCAAGCCTTTTTCCTCCCAAGGCCACTCCTGATCATGGTGGTGACCATGGATTCAATGTTGGAACATCTCAAGCGTCTTATCCAGATATAAAGCTATGGGGAAGATAACATGAGATGAAGTTAAAGCTGAGCATCACACGAGGTTCTATCTAACAAGCGGGACTCGGAGAATTACACTACTAAAGTTCTCAAACCGCCTCAACATGGAGCCACCTCATTTGCAGCAGATAAAAAGTAACATACGAAACAAGCACGTATATCTCCCACGGTGCACATGAGGCTGACTGAACTTGACAGGATCGGATGGAGCCATACCGCGCTACCTGTTTCGAGGGTTCAATATGTGGTCTGGGGGGATGCCAGACTCAATACGGAGTTCCAAATCATTCCACATGCATTCCTCGGCCCGTACGACCGATATCTTTGCCCCGAAGACACCATGGTCTCTTCAATCAACAAAAGCACAGTAACAGGCACATTTCACGGGACACACGGGGCTGACGCCGATTGTGCTTTTTGCGGGTATGGCATAGTTTGGCACAAGCCTGTTCCATTGGCCAGAATGTCGCGTGCTCGTCTTTCTGACGAAGCGACCTGCCATCTCAAGGGGGAAACTCGCAGGTTCGCATCTCACTTCAGCTCGTGGACGGCCGACTTGAAGGTTGCACAAATCTTCGCAAGACGTGGGCTGGGATCATACATCGGTATATTGGATACCGCTCTGCGGCACTGTCAAAACGATATTTTGCATATACCTCTACTCTATCAAGCCGGGCTTGTCGATAATGCTTACCCCTATGAATACCTGGTCTACGGCACAGTGACAGGAACAGCCTATACTTGCATGACCTTAGGTGATCTCTGGTATACATCAATAACCCACAAACCAGGCAAGTGGTTGATGAATTCTGCACTAGCACAGCTATGTGACGGCGTGGTTCGAAGGGCCATTCGGCACGTCTGGTGTGGTCAGCCTACGGTATTGAAAAGATGCCGCTTCGTCAGAAACCCACAATGTGATCCCCTCGATCTAAATCTATCTGCCGAGCATTGGAAGCCTTTGGAGCAAGATATGACCCTGTTCCTGACAGTCGTAGCTGCAAATTGGGCCGTTTGGTATGATGATACCATGAACGATCAAGAATTTGAGAGTAACCAGTCGACAGCGATCGAGAAGGCTTCTTCGGGACTTACACTGCCTATTTTGGAGGCAGCTAAGGATCGCAACGTCGTGTTGCCCTTTGTGAACCCACAAACCTACCTCGAGGGCCTTCCGAGAGTCGGTCTCATGATCAAGCTTCTCCGTCGGATCGAATTGGAGGTTGTGATAGAACGCAACAAGCCACCAAGGTATCCTTTGCTCTGGCGATGATAGCCGGTGGTTGAGCAGAAGCTGCAATCCGATGATTCAGACGCATGACAACGTACCCAGGCAGCTGGCAGCACAAGTATGGCCAGCACGATAGCCGGGTTTGGATGACGGCTTGCTGAGTACCAGCAGCGAGGCCGGGTACCAAGGGATCGGGAGATGGAAAAATCAGAACCATACAAAACTTGATGAGGGTTTAGAAACTCCGATTGACTACGGCTGGAGATTCATTGGTTCAATCGGAAGTCGGTCGGATATGTTTTGTGAAGATCACAAAGACCCGTAAATCTATTGCATATCCATCATCTTGTGCGACGATCATGTCACTGTTACGTGATAGTATTAAGAAGGTTTTCTCGGTACCAAAATCCTTAACGGCTGAAACACAGTCAGCATAGTTGTTAGCCACATTCATGATTTCCTGCAACTTCCTAATTTGACATTTGATGTTCATATATCCTCTTGATTCATATCAGACACAGTCAGCACGGTGTGCTTAGTCTTTGTGGGATTTGTATGGTGATAAGTGGTGATGCTTCAAATACGTCTTCATTACTAGAAATGGCAAGAGGCCTTCATCACATGGATTCGATGATGTCGATCAAGCCCATTCCGGGGTAGTCGGGAATCATCAGAAACCTTGATCTGGGAACAAGAATCACATAGCATATGCGAATAAGAAACATGAGTATGTAGTATATGAAGATCTCGAATGTCAGCTTCAAGTGTTATCCTCCATGGGCAAATGAGGGTATAAAAGACCGATGTCCGAGACATACAACTCAGCTAGAATCCAGATGTCACCCAACAGAATCAAACTTCTACTCTCGAACTCAACAACATATTTTCATTTCACAATCACAATATCATAACACACCGTTCAAAAGAAAAATGAAGACCTTCACCACTGTCATGGCTTTCTTCACCGTGTTGGCCAGGTTCACCATGGCCGCGCCGTCTTCGAGTGTAAGTTAAACTCCGCGGTCTGGGCTTCTGACCAGTAGTAATGGAATTATTAGGGATCAACTCTTTCTGAACGACAGGACGTCACCTGCGAGACCACTCCTTGCTCAGGAGATACTTTCTGTTTCGCGAATCGCTGCGCCAACGGCTGTGTCAACGGCTTCTGCTCGCACCCTTAAATAATGCCAAGCATCGCCCAAATTTGTCGACTGGGTCCGGGGGTTGCGGACAGATGATTAAATTGCCAGGAAGGGGCTCTGTACACATATGTGGAGTCCGACTAGGGTCGAATGCCGGGTTATTGTGGGAGACCTTTTTAACACTTATTGTTCTAGTCCTCTGTCGTTATTTGATCATTACCCTGAGGTAGCTCTTGGCATTGTCAGATAGGCAAGCAGTTCAGTACTGTATAAAATGAACATCCCCGTCAGACTTTGAGGGGCGTATTATATCTCATTCCTGTGTTAAAGATGAGTCAATTGCTTGGTATTTACTTTTACCAAGTACTTGATCATAAAATAGTTGCCTGCATTTCAGAAACCCAGTCCGCCGCACTTCATCACCAAAAGCATGACTGAACTGCGCGCTACCAAAAGCTATTGATTATAATATTTGGCAATGATAAGATCGTCTCCTTGCTGACGAAAGATAGTGACACCATCTCTGCACACCAAGATTCAATTGACATCTTGAATTTGTTTTGGCTCTCATAGACAGTGCATCTGTCTCCACCTGGACCAACCAGGTCCATGATTAATCGAACACCATCACTAACACCCCCCACGGTTAGGGTCTATGTATAAGGTGAAGCCTTTGTGTTGTTCTAGAGAGCCTTTCGGACAATTTCTGTAGATCTTCAGGAACACTTCCTCGCACTCCTCATTACTCATGCCCTGTGTAGTGGCATGATCGTTCCTGATGCTTATATCAAGTTTCCGCCCCTTATTAAACCATCCCGGATCCCACCATCCCGCGCTTTTTGGAGGAGTGAATTGATAGCATGCGTCCTTGGCCTGGTGGCCTTTGATTCCCATGCGGACGCCCTTGCAGTAGTCCTTGATGCACTCCTCGATACTCAGGTGGCCGCCCTTCAAGTCTCCGAGATTGAAACCAGTCCCATAGCAGCCCAGTGTGGTGCTAGCAGTGTATAGAAGGCCGAGAAGGAAGTTAGAGATACGCATCTTCGGATGAGGGCACGGGGTGCAGGTTTTAATGGGGAAGTTGTTTGATCGTCGGGAGCCTCTTGTCAAATAAAATAAAATGAAATGAAGACTGAGAAGACTGGGTTATGAGCTTCCCGGAATGGGGGTAGAGACTGAGTTGTTTATTTGAGGATGTTTTGAAGCGAGGAACGGAGAAAGCGAGAATAATCGACAAGACGGATTGAACCCACTCGGCCTATGCGATGGGGGGAAGCAGCCCCAGCTTTTGTAGGCGCGTCTGAATTTGCTAGCACAGCCGGCATCATCGATATTGAAGCTTCCTCTCAGCACGCCCCAATTCGCATTGGCAACCGCCGCCTTGTACCGGCGTGGTTACTGACTAACAAGACGGAGCGATGCCTCCTAGCCTTGTCTGTGCGGTACGAGGCTGAGGGTACGTGCCCACAGACGTATTCAATACTATATTCCCTCTGTACTGTTATTGGCATTTCCTTTTTCAAACGTGGGCCTTGAGCGTTTACCACTGTACGAACGCGCCATGTATGTCTTCGGACGTAGGGTATGCGGAATAGAAGCGAAACCAGTTATAGATAAAAGAGTTGCACAACAGTGGGGCCCCGTGTTAGCGATAAAATGGGATATCAACTCAATCCCGATTTGAGTACTGCAATTGTGTAGTCCTTGACTGACTTGCGGGTGGATGTGTCCTTTTGGACAGGAACATGGATAGGCTAGTCGATAGTCAACTTGCAAAACGCCAGCTGGCACACCTCCAGTCCATTGTGAAACTCACCCATTTGGGAAAAGCATGTGATACCAGAGTGGGGAATATAACTAGATGATTACAGCCAGAGTATATGAGTCTAATACTGTTCATGAGACCAAATGACTGAGTCTGACGAAATGACCAATTCCTAAATTGAAGTAATGCGGGGCCTCGTAGACGGTGGATGAACCGTTTGTAAGCCGGTAGGAGTGCTAGACCGTGTAGATCATGGATCATAGGGACAGGATATTCAGTCTTTTAGTGCACTGAGGGGTTGAATCCAGCTTCAAATCTCAAAGCTAGCTGCATGTGCATAGTTTTGCGTAGCCTTTTACGCTTTACGTCAAGTACAGGGACTTCAACGTCATGTCTGCCTTTCAACGAGATAGCCTGCCAATCAAATCTAGAGAAATGGATAAAAGTCGGATATAACGTCTTAGACTACCATAGAGCTTAATCCACGCCCTCACCCGCTATGTTTCCAGCCGATCTCTGGGCAAGGATAGTTTATCATCAATTTTGCGGGGTTTCAACCCATTCCCGTCTCAGGTTGATTTTCAAATCGGACTTGGGTCAAGCCAGTTCGTATTTACAGGATTACCTGCATTGGAATTCCACTATTCTCGGCAGCAGTCCAGCCACAACTTTCATACCGAAGGAGCTCCATCGACCCATGACCCATTGCCGTACCAGATCCCCGGCTCGGAATAGTCCAGAGCAAGTCCCTTCCTCACGTACCCAAAACGAAAATACTCTGGCAACGACATGTCGGCAGTTCTCGGCCATGTGAAATTGTACTCAGATGATGACATCTCAGCAAAAAATGCTCGGTATCTTTCGACATCGTTGACGAGGACGCTGATGCCGTCGAGCGCGGACCCGGACGGTGGCGGGACCCAAGAAAAAGAAATGTGCTGACTGTCTAGGACGGATGCCGTGATGGAAGGTATCAACGAGTCAAAAGCGCCGTCCGAGCGAAGAGAATCTGGTGTTTCCAGAATGGGTGCAAAGCCCCACCTAGCGATCCCGTTGACAAAGAGCCCAAGCAGGATGCCTTGGTACAACAGAGACGGGCGAGTCTGGATGCTGGTGCCAGGTAAGAGTAGTAAAGCAAGAACATAATGATGTAACCGAAATTCGACGCCGGGTATCATGAGACAGGAAGTAATTCCACCGATGAACAATGCGTAGAGAGCGAGATAACGCATGAGTCGGCCCTCCAACCACAGCGAGTATGCTTGCTGAATGACAATACAAGAGATGGCAATGATGATGAAGGCAAGGGCCAATTTCGCGCCAGATCGTTGTTCCAAGTCGTGAGAAGTAAGGCGCGTGATGGGGATCCACTCGAAGGTCAAATTGGAGAGTGCTCCAAACCAGAAGCCACCAAGCCAGAGAATGGTCTTCTCGAAGGGTGCCTGTATGTTTGAAAGAGTTCTTGCCACGACGAATTTGTACATGACCGCCGCACAGAACATTGCCGGGAGAAGCCTGGCCGTGAGGTTGGACAGGTGATCCGGGAGCGTTGAGGTGTTGTAGATGGAGGCGCCGGGAGGATCGGAGACCAAGCCGACGTGTAAGAATATTGCAGTAAATATAATAAAGAAGTAGCGCTCAGATGTGGTAAATATGCAGAGCAAAGAAGTAAACAATAATGATATGAAAAAGAGAAATCCACGGAACTCGCCCGGGCCACACCGGATGCCCGGATCTTTGGACACGGTGAAAGCCATGGGGAAATACGAGTCGAAACCAACAGACTCAATGCCGTGGCCCTGGGAGCTTGGAAACCCTTCGTGCTTCCCTATCCTGTCTAGCCGTCCACAACCACCAGCCCCGTTGCTGATGATGCCAGCGTGGATAGCAGACGCGCATATGAAAGAGTCGCCTCTGTACTCAGGTCCGCCCACGACCAGTGGCCGGAAGATGACATCGGTAGCGCCGACAAGGCGTGAGTTTAGGATCTCCACGCTCTTGCAGCCAACCGGACATCTGAATGCGAGTGTCTTATTGGAGAAGGGACGACAATCAATGCCATCCAATCCACACTCATTCTTCCACTTGAACAAGGTGTCGATGCAGTCCAGATTGACCACGTTTTGCCCATAGCTGTCTGTCGTGGGAAAACTGCTCCAAACCAAGGGAGCAGTGAACAGAAGCAGCCATAATGCAAGGAATGCGGCCAGCAGTCGCCTCCGAGACGGGGCGGTAGGACAGATGCGGCTCAAGACCCGGGACGGAGACGACTGAAGATTCGGGAGGATCGGCTGAATAGTCAGCTTCCGCAGCGTTTGGGGTCCTGAGAGCCATGTGCTCCTTTTCAAGGGGCGTTGTGACGTGCCCGCGCTGCGACGGAATGGCTCGTCGAGGTCAGGCTCGTGGTGTGGGAGCAGGTTTGCGCCCTCCTCAGCACCGCCATCGTCACCACGGCTGTTGCTAAGCTCGATGTCTTCGTGGCTGGCGGATCCGTTACCCCACTTAGTATGTGCAGCCATGGGCAGGGACGATAGCCTCAGGTTTGCTGTGGTTCTGCGGCAAGTTGTCCGGTTGCTTGAACGTGATCACGACCGCGAATTCTGCGCATTTTCATGCTTGGTAGTTGATGAATGCTACCTCAAGTTGGTTGGTGGCCACAAATTCGATAAGTGGGCCTAATGCAACGTGCAGCCCCATGACAGGGGTGCCGATAAGAGCCTTATGTAATCCACACCCGAAATCCTCACCTATCACAGCTGGTCTTTGCTAACCGCCCAGGAAATGCGGATCCAGCACAGGTGGAAGGAAGCGCTTGTACTAGGGTAGGGTATCTCCGCACTGTCTGCTTCAGATTCAAGCGAGGTCACTATCTCATTTTCGCGGCTTCTTCTTTCCAAATATAACATCTGGAAGTGAAGCGATTACGACTGATTCAGAACTCTGGAACAATCCAAAATAGGTAAATGACGAGTAGGGTAGTAATTGATGACCTTCGCGCATTCAAACTGTCAAGACATTGGGCTCCGCAACAGTGTATACCTAGGTAGCTGTCAATTTCGATTTCTCGCCTTGAGTGGAGAGGCTGACAGGGAGTCGCAACCAACTGCATATTCAAAACTCAATGTACATGATTTACCAATAGCTATCTGTGCTGTGCCGCCCTGGTCGTCTCGGTGTGGATCCATCTTTACCATGGTTGCACTTCATCAAAAGATGATAAATGCTGGCCATAGCACCCTTGTGCAGAGCAGAGGCTGTATTCATCATGCCTGAGGCTCTTCGCCACGCGTTGTCATGGACGACCCTCCAAAATATCCCAGGTCCGAGTCTATCGTGACATCAACCTTGAGAGCTCTAGGCTTGCAGGTCTTCGGCCAGGTCTCCTTCCCCTTCCTCTCAGTTCGGAACAGCAAGCATGATGCTGAACCCCCAAAACCGGTGGTTCGGACGTCACTTTCCACCTCCCTGGCGCTGGCAACGATCCATATCCTTCCAGTCATGGTCTCAATTACCGTGATTGGTCTGAATCTGGGCCATCTCTGGCTTGGAGTAACGCTACCCGGAACCCTCACCGACAACGATCTCATGTCCGCCATTTTCCAGGTCTTCGCCAAGATACAGGAACTTCTCATGGTCGCCAGTCTGACTGCCGTTGTCTATCATGTGATTGTCCATCATCTGATCGCTGGCGATGGTGTGCCGTTCGGGTTTTTGTGCGCTAGCTTTTCATTCTCCGAGATGAGCTACTTCTGGTCATCCGAATTCTGGGGCGCGCTGGACGGCGGCATGTCTCGCGCAGCCAAGACAAGGATGACGGCAATCCTGTTAGCCTCCGGACTCATAGCAGCTTTCGCAGGCCCATCTGTCGCTGTGCTTTTGATCCCCAGAGAACAGGACTGGAACGCTGGCGGCACAGAATTTTATCTTGCTGCAAGGGAAACAGATCTATTCCCAGGCAACCTTTCCATTTCCGATTTACCTACCGAGTGCTCCGGGCCAGATGCAACCGAATATGCCATCTGCCCAAGCGGAGGATTCAAGCCCTTGTCGCTTTATACATCTTCGTTGCAGACCATACGGAATGACGAGAATCTGATCCCGGTGCCCAAGAGCACGAGCGGACAATGGGGCAGCTATGGTCTCTTTCAACAACAAATTGTCTCTGTCCCCAGTATCCACACAGGGATGCAACCGTTTCCGACATCGTCTATAAGTGGTAGCATACGTGGGATAGTATGTCAGACGGAAGCGGTCGCACCTTTTGTGCCTATTCTGCTTCACTCATTACACATATCCAACGACTGGGAAGCAATCGCTGCAACTGCTCAGTTTAGCGCGGACAGGCCTTCGCTGGCAGAATATCGATGGAGGAACTCCAAGATCGTCTCAACGCCAGGCAAGATACCAGCAGTCCGAACGATGTGCTCAGCGGCTCAAAACCTTTCCACGACAGCCACAAGGGTCAACTTTCCTATTCTTCCACCCGACGCCTGCCCTGACGGGGAATTGTCCATGTCGGTGCCAAACTTGAACAACAATCCTTCTTCTAGTATACGCCTGACCTGGGTCCACGACTTTCCTGATGAGGCTGGGTCTGTCAGCTCAGGAATCATCTTTGAGGCTCCTTGGACCAACAGGCATACTTCGAGGGTCGTTGTGGGATGCTCCATAGATGCTCGCTGGACCGCCGGGAAAGTGAAGAATAACCAAGCATACCCGAGTGATATTGCCTCCCCAGAAAAGTGGAAGATTGTGGCAGGTTACATCGCACCCATGTTTATGCCGCCAAACAACAAATCATGGCTGCCAATCCACCTCGATGACGCATGGGTCAAAGTATCCGATCCACAAGGGAAAGGTCAAGGTCATCTTCAGAGCTTGCTGGCAAGCAGCGCTATTATTGATCAAGCTCTGACCACAGCACACGACCAGACAGACACATGGAATCAAGCTGTAATGGGTTCTTCCAATCGCACTTTGCTCTTAGAGTGGATAACGAGCCTGTCTGTTGTTGACAGTCTGTCACGTTATGGAACATACAGATTTCTCAACACATCAGGGCCTCAAATGGATTGGGACTTGTTGAATTTCAACAAGCAGCCCGATTTCACTAATAAGATCCTCTCCGGTGGACCTGCGCTCGAAAAGCCAACCGGCGTGCCTTTGACGACATTCCGAACGACCATTATTCTGAACGGCTTGCTATACCGGGCCTCATCGGTGACGGACTGCCTGGCTTTAGGCATCTTGATCGCGCACATATTGATCGCGCTCGGTCATACCATGCATCTGATCTTGTACCGCAAGTCCTCGGCATCATGGGACACCATATCTGAGTTTCTGGCGCTGGCCCACAACTCCCGGCCGTCAAAGAAAGCGCTGAGAAATGCCTCGGCAGGCATCAGGACGAAGAAGCCTTTCTCCAAAATTGCCCATGTAAGAGCAGTCACCATGGAAAAAGGCACGACAGCAGAGGCGGCGGCAGACATGCTGGCCACCGACCGTGCAGAGCTCATCTTCGTTGAGAGCGACGATGAAGACGTTAGCGATGACCAGCATGACCCGATCGAGAACGAGAGTACGCAAAGTGTAGCAGGCGAGAGTGCCATTCTACTTTTACCCAATCCTCAAGTAGTTGCGACTCGGACCTGGCCGCTATGGAGCAACCATCAAGAAACTCCTTTCAAGCAGGATTCAGGGAATGCACATGCGCGGAACATTTCTACAAGCTCGACGAAGCCATTGCTTCGATCTTCAGAGATTGAGCGGGCCAAGAAAGAGCCTCATGCCACCATAATACCAGACTATCTGTATCAATGATCTAGAACCAAAGTTAAGGCAGTCAAGGGCAGTGTATCTGTTCTCAATGATTAGGAACGTATATAAAAGTTACATATACTGATTTTTGTATAGTAATAGACTTGAAAGTATCAAATATAGCAGAATATACAGCCTTAATCTTCTACAATATAAATAAAGCTGAGAATATGGGCGTGTGTGTGTGTGTGTGTGTGTGTGGAGGTGACTAGGGGCCTTTTTTCGCACAGGCTAAGTTGATGCGAAGACGTGCCGTGCCGTATGCGGCCAGATCAACGACGCGAGATGGTTGCTTCGTTTGCGGACCCTCGGGGAACTTTGGCGGGACCCGTTGAAGAATGCTGAAGTTGTAACGGCACGGGTATTACAGACTGTTGGAACAACCAGTTGGTTACTATGGTCTTTCGGCCGAGCGGTCTATTGCGTCAGCAGTCAATGGGCAAAACCGTCTCAGAAATTCACTGGAATGTTTTCTGCAAGAAGAGATCTGGCCATATATAATCCAGTTGGCCCCGCCCCAATCATGACGACGCGGAGCTGTGAGTTCTGCATCTTGGCTCACACAGCCAGGAGAGATATCTGGAAGCACTCACTCGACCAAGCCAAAGTTTCACCACACCGCCAACAGTGCGCCAAATGCATGTATGTCTGGGCATTCGCCTCAGGTTGGCCATTGGGCGTGATATGTAAATGCTACAGTTGAATGCAAAAGGTCCACATACCTAAGTAGTTATTCAATCAGTGCTTGACAATCCATGCCTTCAGTAAGAGATACCTCCTAGAGTGATAATATAAAGGAGAAGTGACGGTACGGGTCTTATATACTGCTAGGAATAATAAAAAGGTAGATTAGTTATTATAGTCTTTTAGTTAAATAAGAGAGTATTAAGCTAGTAGTTATACCTCCTATTATATTAATTAATCTAAGGGTATAAGTTTAAACCTTTATATTTAAAAGTTTTATTTAACTTTAATTATATTATTAATAAAATAATATTTACTTTAAAAGTAATTTAATTAAATAACTTATATAATTTTACTTTTATTCTATATATATTTAAGGATATAAATAGTACTTTTATATAATAATAAGTATTTAAAATTTAATATTTAAAAGAATATAATATTAATAATAATAGTTATAATATAATAAGTATTTATAACTTTAACTTTATAATATATCTATAAAATTAAGGAGTACTATCTTAATAATAATATTAATTATAAATAGAAGTAACCTATAATCTAATTATTATAAAAGAGTTATATAGTAAAATTAAATTTAAAAATAGTTATTATATAAATAAATTATATTAATAGAAACCTAATTAAAAATTATCCTTTAAATATATATATATATATATATATATATACTAATAAAAACCTTACTAAATAAACACTATAACCTTTATTTAAGTATATAACTAACTTTAAAAGAACTTAAAATAAAGAAATAATTTATAATATATTATTTTTAAGATTTTATAATAAAATATTAAAACTTTTAAAAGAATTCTAAAAGTAATTTATAAAAAGATAAAAGAAGAATATAATAAGTTTATCTTTCTTTAAATCTATACTTTTTTATTAATAACTACTAACTCTTTAATAATATAAAAAGTATAATAAAATAAAGAAAAAATTAATTTAAAGTTCCTCTTTAAAAGAATTATAAAGATATATATAAAGTTATTAAAGACTTTATATATAAGTTTTAAACTATTAAGGAAGAAATAAGTAATTATATAATATAAAGGAAAAATATAATATAATTAAAGTCTTAAATAACTTATATTATTAAAGAATTTTAAACTTTTTATAAATATATAAGTTAACTTAATAATATATTATTTAAAAACCACTTAAACCCTCTCTCTATATATACCTAGAGCTCTATAGAAGGCCTTAGAGGGGGGTAGTAATGGTATAGTACTTATATACTGCTAGAGATAACTGATAGGTAGATTAATTATTATGGTCTTTTAGCTGGATGAGAGAGTGTGTGGCTGGTAGTCATGCCTCCCGTTGTAGGACCTGAGTTTCAGAGCATCCTGCATACACATTCCATTTCATTCAGACACAATTCACTCAAGGATGCAATATTCTTCTTTGAACCCTCAGATACTATCATACATAGGTAGCCGTGTTATTCTCATTCAGAAGCTCACAAGACCCTGCCCTAGATACCTACTAGGCAGCGCCTCTGGTCTTCCACGCCTTTGTTCAGACTATCCCTCTTCTACTGCCTTCAACCATCTTATATTTGAAGCCACCAAACAGCAGATTGTAGATCACTATGGATGGCAAATCCTCACCTGAAAAAGCGCAACCTTAGGTCGACGATGGCCCGGGTACGACTTCGCATCGCAGCCCTTAGTGACCACACACTTTTTCTTGTAAAAGGTACTGTATGAGAGCTGTGCGTACTCTCGATTGACAGCTACGAGCGCCAAGGAAAAAGGAGATCCCGGACAAGCCACGCCAGTGCTATGGATACAACAGATAATTACCAGATACCAAATCTACATCCTTGCTGAAGCAGGCCAGGCAAACAAAAACCAACCCAACTTAACAGCTCACTTCCCCGACGGGCTCACACCGGGCGGGACAGGAGAAGAGAAGCGCCGCGCGACTTCAGTCTCAAACCCCCTCGCGTCATCATCCCCCACGCCCGCCCGCGCATCCGTAAAGTCCGCAGGAAACGACGAGAAATCTGGGCCCCGCGTGTCAATCGTCCCAACAACAACAACACGCCCGCCCGCCGGCAGAAATCCCTCCTCCCCTTCCCTTCCCCCCCGCGGCGGGGTCTCTTCCCGCCGCAGCGCGAGCTCGTCGTGCGGCAGGGGGTACCGGGCAATGTCCTCGAGCGCCAGGCTCCTCCACCGCCCCGGCACAACCTTGTTCCACCAATGCCCCGAGGCCGGGTGGTTATCATCCGACACATCATCATCAGCTGCAGCAGCCTCCAGGGAGAGACCCGACGACGAGGAGGTCCGGGCGGTAGATCTCCTGGTGTCCCTCTGGACCTCCGGGAGCGCCCCGGGGAGGACGGCGACGACCGCCAGGACCAGCATGACAGCACTAAAGGAAAACAGGTACGCGACAAGCCGCCTGTTGTTGCCGCCACCGTCGCCCGCGCCCGCGCCCGCCACGACAGCCCTGATGATTATGGCGCCGAGCTTGCCGGCCGCGGCCGAGACGCCGTAAAAGGTCCCCCGGAAGACGGTGGGGTAGATCTCGGCGGCCATGATGAACGTCAGGGTGTTGGGCCCGACGTTGAACATGAACTGCGCCAGCGCGAAGAAGACCATGCCGACCTCGTGGTCCGGCGTCGCGTACGTCCTCACCGCGCCGGCGCCCGTGGCGATGAAGAGCAGCGTGAGGCTCAGGGACGTCCCCACCAGGAGCCGCTTGCGGTTTGCAAAGTGGACTACTGGGAGGGCGACGATGCTTCCGGCGAGCGAAGATATGGATGAGAGTATCAGTGTTCGGACGGCGTTGTTGTCCAGGGTCCGCTGGATGGTGGCGTGCGGTGAGCCCGGGTCGGCGTTCCAGATATCCAGCATCTCGGTGGAGGCGGGCTTATCCAGCCACAGTGTGTTGAGCGTCCTGGGGCTGTCGAGGCTCGTCCCATAGAAGCACACATCCAGCAACAGCCATATTGTCGACATCCCTGCCAAAGGTTTCCAGCCTCCTTCCCTCAGATACTTGCGGGCCGCTCGAAACCACGGCGTTGGGTCCTGATCCTTGTGGGACCGATGGCGCGCACCCGACGAGACAGATATTTCTGATCCTTGGTCGTCTCCTAATTTACCTCCAACCTGTTGAACAGCAAGAGCAGCTTTTCTGAGGTCCTTCATGATACCAGAGAAGTATCTGGGGGACTCGGGTATGATGAGACGGAGGCCGACAGCGATCAGCGCACTGCAGCATCCAGAATCAGCTGTGAAGGCACACAAGGGCGATTTCATGTGATGATGGGAGATTTGACACCATGATATCGTGATAGCCTGTGTCAGGAGATATCTGACAAGTCGTTCGAGTCACGGGCTGAATATGCGAAGCGTTCCTCTCGAAAGGGTTGGGCGACTTTGTGTGCGAAAAGTTGCTTACAGGACGCCACCCATTCCTATCACGATTCGCCAGACAATGTCAATAACAATCTTGGCCTTGGCCTCATCCGGCTCGTCCACGCCAAGATGGTAGTGCTGCATGAGGCTCTGCAGCGAGCCAAGGCCGATTCCCACGGCCATCAGACGACCGATGCTCTGCATGAGGAATATGGCGGCCATCATAACCGCTCGTGTATCCGTGGACGCGAACTCGGCTGCTATAACAGCCGAAACTGGATACTGGAACATCTCATGTTCAGTATATTACTCGTCAAAAAAAGTGTCAAGCCAGCCAGTAGAGCTTACCTCCGCACCTATACCGAAGCCGAGCAGGCAGCGAAAAAAGATGATTGAAGCATATATGTTCATCGAAGACGTCGGGACCCCCTCTGCATCCGCTTCCGCCTGCATGAAACCCTGCGAAGACAAGACCAGGCCGACGGTGGAAAGGATCAGGATGATAAGCTCCCAGCCATAGAGCCTCTTCCGCCCGCCCCTGTCGGCCAGATAGCCAAACACGACCATGCCGAACAGCGTGGCGCTCAGTGTCGTCAGGTCCAGCATCTCCCCGACCTCGACGTGGCTGAGCCCCTGTTCTCCGGGCGGGTACACGTAGAGCAGGGCCGGGGTGACAAAGTTGGTGGCGAAGAGGCTGTACGAGGACGCCAGGAAGCCGATGGCGACGGCGCAGAAGACGGGCCAGTTGAAGCCGATGGAGTCGAGGATGCGCAGAATGGCTGTCTCACGCTCATTTCGGTCCTAGGGTGAGGATTCTGTGAGCCGGCATGTCGCCGGGGAACGGCGGCCCTCACGGGGCGGGACGACTCACGGTGATGTGGCCGACGTCCGGGTGGACATCGGCCTGCCTCATGGGGTCCGGCAGTCTGAGCCGGGAGATCCTCGAGCTCTGCTCGGCCTTGATGCCGTCGAGCATCTTGTCAGCAGAGGCGGTTGGTTACTCGAACCCGGGATGAGTGTGGTCTTCGACGTAGGTACAGTTGGCTCTGCACCTGTGAGGGCGCTTCATCTGTGAGAACCTCTGTTCCGGGTACAGCACTTTTCAGCCGGATCGCCGCTTTATGAGACCCCACAGGAGCCTTGTCAGTCCCGGTCGTGTAACCAATTCATCTGGATCAAGTTGATCAAGTCGCCCAGTCCGGGTAAGCGCCCAATGGTCCCCAGTCGTGTCAGCACTTTCTGGCGGGTGGGAAACACGGTCTTGTGGCGGCACCCCAACATGGGCTAGCTTGCTCGATAGGTGCCCTCTCTCAATCCAGCCACAGCAGCCATTCACCCGTCGTCGCCGCACGTGGTCGGTGGCGCAGCTGGAACCGCTCCCAATATTGCAGCAGGATTCTGCTGCAAGTTGCAACGGGGCAGGGGCGGGCCTCTGGCGGCCCTCCTTGAGATCTGTTTAAGACACCGAGGCAGACATCCAAGGCTTTGCGGAGGCGTCGCGGCCCCCCCCCCAAAATCAGGGTCACCAGCCTCCCCCGCGCTGAAGTAGACAGACTGCTGCTCCCACCTCAGCTACAAGTGCACGCGAGCCCTTTCCGTTCTATTCATCTGCTTGGCTTGGTGCAAGTCTACGCTCGGAACATCCTGGAACCATGGATTCGCAAGCATCCTAGGAAAGATGCCTCTGACATATCAGATGAAATTGCTTGGGCCGACATCCCAGAGCCGAACATCACTTTTAAACTCTAATATTACCGATGGATCCCGTCACGGCTTTCGGGGTCGTGGCGGGGATCGTGCAGCTGGGGTCATTCGTGGCAGACCTCGCAGGCAACCTGCGCCGTTCGAGACACCAAGGAGGACAGCTGATCAGGCTCCGGGACATACTCCAGGAGCTCTCCCAGCTGAGGCTCCAGATCGCGAAGGACGACCCGGACGTCGAGAGGGTGGTGCGGCTGGTGGGGAAGTGCAGGGCCCTGCTCGAGGAGCACGACCCGAAGCTGAGGGGCTCGCGCGGGCTGACGTTCGCGTGGCCGGCCAGCCTCGAGAACGAGATCCGGATCATCAACGAGGACCTCACGCGCATGTACACGAGGCTGCTGCTACACCGCGTCGACCTCCCGCCGACGCCCAGCTCCCTCGGCAGCCAGCAGGGCCAGCCGTCGCGGACACCTTCCCTCCCGCCCTACGCGCTGCTGCCCGAGCCGGCACTGACGACCCCAGCTCTCAGCCGCAGGGGATCGCTGGAGTTCATCGACCTCCCGGCCACGCTCGCCCTCGGCGAGGACGGGCCCAGACTGACCCTGCAACACGTCAACATCCTGGAGAGGGACAGCTCGTCGCGCATCCTGCAGTACGAGAGCGGCGACAGACAGGTCGTCGTGACGCACCGCATCCCCTTCGGCACCAAGCCCAACGCCGACGGCGACGTGCGCGCGCGCCGCGTCAACTTCCTCGCGCAGCACGAGGTGACGGTCGAGGACCGCGACGGCTTCCGCGTCTACTGCGTCGACCCGACCTACGTCTTCGGCAGCTCCGCCAACTGCGCCAGCTTCATCTCCAAGGTCCGCGAGCGCGAGCTCGTCGCCACCTTCCTGCCGCGGGAGGTCCGCCGCGGCGCCGAGACCCGCGCCAGGGCCAAGGTGCTCCGCGTCTGGAGGAAGCTGGGCCAGGGTGTCTTGGGCGCCGGCGCTGCTGCTGCTCCTACTAGATCCCTGGTAACGCTGGGGTTCCATGACCGAGTCGAGGGCCGCCAGACCGAGGTGGACGTGAGGCTGTATGACCACGCCGTGGTGGTGCAGACCAGAGACAGGAAGGTGCTTGATATCTGGAGGACGGATGGGTCTAGCAAGCTGTCTCTGACTTTCGAAAACGCGAAGGGTAGGTAAATTCTGTGGTGACCTCTTGTTGCCGTGCCCTGCGGGTGCTAACCCACTGTTCACAGATGCGAAGAGCTTCCAAGATGTCTATGAAGACGTCCACCCGGACAAGCCTTCCGCTTCGCCAGCTTATCCACCCTCGCTGCCGCCGCTCAACTTCTGATTGCTTCGACCTCTGAGGAGAAACGAATGCTGATGCTTGTGTGTCCCGATACAGGAGTCTGGGAATACCAGTGCGATCCCCGGGGTATAAGATACGCAACCGCCGAGTTTCTGCACTTGGGGTGGTTGCGGGTGAGCTTCAGACCTCAAGTGAGGCGAGATCAAAGATGCACGCAACCTCGGACGGGAAGACATTGGACGCCTCCCAGCTCATCCAGTTGTGTGGCCCTCTCTCCCTCTTCCCCTGTCTCTCTCTCTCTCTCTCTGGCAGACGGAACTAGCATCGCGCCAAGGCAAAGCCGCCGTCTATCGGAATAGGCCGTATAGCTGCCTAGTCCTGGGATAGTGGTTAGTATGTGGTCCCATCAAACTCAACCACCTTTGCCCACTGCTGACTATTTCATTCTCACAGCCGCAAAGGGGGCCCGTTTGAGTGTGCCATGTAGGTTCAAACTGGCCGCATGGTCGTTCAGGCAGATTTTGGTGGTGCACGGTCACCGCGATGACACGGGAGGTTGCACAACCGGTCAGCACTCGAGGGTCGCCCATGTGGTTGCGATGGCCACGGTGGGCTAGCAGGTGGTGGAAGTACGGGCCGGGCAGAAAGGCAGATCGTCAGCTTGCCTCAGCGAGGGCTTTCCCAGACAGAATCTGACATGAAAGAGATACTGAGATGCATGCAGCATCTACAACAGTGTCGTCGTCTGATTGGACATAAATGGCAAAATCTAATCAATAGCCAAGAGCACAAAAACGGCACAGTCGCCCTCTCGGGCCTCGAGTGACTTGAGTGATTGGGTGAAGACGAGACGGCCGGGAAATTGTTGCTGTGAGACTGTCGGTAAAAAATATGGAGAAGAGATTGTCAGACGTGGTCAAGAGCCTGGTGCTACGCGGAACCTGTCGACCGAGGGGGGCGTTGACGGCGTTGGGGCATCAGCATCGCACAGCATGATCCTGCCGCCCACATTGCTGGGTCCAGATTTCCAAGGTTGCTGGGTCTCTGGTTAGACATGGCCCCATCGAGACCTCGAGAAAAGTGCCATGACACAGGCTGAAGAGCGGGACGCGTGGAGGGCGACACAAGCAGCAACGAGGAACAAATGACGAATTGAGCGCATGGCGTGTGTGCTCGTGTGCGACTTGGTGCTGCTGCTCACGACTCAGTGGTAGTAACATCTGTACTGTGCTTGGAACCCCCCGTAATACCGCATTACCGCGCGGGTGGTTGGCATCAGTAATCGTGCTGACAGAAGGGGGGCAGACAGGACTGCAGGCAGGTGAGACAGGAGCATGAGGTAATCCTCGGGCTGGGGTGGGTGCGACAGGGACGCGCCAGCTCCTGTCTGTGGAACGGGGGCTTGTGCATGTTGGCCCTTTTGCGCAGCACTGAAGCCGTTTCTCCCGTCGGGCGAGTGCTCATGTGCGTGGTGGTGCAGCACGTCTGTGGAACTGGAGCTGCAGTTGTGTGGTTTGTGTAACTCGAGGGCGGTTGAGAAGACAGACGACGGATCCTGACGCAGTTGACGCAGGGCCATATCCGGCTTCCAAGGTTGTCCAGGGGATCAGCATCCTTGCTTCCCGTCGTAGGGCTGAGGATCGCCGGGCTCACCAGTCATGTCCTCATGCGGGTTCGATCCTTTTTTGTTCTTGGAAGCTGCACGCTGCACGCTGCACACACAGCCCATGCAATCGATTCCACGAGCAGAGATTGTCGATCGCAAGCAAAGACTCTCTCGGATGATCTCGGCCGATGGGATAACTGTGATTGGTGGGGGTACTGTGGTGGTGCAGCCAGGTTTGGATGGAGGGCGTTTGTGGTGTCGCGATCCATCCAACAGCAGTCGCTGACTGATGCTCACTGCCAGTTGTCTTAGACCGTTGGTACTTGGAGCAGTTGGAGTTGGCCGCCACAGCACCGCCACACGAACTGTCCCCAGCCACAGTTGGGTCTTTTACCGCTGGTGGTCCCCTGTTCCCTGCTCCTCCCCCAACTTCACGCGACGAGCGGGGGGCCTGAGATGACTTCAACCTCGCTTCGGACTGTCCATCGTTCCGGACCGTCGTGTTCTCTTGCAAGGCCCAATTGGCCGCGATACGGCCCCCAAACTTGCTGGGAGCTGCTGATCCTGGCCCCTCAGGGTTACATGCTGCCACCTCTTGGAAGATTAGGGCTGAACCGGTGGTGAGGAAGGAAGCCTGGCCTGCTGCTTGCCTGACTTGCCTGCTTGCCTGGACAGCCTGAGCCTGCACAGCTCTGCATGCAGGGCAGCATCCGGCCGTCCAATGACCAGACGCCAGAGCCTCGTCCCTTCCTGTCTGCGAAACTTTCGAGGATGGAGGGAAGGAAGGGACCGACGACCAACAAGCTCCAGCCAGCTCTTTCCCAGCGTCTCAACCTCGGCCAGCTGATCTCTGTGCAGTTCTCTTTGGCCCTGCCTGGCCCCGTCTCCCATCTCTTTCTTCCCTTCCTTTCTACTGTGGTCCCCGCCCACACACATCCATGTTCACATCATCCATGTTCCACTCACACACTCCCACACACACACCACACACACGGCACCAATCCAATACCCACGCTTTCACACCAACGGGGTGATCAGGACCGAACCGGCCCCAACGGGGGACCGCACACGCGATGTGACCCTGTCCTTTGCTGCAGCTCTAATCGGTCGTTTCCGCATCCTATCGGCGTCCACAAAATGCTCCTCCGTCATCCCTCCCCACGCCCATGTTCCGTCATTCCCAGCGCCTGATGTTCCCTGCAGCTCTGTCTGTCTGTGTGTGTGTCTGTCTGTCTGTCTGTCTGCGCTGCACTGCTCTTCACTGCGCTGTGCATGCATGCGGGCGGAGGCTGATAAGAAAAGTACCAGCCCGCCAAGATGCTGCGTTCCTCACAGATTCCTCACAGATTCCTCCCCTGCTACATCGCAAAGTCGAATGCCACCGTCTACGGAGTACAACTGCGCTGCCCAGCCATGCTTCCGTGACGCTCAGCTTGAATTGACCTGGCCCGGTCGGAAAGGGGACAAGCCAGCATAAACGGCTGACCTGACATGCCTGCACTATTCCTACCCCACGTCTCACTCCGCTCTACTGCCTCGTGCCACACCAGTTTCTGGGTGTGTGCATCAGGTATTGATGGGATGGATGGACACCGAGGCTACCTGTGAGGGTGCCCTTGCTTACATTGCTGACTTCCCGGGGTCCCCTACGGCCGGGTGACGTTCTCTGGGACGCTTGCTATGGCTGCTCGCTGCAGGACCCTCAGGCACCAGGGACATGGTCTGTCTGAGGGAGCCAGCCCGGCACATCTCATCCACCAGCCCGACTGCTCGCCCTCCAGATGTCCAGCCTGAGCGTGGGTGGACCTTGGTCACAACCAAGGTCGCTGCGGGGGTCCCCACGAATAAGGCTAGCCCAGCATGCAAAAGCCAGCCAGATGGGCAGATGGGCAGATGGGCCAGATGCGATGGGGGGCCACGGGGCCACGGCAAAACCGTTCGACGGCAGCACGACGGCCGTATATGTGGTCGGTCTCCTGGCATAGACTGCCGAGACATGCGGGCTGCGATGCGGGACAGCTGCACGCCCGCCTCCTCGGTGGCCTACTGCCTTCAGCCCTATGGGGTCCGGCTGTACGAGTCTGTCGCGGGCCCTACATGTCTTCTTGGCTCTCTTTTTGTGTGTGTCTTCTCTGCTTGCCATGGCTGTGGCTGTAGCTGGAACTTGCAGCTGCAGCCGATCCAGCTCGTCTAGGGTCCATTCATGTCCTTTGCCATTCCCGCTGTGGGTACTAATAACGTATAGATACTCGGTATATATACGAAAGTCCCATGTCAGATAGCAAGACAGGCCGGGGTCCTTGCATGAGGCGCACATGGGAGTTCCCTTCCTCCCTCTTTTCTAGTGCTGAAATACCAAGACAAGCAGCCACAAGCCCAGCAGAAAAGCCGGCACCTCTTCCTCTCGCTCACACCCACTCCTACTTACACTACACCACACTACATACACTACCTACAGGCGCGGCTCCCACAAGGCTTGGGAGGGTACCAAATTTCCCCCTGCGACCACACCGGCCAGTCGCCTTGATCCCTCCTTCCAGCCAGTCACGGCGTGCGCAACCCCTGACTCAGGCAGATCACTTTATTCTGCACATGGGTGGTCTCTCCCGAGCAGGCTGTCTTCCCGTGGTCACCAATTCGCTCGCCCCGTGCCACCGGCTCGGCCTCTGCCCCAGTCTTTTTTTCTCAAACAACCCCCTTCCAGGCAGACTGCGGGAGGCAAACGCGGGAGGGCGGAGCCTCACCCACACCAAAACAAGCGTAGCAGCGCATGCTTCTTATTAACAAGGCTTTCTCGATCCTGGGCAAAATGGGGTGAGAGCCGGCTGTCGACAATAACTCATATACACATACACACACACACAACCATGATGAGAATAGCAATCGCCGGCGGAGGCGGTTTTGCCTATATTCTGGCCGGCGAGATTACCCAGACAGCCAATGCCGTGCTTGTCTTGTCCACGAGGGTAAGCAGGCAGAACAGGCAGAGCAAGCAGAGCACCACTACCACCTCATCCCATCCCATCACATCAACCCGTCCTAGCTCAGCCCAACCACACCCAGCATAAATCACAAGTCATAATGCTCGATCGTTCTCACTCAGCCTTGCCCCGTCCGAAAACAACATGCTGACGAGGGACCCGCACAGCAACACCCGGAGTTCGAGCACTTGGGGGCACAGGTGGCAGTCGTCGACTTCGCAAACGTCGAGGAGCTCCGATATGCGCTGCGGGGCGTTGACCTCGTCATATCGACAATACCGGGCCAGCCCCAGCTTAACCTCATAGATGCCGCACACCTCGCCCGCGTCCGTACCTTTGTGCCATCCGAGTTTGAGGGTGCTCTGGCGCGCAGGCCGCCGCCGTCCAACGGCGATCCGCTCGACCGCGGCTCGGCAATGGCGTTGGAACGCCTCATGGGGTTGTCGCAGCCGCAGCAGGACCATCATCACCACCAGAACCACCAGCCGCAGCCGCCACCCCAATCACCGCCCGCCTCGTGCCCTATGAGCTTTACTGTCTTCTCGTGCGGCGTGCTGTACGAGCGGCTGGCGCCCGGCGGTCTGGCCGCCTTAAACATCGGCACCGGGCAGACGGCGCCGACCCTCACCGGGCAGGGTGATTACCTGGCAGATATTGGCAACGCGACGGCCGAGATTGTCGAAATCAACGCCCAAGGGAGCCCAGTCATTGTGTCCATGACCTCCGTCTACGACGTGGCTCGGTTTGTGGCCGCCGCCGTCGAGATCGGGCCGGAACACTGGCCGAGGGAATTCCAGATGCGAGGGGACCAGCTGAGCGTCCGTGACATCCTGAGCGCGGCGATAAACGTCCGAGGAGGTAAGTCGAGTCGAATCAAGCCGAGCCGAGTGGTCCTGGTGCCAGTGCCCAGACTGATCACCGGCAAAAGCCATTTTGTGCTCGAGAGACAATGTTATACACAACCAGTGCTGACTGACTTTGTGCCGTCCCCAGTGCCTTTCAATCTCGCCACCCACCAATATGCAGACCTTCAGTCGCATCTCGAATACGCCATCCAGACGAGCAACTGGCGCCGCTGGTGCTACCTCCAGCAGCTCCTAGCAACAGCGGACGGGCGCTACACCCTGGGGCGGCCCAACCTCAACGAGCTCGTCGACGAGGCCCCGGGCGTCAGCGTCGTTCCAGAGAGGTTTGCCGACTGGCTGAGGCGGTCATGGGGCCAGCCGCAGTCTCAGCCTCAGATCCAGCCCCATTTTCAAACTACCGTCATGGAAATAGAATGAAGCGATTTTGGTTGTGGGGGTGGGGCGCTTAAAATGCTCCCCGTTCCCCTCCCCTCCCCCTTCACTCCCTTAATGGACTGACTGCGTGAATTAATATGGATGGCATTGCATAGCGTTGGAACCACGGGACATGGGCACGGGCATAGCCTGGCATGGCATGCGAGAGTATGTATTATTACTGTCATTACTACGGGCATGAGTTGTAATGGATACCTTTTTTTTTTCTTCTCTTCCCCGGCGTTGTTCAATCACGCTTCGTACTGGAATCGCAGGTCTTCCTCCCTTCCTCCGCCCCAAGGCGATCACGATTGATCTCGTTTCCTAACGGCCCCGCAATCGCACTCGACAAAGAACACATGCAGCTGCAAAACTCCACCAAAAACAAGATCAAGGGTCGTATTGCTACACCGGTCGACCCGTTTCGCGGGAATCTCGGTTGTGGCGCATCACTTGTCCATATCGGGCTTGCAAGCCCGGCCTGGCATGCCAACCTTGGAACGACAAATCTTGGCCGGGGCCCCCCGCGGGCAACAGCAACAACCCACGCGAGATGGTCCCCAGTGGGCGTCTATACCCATTACGGCCGTCACCTTCCCTATTGGAACCACCACTTATGTCGCAGCGAAATGACGATTGCTCGGGCCCAGAACAAAAGTCCGCGTTTAATAGGAAGCAAACATCCGTGTTCCGCAGGCGACGCCGGCCCGATGATGGGCATTGAGCCCTTGTCCGTTCGCGCCGAACTCCGACGCTGGGATGACTAGGTTACTACCATAAAGTTCGGGCCGGCCTGGCTTTGGTGTTCTCGCCGCCGCCGGGGCTCGAGCTACCTACCCGGAGCCGGAGCCGGGCGGCGAGGCTCCGCAGTGCCCAGCGGGCCGGGGGGCAAAGTCGCGCTACGGAGGTGGGAGGACGACGGCGATGACGATGCGGGGAGGAAGAGGGCCTGCCTCATCATCACGACGGGCGTGCATGTCGTTCGTCGAGGACGAGCTGCGTGCTGGGTTTCCAAATTACCTAGGTACGGATGAAATGGATGATTAATGATCAGTCATTTACGGTGGGTCGTCCACACACACACACACACACACACACACACACACACACACACAGAAACACGGAGACGCAAGCACATACCGCATACACACATGCTATCGAATACATGCGCATCCCCAGACGGCTGCTAATTCTCTTCCGCAACAGATGCGGGTCCTGATAAACGAGACCTACGCACCGATCGCACGGGATGTGTGTAGTTCACGGTGGCCTCCCCTCTCGCACGGCATCAACGACCACAGGCCCGGATCCGCGACAAAGTAAGTCCTCGCCCCTCCGCCGCGGAGGCTTACGACGGACGACCTGGACCTCGACTTGGACACGGGGTCTCATGACTGGGCCAACCCGAGCCCCAGCCCCAGCTCCGCCCCGTGTCTGACCGCGGGGGTCAACGGGACGTCGTGGCTTGAGTGGGACGGATTGTTTTGGGTCCCCCGTGTGGCTACGGGGCCCGGCGGTTCCCGGGGATGCGAACGATGACTGGTTTCGCTTCTATTCGGTATACGTCCGAAGATATATATGGCGTCTTCCTTCATACAGTGATGCGAGCGATAACAAGGACTGGTTTGGCTTTTGCTTATGTGTTTGATGCTCTGGTTTGATTGTGCTGGGGAGGGGAGGTCTTGTTGATGATTGATACGCCTCCAGGGCTGTTACTATGGATGCTACTCAGGCTTTGGGTTGTTTTGAGAAAGCTGGCAGGAGTCTTGTCCTGGCCTGCCTGGGTTGCATCCTATGAGTGATTATGTGGTTTCGCTTCTATTCCGTATACGTCCGAGGACATACATGGCGCCTTCTATGAGTGATTATATTGATTTATGCTAGTCATGCGTGGTATGTGCTGGTATTCTGTGTTGTGCTACTTCTTCCTTGTTTTCCTCTCTTTCGTCCTTGGTTGTTAGTTACTGTTTGTGCTTGAGGCGTAAACATTGACGCTAACAAATTGACTATTCAGGTACCTAGTATTACGGAATCCGCGCCTCTACAGGAGGAGCGCATGTACCGGTCCTTCAACTCACTGCGGCCGGGGAGATACCTAGACAGGATGTGGCGAGGTACGAGATTAGACCGAGCGCTGCACGGGGTCAGCATCGTGCTGCAGCAGGCTCATTGCAGATAGAAACTCGCTTTTTCATGCCGGGTGTCTGTGCGGTTGATTTCACACCTGTGCCCGTATGAGTCTGGCTTGTTACCTAGGTACATAGGTAGTAATACAACATAAGCGAACCCTTGGGATCCATCCATCACCCGACGGCTTGGATTGAGCTGAAGGGGGCATGCCTTGGAACGTATATGTCACCGTGTAATAAAAGTGTATTTCAATTTTTCTTCGACGACGCAGACATTTTCTATTTTGTACTTCCTCCACGACAAGAATCTGTGAGGAGTTTTGAGTGCATAGAGGCGAGTTGATTCCTTTGTTGCATAGTCGCTGAAGAGGGAGGGGTATTACATGTGCAGTGTGTTACAGGGCCTGCAGAGCAATCCGAGTCTCTGGTGCACATGTGGTGAACTTCATCAGCTGCTTGGGTGCCCGCCAACATGACTGTAACAGAGTCCGAAGATGTCATCACAATAAGTCCTACGCCCCCCACCATAACCCCCGCGTACATGCAGACAAATAGTAATATTACCCCCCGGCCGGCTTGGCCCTCGCTTCCGCCCAATGGTGGTGGGTGGCCCTATCGGAACCCAGTGGCTCCGTCTGACTGCCCGAACCTCGTGGCAACGACTTCAGCCCAAGAAACGTGGCCAGGCACCGCGTGTGTGCACCTACCTTGAATGCTCTGACGCTGGGGCAGGCATGAATCCTTCCCGGGAAGAGGAGGGACCAGTCAGGCGGAAGGGAGGGGGGCCAGGGTGAACGCAACGTGTGCGGCTCGGAGAGGGAAGCGCCACTCAGCCCTGCCCTCGGGAAACCAGGTCCAAGTGGGATTTGCAAGGGGAGGGAAAAAAAAGGACGACTGGCCAGGGCTGTCGAATCAGGGTGCTCGTTCGATGGCTTGATGTCGCAATACGGAAGGAGGATTCCCAATCGACTGATCCCATTTGGGGATTTCCGAGCCAATCAGCCCCTTTGCATCGCCCAGACGCCGCAGGCGTTCCATGGGTGGCTTCCTGCGGTTCTTCGGGGGCAGGGAGGCTCACAGGGGTGGTGGTGACTCTTCGCTGTGTGGTTGCACAAGCCCTTAAACTGCAGCAAGGCCCCCGACAGGATACATACGTACGTACATACATACCTTATCAGGTAAGTGACTTGTTCTTGAAGTCGCAAACGGGTACGAAATGCATGTAGCCGACTGCAGCTGCTGAGGCTGTAGCGACCCAAGGTTTCGGCGGGGTCAATGTCCCATCGGGCGTCTGCAGTGTGTCGCCGAGCCGCATGCAGCAGTGGACATGGGCGACCAGGGGCATGGCAACCAGCTGGCCGAGGATCGCGGTCCCCAGGAAACCGGTTGCTCCGGTGAGGAGCACAGCTATTCCCTCGGGCTGCTGACTTGATTCTCTGCGTCCGTTCGCCAGAGCCGGCCCTAACGGGAACATACCGTCGTCCAAGTCTGTCTGTCTCCTTGTCCCAGTCGATGCGGACGAGCTTCGAATCCGAAGGCCCCGAGAAACGCGCGGCCATCAGCTCCAACGTGCTGGTTTGGAACAGCCCCGGCAGCGTTACGTCGACCCCAAAGACACGGTGAATTTCAGACTTGAGGGGCAACAGAAGCAACAAATGGCCACCGATGGAGAAGAAATCAGAATGGCGGCGGATGGGGTTGGAGGTTGATACCGCCTCTCCGAGTCCTACGCCGCTTCTGCACACATCCTTCAGGCGTGCCTCGCACTCCGTCAGCTGCTCGTCGGCCTCGCCGCCGACGAGAGAAGGCCCCGGCAACGGCATGGCCCATGACGACCACACCACCGTTGGCGAGGGCGATGACGATCTGGAAGACGGCTGCGTAAAAGCCCTGCCCGCTCTGCTGCAGCACAACCTCGCGGCCCAGCGGGACCACCTCTCCGAAACGCCGAGGATGGGAGTGCGGATGTTGGCATGGGTGAGCGGGATCCCCTTGGGCTTGCTCGTCGAGCCGCTGGTATACAGGATCATCGCGACACCCTCCGGAGCGGACAGTGGCCCGGTTGCACGCGGCTCGTCCAAGGGGATAGGTGTCACGCGCTGGGCAAGCACGGGGCGCCGGTTCTGCAGGTGTCTGGCCCGTTCGGCGGTCGCAGCATTGTGTATCAGTATGGGCGAGCCCAACTCTTGCAGGATCTCGGCTAGCGTCTCATCCGTACGTACGTAGGCGGCGCCGCAGCCAAGTATCCCCGGGATGGTGGATATCATGACCACGCCCGGTTCAAGCAACACGCAGACGGGGACTGCGCACGTTACCGAGGCCTCGGACAGTCGAGCGGAAGTGGCACTGGCCTTTTTTGACAGCTGCAGGTAGGTTAGTGTACGGCCCCCGATATCTTTGACGGCGAGGTCCTCGGCATGCTTCTTGACCCGGCCGTCGATTATCTTGGACAATGTGCCAGCCGCAGGAGACGGGCCTCTGTTTCCGGTCCGGTGCCGGCTGCAACGGCCTGCTGCGTCAGAGAGGCCTCATCATATACGGAGACGTCGCCAATCGGGACACGAGGGTGCTCGGACAGCACGTTGAGCAGGTGCATGTACGTGTTGGCAAGCAGTTCCGAGCCCTCCTGGCCGTACAGATACCTAGGTAGTCCTGCAGCGAAAAGGTCAGCATCCCCGTGCCGTCGTCGAACTCGTCAACGGATATGACAAGATCGAAGGGGCTCTTGGCGTCCGAGTATTCCAGGAACTTTACATCCACCCCCTGCATAGGAGAGGTCCGAGATGCGCCCATACGGTAGTTGAACACGGTCTGGAACAAGGGCGTCTCCGTCGTCGACGCCGAAAAGTTACAGACGCGAGGATGTCCTCGGTGGGGACGCCCGTCTGCGCGAGGGTCGCGTAGACGGCAACTGCGGTCTGTGGGAGGGCCTGTCGGACAGCATTGAATACAGGTTCATCCATATTGTGGCACTGATGGATGAGACGCCTCGTCGTTGAAGGTATCACCGATTTCAATTCCCTCGTCGAGGTGTGTGGTCCGATCTGAATGTGATTGACAGGAAGGTCATCATCACCGAAACAATCCGTTTCGCCGTGGACCACCTGGGAATCCTTGTCCGAATTCTTCGCATACGCCGAAATAGAGGTCACCGATCCCGTGTCGAAAGCGTACAACAGCGTAGTGGATCCCGGAGTCATGGATTTCTCGATGACCCGAGCTTTCATCTCGGTGGCACACGGAAGAACATTGGGAGGAACACGGCTTTAATGTGCTATTCTCCTCTGTCAAGTCTGATCGCCCACGCGGTCCGTACTAGGACGGTCGAGGAGTTGGTATCGGACAGGGCTAGGAATTGAGTGCCCTCTCCGGTACGACCAATACAGGCGAAGTGGTGTCTGTCATGGTGATTGGGGATGACGGGGTCGATGGAACAATACTCGACTCTGAGAGAAATTAGTTGCTCGTCACCTCTAGAAGCGAAATGAACCCTTGAACGATCCGAAAGTGTCTCTTCGGCCCCGTATACGAATTGACCACCGCTTTGCAGCGAGCGGGTAAGGGTGACAGGCCGCGCCTCAGCATGAGCTTCGGTCTCCACCCTCCGCCGAAGGGAGTTGGAGTGATCGTTGCGCGTTTTGTCATGAAACAGCCTTGGGATGAGTATCTTGTTCCCTTCGGCGACAAGCTCCGGCTCGATGGTCCATAGGGGCGGCGTTGTCGCGCTGCCGTCCCGCATACCAACGCCCCCGACAAGGCGGACGAAGTTGTCGGCAACTAGCGACTCATGCATTTCAGAACCGATAGAATGAAGGTATTTCTTATTGCAAAGAAGACGAAGCGGTGGGGGACGGCTGGCCACCTCTGCCAGGTGGTTATATTTCTAAGCTGGTTGTGCACCCCGTGAATGAGCCTGAAGCAATCCCTTCTAGAGACTAATCGACGCCCAAAGGCTCAGCGTTTTCAAGACGATGATGAGGGGTACAATCCGTGTTGAAACAGCAGAGATCCTGCGTCCAACCCTGTGAAGCTTCTATCACCAGTGCAGACCCCACTGACAGCTAGAGGACTCTGACGGGTAGACCTATCCACCTCTGTGGAAGCCAGTCGAGTTCCTCCATCTCAATCTAACGGTACCAAACTTTGGGGACGCATTCCCTGGAACTAGCATGCTGATTTGACGCTGTGACATGCACCATGTTTCCTGACTCCCATCTGCCCGGTAAGCTCCCCATCGCCCACAGTGAAACAGTTCCCCACGCAACGTCTATTGCATCTCACCCCTCAATCTCGGGAAGATGGGCAGTAGGTTCCCTCCAAGAAGCCAGAACTATTACAGAAATATGTGAGCATACGGGCGTGGGACAGGCGCAAGCGGGTATAGGCATGCCTCACCCCGTACCAGCGGTACGACACGTAGTCGTCTTTCTCCTCGTAGCTCCGGAGGTAGCCGCCCAGACACCTCAGGCCCAGCGCAGTGAATGCAACGCTGGCCAGGACCGGTGGCTGCCACAGCGCGATCAGGCCGACCGTCCAGCCCGCGATCATGGCTGCGAGGGACCAGCGGGCCACAGGCTGGGAGAGGAGCAGAGGAATCGTCTTGCGGCCCATCAAGAGGTCACCCGAACGATCACGAAAATCTTGAGCGTGGCCCTAGTACATTGCAACGTTTGGTATCAATGACGACAATCGGCTCGGGGCATAGACTTACCGTAGTACTGAATATGCCGACTATTATCACCAAAGCAACAGCCTTTGTGCTACTTAGCTCCCTCCCGTGATCTAAGACCATGTCAGCGCGGTGCAGGATTTTTAATTCGGCCGGTGAGTGGTCGAGGTCTATACCGAGTATGACCGTGGTCCCCCAGCAGTAGCAAGCGAGCCCCACAGCTCCAATTACATTTTTGACGACTGGTATTGCGGCCAGACCTCCCTCGTTGTAGAAGATGATCGCCATGGAGTAGATCAGGGTGCACTGAACTGTCTTTTCAAGATAGGCAGCAGCCCACATGGACACGAAGAGGGCGTAATAGAGTAGCGACGCATTCTCCATTGATATTAACCCCGATGGTAGAGGTCGATGTGGCTTTGCGACCCTGTCTTCTTCCACGCCGTTAATCTGACCCCAAACGTAAGTGGACGAATTCTCGAGCATGGAACGATGAGATCCAACGGTAGACTGACTTGGTTTTTGACCTACGCCAACGTTAGCGCTCCACATCCGAGGCTCCACAAGACATTTGTGGACGTACCTGGAAGGGGATTAAATGCAACTGAGTCCACAAGAATCCCCTGAGGATCAGACTAAGACTTGACGGCCCTGCAAGGACAATAGCAATCGCCATCTTTCCATCTATCAGCAGCTAGGTCACCAGGCTCAGAACAGCACACGCACCGTGGGTAAAACAGCAACGGGGATATCAGATTTCCCGAATAGGTACAAAATCTTGAAAAACTCGGGGACCCGAGCTACAAAATTCACGATTCTCTCCATATTCGTAGTCAATATCGAGTGAGAGTGTTCCAGTTCACAGTCAATGATGCTTACACAGTCCAGGGACAGATGTCACGACGATTTTCTGCGTTGAGCAATTCTGATAACCTGAAAGTAAGGATACCCTATAAAAGAGTCTCCAGTTTCCAGAACTGGCAATATGGACCGAAACTGACTATATCGGGGCCGGTCCGCAAAAGTCTACGCGGCATAGGACTCCACACCGCCGGCTCCTAACTGGGCCCCCGCCGAACTTGAACTTAAAATGTGGGAGCGATGTGTGTTGTTGACAATCATGGCATTGTACAAAAGCTGAGAAGAGGGAGTCATGATTCTTATGAACTCCTTTGATGATTCTTATGCTCGGCCGAGATAGGATACAGAAGATTTAGCATCTACCAGTAGGTAATTGCGATTTCATCTAGGCAAACCCCTCAGCTTACCTACAGGTCGGCTTCGTTGCCTAAGCATCATGGCAACTGTTACCCACCTGCAGATCGGCGCGATAGCGCTCGTAGCAGCCCTTGGTCTACTAGCCATCCGGATACTTTCAAGGCCAACAACCCACCATCGCCTGCCCCCGGGGCCCAAGCCCCTGCCCATCTTGGGCAACGTGTTCGACCTCCCACCGAAAGGAGTACCTGAGTACCAGCACTGGTTCAAGCACAAAGATACATATGGCTCTATTAGCTCTGTCACGGTGATGGGTCGTACCCTCGTCATCTTCCACGACAAGGAGGCCGCAAACGTGGTCATGGGCAAGAAGGCACAGAAGACGTCGGCAAGGCCGCAGCTCAATTTCGCCCGGCTTGGCGGGTTTGAGAACTTCTTGATCACTCATCAGTACAACGACAAATACCGGAAGCATCGGAAGATGGTGCATCAAGAGATCGGCACTAAAGGGCTTGCAGCTGAATTCCAGGTCATTCAGGAGCAGGAGGCATTGCGTTTCGTTCTTCAGACGTTCCACAACCCAAATAGCATGATGATGTATTTGAAAACGTATGTTGGGAGCCCTTGTTCTTGTCGACGCGGGCTGGCCGGTTGGCCGGGTGTGTTATCAGGCTAACACCACGCAGTCTAGCAGCGGCCATCATTCTGAAGATCACATACGGCTATTCGATAGACAGGAACAAGCCTGATCCTCTCGTGACCTTGATCGAGCACGCAATGGACAACCTGTCACTGGCATTTGTGCCACTCTCTTGGGCGATCGATACAATCCCAGCCATAGAACGACTTCCGAGCTGGCTCCCCCTGGGCTATAGGAAAACAGCTCGGCAGTGGAAAGCGATCAACGAGGCCGCGGCAGAGCTACCTTTCGACTTTGTCAAGCGACAATTGGCACATGGGGATCGTCGACCATCTTACGTTTCCAATCTGTTGGAAGAAAATATGGTCAAGGGTGACATCGGGGTTCATCTGGCACCCGACGATGAAGAAGCTATCAAGTGGAGCGCTGTCAGCTTATACGCTGCTGGCTCGGATAGTACGGTCGCCATCATGGAAAGCGTCATTCTCGGCCTGCTGCTATTCCCCGAGGTGGTGGCAAGGGCGCAAGAGGAGATTGACCAGGTTGTCGGCTCCGATCGGCTTCCCAATTTCGATGATAGACAGAACCTCCCTTACGTGGACGGCATCGTGAAAGAGGCTTGGCGGTGGAATCCGGTGGGGCCGATGGGCTTGACACACAAATCGGAGGAGGACATATTCTACAAGGAGTACCTGATTCCCAAGGGTTCCTACTTGCTTCCTTCGCTCTGGTGGTTCTTGCACGATCCTAAAGACTACTCGGAGCCAATGAAGTTCAAGCCTGAGAGATATATGGCCCCGCTCAACGAGCCGGACCCCAGCGAGGTCGCATTTGGGTACGGACGGCGGTCCTGTTCCGGCCGCTACTTCGCAGACGGCAGCGTCTATATCACCATCGCCCAGATGCTCGCCGTCTTCCAGATCCGCAGGGCCAGAGACGCGAATGGAAACGAGATCCCGGTCAAGCTCGAGGCTGTCGCGGGCATGGTCAATCGCCCCGTGCCATACGCGTTCCAGATCGCGCCGCGGAGTCCGCACCACGCCGACCTCCTCCGCCGCATCGAGTCGGAACAGGAGGCAGTCACCGGCGATGCGCATCTCCTAGGTAAGGAGGCTGAAAGCATACTGTCGTCACACACACAGGTGTGATTTTGGCCCCAGGGTTAAGAGTCGGGGATAGGAGTCTGGGATAGGAGTGAGGAGGGCGAGGAGCCGACTGGTGGTTTGGGTTGTTCTTGTCACAGACTCGCAGCGGCACCACTGCGTCTTTGATTTTTTTTGGGTCAGACCTCGCTGCGCTGATAGGTTTGTCTTCTTTGGACCCAAAACAAGTATAAGATATTCAGTGGGTATACAACACCCTTTCGGACCTTTGTAGCACGCACATCAGACCCAGGGCCGCTTTGCCCGTAAGGTATCACGATACACATGGCTTCTGTGACATGATGCGCTCTAAGCCCATTTCAGAATGCCTGAATCAATGTCTTTCTCGGATATTTGACTCCAGGGGCACAGTCCACGAAACACTTTGTAGTGAGCCACAACAAGGCTTGTATCCAGCCTATCTTACCTGAGTCCTCCACGGAGCAATGAGCTTCTTCCCTTGCCCGCACCACCCACTTGAGCAAGGCAGGGACTCGACAATACTCCATTCAGCTACCTACAGGTTGCCACGGGAATCACGCCCCATCATCCTCCGAATCGCAGGCTTCCAATCCTAGGCTTCCAATCCTCAGCTTCCAATCCTAGGGCTCGGCAGCGTTCTCAACAGTTGACCTTAACAAGTGCAACTAGCGGTTTGCGTTAGCAATCTAAAGGTATACATATAATTAGTCACTAGCCCTATTACTATATAAATACTAGCTTTATTATTAAAAATAAATTAATTTATTAAATCGTATCTTATAAAGTTCTTTTATTAATAATAATTATTTTAAGAAATTATTTTTATTTTATAATATAATTATTTTTTTAACTTTACAATAAATAATATTATTAAAAGTAATATCTTTCAATTTTACTTATATAATATAAAATTAAATTATTTTTTTAAATATAAAGTTAAAAGACTTATAATTATAATTTTATAATTAGTTATTTATTTATTTATATTATATTATTATAATTTTATTTTATTTTTATTTAAATTAAACCTCTCCTTAAATTGTTTTATTTTCTTTATATTTAAAAAGTTAAAACTTTATATTCTTTAAGCTTAAATTTAAGATTTTTATAAATTTTAATTTAATTTAAAATAAAACTTATAATTCTTTAACTTTTTAAAAATATATAAATTTTTTAAATAATAATAACTTTTATAAAATAGAAATTTATTTATTTATAAACTATTAAAACTATAAACTTATAAAATTAAAAATATAAATAAGTTTTATTCTTTTATATAAAAGAATAAAATTATTTAAAAATTATTTTAATATTTAAAGTATAATATTAAGTATTAATAAAGTAAAAGTTATATAAATATAAAGCTTTAACTATATTATATATTTCTTTTATATTATATAACTATTTATTTCTTTCTTTTAAAGCTTATATATAAAGTCTTTAATAGCTTTATATATACTCTTATAGTTTTTATAAAGAAATTTTAAATCCCTTTTATATATTTTTTATAATATTAAAAGTTAATAATAATTAATAATAAAAATATAGACTTAAAAGAGAATAAACTTTTTTTTTTATAAATTATTTTTAAACTTTTATAAGAGTTTTAATATTTTATTATAAAAGTTTTAAAAATAATATATTATAAATTATTTTTATTTTAAATTCTTTTAAAGTTAATAATTACATATTTAAATAAAAATTATAATATTAATTTTATAAATTTATTTAATACAGGTTTTATTATAAAGTATATATATATATATTTAAAAGAATAATTTTTAATTAAACTTTTTTAATATAATTATAATATTTATATAATAACTATTTTAAAACTTAATTTTATTATATAACTCTTTTATAATAATTAAATTTTAAATTACTTTTATTTATAATATTAATCAATATTATTATTAAAATAATATTTTTAACTTTATTTATATATTATAAACTTAAAATTATAAATATTTATTATATTATAATTATTATTAATAATAATATATTCTTTTAAATATTAAGTTTTAAATATTTATTATTATATAAAAGTATTATATATATATTCTTAAATATATATAAAATAAAAGTAAAATTATATATAAATATAATTTTAAATAAAGTTAAAAGTTACTTAAAAGTTTAAAAGTTTTAATATAAAGTATATTTAAATAGTAGAGATATTTAAAACTTAAAAATATACTTTATAATATATAGTTTTACTTTTATTTTATATATATTTAAGAATATATATAATACTTTTATATAATAATAAATATTTAAAACTTAATATTTAAAAGAATATAATATTATTAATAATAATTATAATATAATAAATATTTATAACTTTAATTTTATAATATATAAATAAAGTTAAAAGTATTATTTTAATAATAATATTAATTAAAATATTATAAAAGAGTTATATAATAAAATTAAATCTTTAAAAATAATTATTATATAAAGAAATTATATTAAAGAAACTTAATTAAAAATTATTCCTTTAAATATATATATATATACTTTATAATAAAATCTTTATTAAATAAGTTAATATTATAATTTTTATTTAAATATATAATTAATTTTAAAAGAATTTAAAATAAAGAAATAATTTATAATATATTATTTTAAAATTTTTATAATTAAGTATTAAAACTTTTAAAAAGTTTTAAAAGTAATTTATAAAAGATAAAAAAGAATATAATAAATTTATTCTTTTTTAAATTTATATTTTTATTATTAATAATTATTAACTTTTTAATAATATAAAAAAATATAATAAAAATAAAAAAAAAGTAGATTTAAAGTTTTTTTATAAGAGGATTATAAGGATATATATAAAGTTATTAAAGACTTTATATATAGGCTTTAAATTAAAGAAGAAACAAGTAGTTATATAGTATAAAGGAAAAATATAGTGTGGTTGAAGCTGTACTTTACAGTATATATGTAAGATGCCGATACCGAGTATGGGATTAAAGGCCGAACATTGACCGAAAATGGAGTACCTGCCGAACGATTGTTTTTGTGGTCATTCGGCTGCATTTGCATGACATTCAAATATTAACTGTCTAGTAAGCAATCCACATGCCCTGAGCGTAACGGGATCAAGGCAACACGCAAATATCTAGTGTTTTGCAGTACAATTAGCGCAGGCTGTGTAGGGAAACGCGGAGTCCAGTGCGCTTTGGAAGACCGATGACAGGCGGAGAGAAGTCTGAAATCTCAGGAGGACGAATTGACGTACAATGATTCACTCGTTGCTGATGTCCTGGTGGCTTCCGCTCCTCGGAGTTGTGCTCTACTACCTCAATTCTGATACATTGAAGCGTTGGCGCAGGAAAGGCACCAAGGCTATCCCAGGACCGAGAGGTACCAGCCAGTCTCTTTGCGATATTTTTTCCTGCGGGAGGTCATGACTGACAACCATTGGATAAGGATGGCCTATTCTCGGCAACGCTCTGACACTGGCTTCATCTGACAGCACCGGCATCATTCAAGTCTACCGCAGGTGGGCTGAAAGATATGGCCCAGTTGTTCAGTTCAGTACCATGGGAATAAAACAGGTAGGGAACATCGTCTCGAAGCCGACCTGGTGGCCGCGTAACCAAGGCACATCTGAGAGACGAAGCACTTTATGCCACGACAGGCTCTGCCATAGTGTTCCGAGCACCTTTGTACCGAGTAGATCACTGGCATGTTCTGGGAATCTCCTGAACCTCCAATCTTTGCTTGCCCAAGTCTCTGCCAGTACCGAGCCGAATGATTCCACTGATAGTCGGGCAGGTCAACCACGACGGCTGGGGTCTGCGGGCTTTGGACGGTCTCATCTGAGTTGACACTGCTCAGCGAAATTGGAGCGTCGAGCATGGAGAGATGGGCGGCAGCCTGGAAGAGGGCTTGCACACCGTCCGGCCCACGCCGGCTTGCCGAAGTATATATGACCTGACCAAGGCCAGCCTTCTTCACGATTTGTCCGACCGGGCCCGCGAGAGCATTACGTGGTCCAAGTTCCAGGAAGAGGTCAGTCGAAAGTGTCCTGTCGCTGAGTATCTGTCCACCAGCACGCTCGAACTGGACGGGAGACATCATGTTGGCCTTCCAATATGCCGGCTTACCTGCCTAAGGCTCGTTTAGCAGCTCTCCAGTTACCGATGAGACCAACGGCGTCGGGCGCCTAGCAATCATGCCGCCGCCGTCGTCTAAACGGGCGTGTTTGATGAGTAGAGATTCGTAGTGGTCTGCGATTTCCCTCATGTGTTGCGAGTGGTACGCCAGCTCGACTCGCAGTAATCGAGTAAAAGTTTTATCTGCCTTGACTGTTTCCATGAGTTGTGCAAGTGCTGCAGATCTCCCGGAGAGTGTGATGCTGGCCGGGCTGTTGAAGTAAGCGACAGCTACGTCCTGTCCTCCGCCCATGAAATCCAAATACGGCTGCACATGCCTGGGCCCCAGCCCTACGGCCAGCATCCCCATCGGCTCGGCCACGACCGCCTCCTCTACCCTCGCTTGCAATCCTCCGGTGTACATACCCTTCGTGAATGACGAGGGTGAGAACCCGGCGGGTTGGGGAGAGCAGTACTCGGTGGAGGAGGTTCAACGCTTCCTAGGCACTGTTTTCTTCACGAATCAGACCACGGTCCAGAGCTACTACTCCCACCTCGTGGCGTGGCAGCCGTTTGGGATGATGCCGCTCGTCAGCCCGACCCCGGAAATGGTGGTCACGGGTGCGGCAGACGACCTATCGAAGCCCGAGTACCAGCGGAAGCTATTTGACATGATTGGTGAGCCGAAGTTGCACCATGTCGTGCCGGGAAGAGGTCACATGGATTCGATGAGTGGGGACGGGGCCGATGAGGTTATGCAAGAGCACTTGAAATCTTTAAAGAAACACTTGGACTTTTAAACAGCTGCTTCAGCGCATTAGAATGTAGATACAAGTCACCTTTTTCATCCCTGTGGTCCCTTGAAAACATCCCTGGGCCAAGGCGTGCAGCTAAGAATCACTATTCTTGGATTTGTGTGTATTTGAAGTTGTTTGGTTGACTGGATTTGTTCTCCGATACGGTCAAAACTTGAGTCGCCCGAGTTTCGACCTCCTCGGATGGGTTTTCTCATACAGATCTCACTCCAAAAAGGGTTTAGATGACGTATCATAGGAGTGTAATGGAAAAGAACGAAGAAAGCCTTTCCGAAAATACACAATACATATTTTGATATCTATCTACATGCTCACTTTTGTGGCTTTCCCTTCCCCTTCGCCCTTTGGGTATTTCTGAGCCATGTACGTCAAGTCACCATGGACAACATACCCAATATGGCTGAGCCCAAATAGTTCCTTCAGTTCGGGACTCAATGACTCCTGGAGTTCCTTGGGCAACTTGGCCGTCCAGTTCACCAGCTGGCGCATGTAGGGCGAGGCGTAATATGCGAATAGGATGGCACGGTCCTCATCCTCCGTAACATTGCTGCCCGACGTATGCCACAGCCGGCCGTCCAAGACTACGATGTCGCCGGCCTCGGCCTCGAACGGAACCAGCAGATCAGGGGCGTTGTTGGGGACGTCCGAGTACTGGGTCCATTTGTTCGACCCGGGAATGTAGAGCGTTGCGCCGTTCTCCTTCGTCATTCTGGTCAGGCACCAGATCACGTTGACTGTGTTGATGTGGTGCCAGGGCTCGGGCAGAACGATACTTTGGTCCGAATGAAGTGCCATGCTCTCGGAACCCGGTCGTGCGATGTTGGCGGAGAAATTGCTCAGGAGCATCTTCTCTCCCAGCACAGACCTAGCCATTTCGGCCGCCGTAGGATGCACGACGAGGTCGCGAAATAGCTTGTCGTGCTCTGGGAGGTAGAACACGCGCAAATTCGCAGGGTTAGGATCGAGAATAGGCTGGAATAAATCCTCGCCACGAGCCTCTGACCGTTCCTTTGCCTTCCAAAGTTGTTCCAATGTATGTCTTGCTTTGTCTTTGGTCAGGACTGATGGAATCTTGACCCAACCGTGCTCTCGAAGGTGGGCCTTGGCTTGCTCCATCTCATCCGTCATGATCTGGGGAGTGTTGGTTTCTAACAACAAGATACAAGGAATTCAAATCAGTCCTCTCCCACCGCAAAGATGTACCTGGTGCCGACACTCAAGTGGTGATGGTGAGTTTACTCTTGTAGGAGCGAGAGGGTAACAGTAGGATTTAAGTAACTGCCTCTAGCCATGCCGAAGGTGATCTCAGGTTCGGGATTCGCCTTAGACCAAGTCCAACTTTTGAGCCGCATCTGAGCTACCTATATGTATGCATGCGGTCGGGTAGACGAAGCGCCTATTACAAGGAGTACGGGTCACTTCGGTCGCATTCTCTATTCACGGGCTCTTTTCGGACACATTAAAGTATGAGAATGCCGATACATCTTAGAAATGTAGTAAGTAGCGTAGCAGCCTAACTCTAATATATTTAATAGATTTTATTTATTAAAAAAATATAAAGAATAACTTACTTTTATATACTTTTTATTTACTTTTAATATATTTCTTATATTTTTATAAATTTAATTATAATAAAATGAAATTTATACTTTTTTAATTTATTTAAAAAATTATATATTATAAATATTAATATTATTTTTTATTTATAAAATATTTTAAATTATTAATTTAAATAAATAAATATAAATATTTTATTTTAAAAATATTTCTTAATTTAATAATATAATAAGTTAAAATATTATTTTTAAATAAATTTATATAATTAATAAAAAATATTTATTAAAAATAGAATTAAAACTTTAATTAGAGTAATAAACCTTAAATTTATATTCTTAAGGTCTTTTTATACTATTTTCTATCTCGAAACGCTCCTAAAATTAACCTTTCTAGCCTCGTCGATCATGGCTCCTGCTAAGGGTGGTAAGCGTATTCGGCTCCTTGCCGCAAGCGTGGTAAAGCCGTCGTTTCGGCTGATCCCGAGCCCGAGTCGTCTCCCGAGCGCCCCGCTACTAAGTGCGGAAGACTACCAACGAGGCTAGTCCGGTCACTCCTAAGATTCGTAACATTGGTGCGCCTTGAAGATACGTTTTCAAGCTTGTCTAACAATGTTGGGCATGACTCCGGCACAATTAAAAGCGCATATTAAGAAGCTTAAGGACGAGCTTAAGATTGCCAATGCTGAGAGCGCCAAGATCGCCTAAAACGATCACGTCAAGACTGTTGTAGAGAAGACCGACGAGCGCGAGATCCCCTGTGTTGACTCCTTAACGCATGGTCACTCTGATAACCGCATTGATTGCTTCAATTATAGTGGTTGTGGCCGGCGCTCGCCGAGACGGTCCTCGCTACCTATAGTAAAAAGGGCTCAAATTGTCTGTGAAGAATTTTTGATTCAAAACTAGAGTTGCCTGAGGATGTGTATGGGGGAAGCAGCGAAGCTGCAATCGGTATGGAGCCCACTTGGGGTGATAAGATAAGCAGGGTATACGAACCTAGTGTACTGGGTGGTCCTGCGGGCGATCAGCCCATGGCTTTAACAAGCGCTACTATTGCTGTTGGGTAGAGACAAGTGCGAGCCTCTTTCCGGCCTTTTAGAGAGCTTTGCTGGTAAGGTTATTCACACTTACACTAAGATTTCCTTGGCACCTGTTTCTCTTAATCCTAATAATGAGGTTGTAAAAGTATAAACTAAGCGAGATTGCTCGCAACAAGGTGTGCACTGTGTATAAGGTCGTGCGTGATATGGAGGAGAAAGTTTATTTAAGAGCTACCCGGGGGTTAGAACTAGAGTATGGCACTATAAGCTAGTAATACTTTATAAGTAGGAATAGTTTTAATAAAACTTATATTAAATAAAAATTAATATATAGATAATATTTAATAAATTATATAATTATATTAAAATATAAAAAGGAATATTATAATACTTTTTATTATTATATTTATAAAAATAAATTATTTTATAATTTTAAATAATTAAAATATTAAGATTATTAATAAAATACTTAATATTTTAAATTTAATTCTTTTATTATAGAAAATATATTTAATAAATATAATAATTAAAATAAAATATATTTATATATTTATATATTTATATATTTATATATTTATATATTTATATATTTATATATTTATATATTTATATATTTATATATTTATATATTTATATATTTATATATTTATATATTTATATATTTATATATTTATATATTTATATATTTATATATTTATATATTTATATATTATATATTTATATATTTATATATTTATATATTTATATATTTATATATTTATATATTTATATATTTATATATTTATATATTTATATATTTATATATTTATATATTTATATATTTATATATTTATATATTTATATATTTATATATTTATAATATCGCACTTATATTTTAACACTATACTATCGTTATTCTTAAAGGTAGGAGCTAAGAAGGAAGGGTAGCTTAATAGATATATTTATTGTATTAAGAGTAGTTATTACTATTATTATAGATAGGGTGCCCGGTAAGGGCCTGAAACCGCCTCGCGGCAGCGCGGCTACCCTACTACTAGTACATAGGTGTAATACTATTTATAAGAAGCGGGAGGAAAGAATAGGAAAACTGAAGGAAGAAGGGAAGTCAACAGTTGGTAGCTCTCTACACCTAATACACTACTTCCCCCCATCTCTTGCACTGCGCCTACGCCGCGTGCACCAACTCACTCTACTCGTGACCCTACACCCTGACAGTAAGCAGTCGAAAGCCAATCATAAAGCCCAAACCAACTCCACAAGTACCAGGAGACCGCGAAGTTAAGATTTGAGAGCGTGGGCGGGAGGTATTGACGACAAAATGAGTATGTTTGTGCAAGACTTCAGCCTCCGGGGCGCCTGTGACCGCTGCCATGGGCAGAAGCTTCGGTGCAGGCCCGGAAACAACGACGGTTGCATGCGTTGCGAGAGAGCCGGTGTTCGATGTATTCCACGGGCTCAGATAAGGTTTACTCGTCCCTCTCGTAAGCGTGCGCTCCCTCAGGCTCCGGTGTCGAATGGACACAGCCAAACTCAAAACATCGGTACGTCGTGGGTTGGAGCGATGTCTCTCGTGGGCGACCGAACATTTGCTGACCCCGCGAGAAGAACACGGCGCCATCGAGCAGTTTACCAGAGCCCTGTCGGACCATGGCGAGCTTCTCATCTCACCGACAAGCTTGTCCCAACGCCCGTACGACTTGAACACGAATCTTGATTTTGCCCCTCTAGAGTCCGAATTTGTTCATTCTATGGATCCGAATTTGGAGCAACCTACCCTGGCCCACGAACACGTCCAACTATCTGGCCAGGCATTCGCGCAGGACATGCCGGGGCAAGACTCAGGCGTCGAGCAGGGCGAGCATGAAACTGAAAGTAAGCATAATAGTCTGCCTCTGACTTGCCCAAAACCATACCGTTAACGGTCGTTCAGAACAGACTTCAACCCCACCCCGGCATCGGCATTCCTTGTCCGGGACGGTAGGCTTATGCCAAGTGGGCAAGGCGCATGAAATGGATGTCGATCATCGACCAGGCGGTAGTACTCTGAGCTCTGGGAGTGGATACGGTGGCACTGATGTCGGGTTCGGACAGTGGCCATCTGGTCCGCAACACAAGAATGGCGAATCTAGTGCTTGTCGCGATGCAGGCCCGCGGACCGCGCACTCAGCTGTGGATAACATCAGGAACTCATGGATACGTCGACTGTCAGACGCAAATGTCGAAATCCACCAGCATACACGCTTAATCCCGCCCCTGGGCATCTGGCAAAACACATGGACAAATGCCACGATGGGCGAGCGCCCCAGCCTTGCCCAGCCCGACCTATCACTTGGTTTAGATGATACATTGAGACTCTCCAACGATTACTTGAGTAATCTGACCGATGCAGTTTCGGAAATCCGAATCAGTCAGACTTACAACGCTTCCACTACCCCTGGCGCCATACCGGCGCCGGAACCCGAACAGCATTCTCAACTGCTGATTCTCTCCACCTACGTCTGTCTGATCGAGTTATATAAGAAGACACTGCAACACGTCAAGGCTTGGACAGAGGCCCGATTGAATACGGATACCACTGCTCTCAACAAGACCTTTCCCACCCAGCTTACCAGTGTGACAATCGGCTCCTACCAGTTACCGGCGTCCTCACCCATGCAGACACTTGTCTTGGTGGGGACCATTGAGGGGATCTTGGCCAAAATAAGCGACCTAGTCGACGAGATCATGCGGCCGGCGAGGTCCCCTCACGAACCACCGGACACGCCCGGTGCCGCGATCTACAAGGAGGACACCAGTCCCCCCAGTGCACCGTCTAGTGTGGCTCAGGCAAGCCTGCAAGCAATACGGGGCCAAGAAGATGCAATTATGGCACTCGTACAGGAGGTTTGGGCATTGGCTGTCCGATGTAGGGCTTCTTGAGACGACCCCGGGGAAGCGAGCAGATCTGTGCGCGACTGCTGCCCTGGGGCTTGCCTTACCTATCCCGGCGCCCGAAGCAGCAGCAGATATTTCCTTGATAGCAATTTGTCGATACGCCGGCCACCCTCAAGCTCCGTGGCTATTCCATGGTCCCTCGGTCAACCGTGTCTTAAACTTCGCCATCAACACTATATAAGTTAGGTTAGAGAGATAGAGGGGATAATCTTTAAAGAAATAAAGAATTTATAAAAGAATAATTAATATACTTTTTTTTAAAAAAAATAAAATATTTTAAACTTAATTTAAAATAAATAAAATTTATAAAGATTTTAATTAATTATTATTTATTTATTTAAAAAAATTAAAATAAATTATAATAAAATAAAATAATTAACTTTAATTTAATTAAAAGTAATAATTATAATATATATTAATATAAGAATAATAATATAATAATAATAATATTTAAATTATTATTTTAACTTTATTATTAAATTAAAAATAAATAGTTAAAATTATAAAAATAAAATATAATATATTTATTAAAATTAATTTAATTAAGTTTATTATAAAAGTTTTATATAATAACTTTATAATTTATTATTAAAAGTATCTTTTATATTAATATAATAAATTATATTATTCTTTTAAAATAGTTTTAAATTTTATAAATTTTAAAAATTAAAAAGTAATATAAACTTAAAAATTTATATTAAAAAATAAAATATTTAATTTATTAACAAAATAATATTAAAGATAATTTAAATTTTTATAGATTTAATAGTTTTATTTATATATTTTTAAACTTTTATTAATTAAAAATTAAAAATATAAATTTAAATTTTAATAACTTTACTTTTTAATATATATATATAATAAAGATATTTTTAATTTAAGTTAGAACTTCCTTTTAAAGCTTTTAATTAATTAAAATTACTTTCTTTAATTCTTTATATAATTAATTAAACCTTTTAATTAACTAACTAATTAAAACTAATATTAATTTAAATAATAATATATTATTAAAGTAAGTAAATATAATAAGTAAATAAGAGTAAAATACTATTATTATAATTTAAAGGTTTTTAATTTAATTTATTTTAATATTTTATTTTTAAGAATCTTTTATTTTTAAAAATAACCTTTATAAATTTTAAAAATTATTTATATAATAATATTTAATTAATTTAAATTAATATTAATAATTTATTAAAAATTAAAATTATTATAAATTATAAATTATTTAATTTTAATATTATTAAATATTATATATTTAATATATTATAAATTATAAACTATTTATATTTTTTAAATTTTATTATTAAATTAAAAATAAATAATAAAAGTTTTAAAGGAATAAAATATAATATATTTTAAACTTAATTTAATTAAATTTATTATATAAAACTTTTATAATAACTTTATAATTATTTATAATACTATTTATTATTAAAAATATTTTTAAATTAATATATTAAATTATATTAATTTAAGTTAATATTATTAACTTATTAAAAGTTAAAGTTATTATAAATTATAAATTAATTTTAATATTATTAAATATTATATATAAAATTATTATATAATTTAAATATAAATATAAATTAATTAAAATAAATAAAAATAAAACTATTATTTTTATTTAAAATTCTAACTCTATTTAAATAAATACTTATTTATTAACTTTATTATATTATAAATAAAATTACTTAAAAATAATTACTTAACTTACTATATAAACTAAAAATAATTAAATAATATAATTATACTTTATTACTATATATAATATTACTTTAAATTTATAATTCTAATAACTTTATTATAAATAAAAATAAAATAATTATTAATAATTAAATTTATAATTAAATAAAAATAAACCTTTACTTTAAAAAAGTTATTAATATTTAAAATAAATAATATATTTTTAAAAAATTAAAAATTATAAACTTAATTTAAAAAAATTAAAATTTATAAAAATCTTAAATTTATATTTAAAGGTTTTAATTAAAATTTATATTTATAATAATAAAAGTATTTATATAACTTAAAAAAGATTTAAATTATAATAAAAACTAATTAAATAAAAATTAATTAAAAATTATAATTATAAGTTTTAAATTTATATTAAAAGAAATTAAATATATTATATAATTTAAATTATATATAAATGTAAATAAATATAAATAAATATAAATAAATATAAATAAATATAAATAAATATAAATAAATAAAAATAAATAAAAATAAAGTTATTATTTTTTAAAAATTTTAATTTTAATTTATAAATAAATATTTATTTAATAAATTTAAAAATTATTAACTTTATAAATTAAATTATTTAAAAATAATTATTTAAATTATTATATTTTTAATTAAAATATAAATTTTAAATAAATAATTATACTTTATTATTATATATAATAATTTTAATAGTTTTATAAAAAAATAATTATTAATAATTAAGTTTTTAATTATATAAAAATAAACTTTTATTTAAAATAATTAATATTTTTTAAAAATATTTAAAAATTAAAAACTTAATTTAAAGTAAATTAAAATTTATAAAAATTTTAAATTTAAATTTAAAATTTCTTTTTTTTAAAAAAGTAAAATTTTTAAAAAAGTTTTATAATAGGCTATAGTATTAGGTATAATAGTATAAATAGAGGAAGGTTTAAAGGTTTATAAGGTTTAAATTTAATATAAGACTAATTTTTACTTCTTTCTAAAAAAAAGTAAGTAGGCTTTATTTATCTTTTAATAAATCTTAAAAAAAGGTATAATTAAGCGCTAAAATACTTTTAGGGCACTTTTTTATAGCTTTTATTTAACTATTATAATTATATCTCTTTTTATAAAGCTATTTTTAACTATTATTATTAATTAATATTAATTATTTTTATTTATATTTTTAAAAACCTTTTTATTTATTATTATTAATTAATTTTAATAACTTATTAGATTTTTAATAGTTTTTTATATTTTTATAAGAATATAAATTAATTAGCCTTTTTTAAATAGTTATTTTTTTCTTTTATTTTAATTTTCTTTTTTATTTAATAATTAACTTTATTAAATTCTTAATTAACTTTCTTTCTTTAATTATTTAATATTTTTATTATTATTTTATAATTATTATAAATATTATTAATATATTTAAATAATTAAAATTAAATAGTTCTTTAAGGGTTTTTAATAATCTTTTATTAATTAAAAGTCTTTAATTAATAATTTTATTTTTAATTAATAAGTTTTATTATTATATAACTTTTTTTCTTTTAATAATAATTATAATATTTATAAATAATCCTTTTTTAATAACTTTATATATTATTTTTATTAACTTTTATTTAATAATAAAGTAGGTTCTTTTTATAAATATTTTATTAAATTAAGTTTAACTTTTAAAAACTTTAATAATAATTATATTAACCTTATTATTTTTAATATTAATAATTTTTCTTTAAATTATTATAATAAGAATATTAATAATAATAAAATTTCTATAAAGTTCTTTATTAAAATAATAAATAAAAATTTATAATTACTTTATATAATCTTTAAATTTATTAAAAGGTAGTTATAAAGGTTATTATTTTATTAAAGGGTTTAAATAGAAAAGGTTTACTAAAAGTTTTTAAACTTTTAAAAATTCCTTTATCTTTTATAAGTTTTATCTAACTTTTAACTATTTTTAAAGCTAAAAATATATTATACTTTTTATAAAAATATAAAAAGGTTTTTATAAATATTAATTTATTTAATTATTTTTATTTAAATTATAAAAAAATATAAAAATATAAAGCTAAATAATTAAATTTTAAATACTTTATAATATATATATATATATCTTTTAAAATAAGTTAAAAATATTTAACTATTTTTATAAAAAATATTTTTATATTATTATTAATTTAAAAGTTTTATTATAATTAATATATTATAAAATATTATTTATTTTATATTATAATAAATTTACTTTAAATCTTTTATTAAATTATAAAATAATTAATTTTTTTAAAATCCTTTAATTATTAATTTAATTTTAATATTTATTTTATAAAAATCTTTTAAAAGAAATTATAAATAATATAAAACCTTTACTTTTATTAATTTAAATAAATAAATTTATAACTTTATAACTTTAATTAATTAATATTTTAATAAATATATTTATTAATAGTTTTAATAATAATTTTATATTTTAAAAAATAAAACTTTAAATTTAAAAATAATTTAAAAGATAAAAAAATAATAAATTTTAATATTAAATATAAACTATTTAATATTTATTTAAAAATAATATTAATTTATTTTAAAATAAAAGATTATAAAACTAATATTTTTAAATATAAACTATAATTATTTTATATTTTTAATTAATAAAGTTTAATTTAAAAATAATTTAAATATTATTTATAAAAACTTTTAAAAATCTTATAAATAGTTATTATAATATAGTATATTTAATTTCTATAAATAATAAATTTCTAATTTAATATATTTTAATTTAAGGACTTTTTAGAAATTATAAATATAATAAATAAAATTTTTAAATTATAACTAAAAATATTTTTATTATTTTAAAAATAATTTATAAAATAAAAATAATTTTTAAAAGTTAATTAAATATATTATAGATTAATAAATAGAATTATAAGGGTAAGATTTTAAAGTTTTAAAATAAAATAATAATATTGTTTTATATTATTTTTTAAAGTAAATTTTAATTTATTATAGATTTAAATAATTTAAAAATAGTTTATTTTAATATATTTTATATTATTTTTTATAATAACTTTTTAATTTTAATATTATAATTAGTTAATTCTTTTTAATTATTAATTAATAATATTTATTTTTAATATTTATTTTTAAATACTTTATTAAATATTTATAATTTATTTATTTATTTTATTTATTTTATTAGCTTTTATTAAGTTTTTATTAAGTTTATATTTTAATTATATTTTATTTTTATTAATTTATTATAAGGTTTT